ACAAATTTCATGAATAGGCCACTTTCAAAAGGCACAACATTCAGATGATCCTTATACCGTCAGATAGATCACAGTGAAAGGGTTCAGAATATATATAAAAAATGTGCCAAATTAATTGTTTAAAGAGATGATTTGGAAGGAACAAAGCGCGAGAAAACGCCAGAATAAGCGCCCAATAAGCGCCATAGCACATTCTGCTCTCTTTATCACTTCTACTTTTCCTCACATATTTTTGTCTATCTATATCATATAGCATAGAGTCTTTTGTACACATACTAACTGTGTACTTAGTATGAGAATAGTTCAAGACTATGGTTCAATGATAAAATGCTGACTACTGGCTTTAAAGCTTGGTGCACAGTACTGCATAATGGATTGTGAACTTGGCAGTGGCTACAATCACGTGATATTTAGTATTTATATTGTCCATACTATTTAGCACTATAGCAAATATAGATAAAATCATTAAAAGTTATTTGAAACTATTAGAAATGTTCTATTTATTCATTGTTCTTACTTCTCTCTACAAATCAATACTTGTCTATAATTCACAGAAATATTCTAAAAGTCTCTTTTACTATGCCTTGCAAGGATTGAATTACCATATTGTGCATATTCAGACATATGAGCTCACAATTAGGCATATGGTCATAATTTTGTGCATAAAGCTTAATCCTTCAAGCTACCACACTTAATAGCTGTTCTATTCCATTCTGCTATCTCAGAACACACATATATATAGTCATACTATCTGCCATAATATTACTTTATTTTGGCCTTCAAAACCAAAAATCATCAAAATAAAAAAGATCCCCCAGTCAGAATCAAACTCTTAACCTCTATTCAATAAAGCAACTGCTTTCTTAAAATGCGCAATTTGCCACCTCAGACTCAACTGGAAGGAGAAGCAAGTATACCTCATACACTTCTTTCACCTTAACCACTACCACCTCTACTCACGACATGCTTCATAAGTGTAACTTTTCCAAGTTTTCATAGAGATTTAACTTGCCTCTGATCTTTTACCTTGCTTGCTATCTTTTGATAGTTTCTACTGGCACTTTCTTAGACAAAATCACTTTACAAACCTTCGACACAAACTTTGAACTGAACTAGAATGAAATAGTTGGAGGCACTATTTGTAAAAGCTCTACTTTGTCTTTCTCAGACAGACTGTACGAGTAAAGCAACCCAGTTCAGATTGAGTAAAGTCTGGGTCATAATTGCCTCTAGCTACTCTGTGGCATAGTTAGAGAGACTATCTCCAAAAGCTGTGTTCTGTCTTCTAGTTTAGACAGGCTAGACTAAAAGAGCTTTCCAGTTGAGAATAAGTGGAGCCTAAAATATAACTGCCTTCAGCCACTTTGTGGCATGTTACATATGTTAGAGCATAAAAGAAATGAAAAAATTGTACCTGCTGAGCATATATGCTAAAGCCCACATAACTCCAGTCCAAGTTCAATGTTTGTTGGGGTTACACCAATGTCTGGATTAATACTGGAAAGCTGCCTTCGTCATCAATCAGAGACTCTTTGAACTACAAGTTATATACTTTGGCCTAACCAATGCCCCAGCTATATTTCAAGCTCTCATAAATACCATCTTTGCCAACCTCATAGCAGAAGGGCAAGTTACAGTGTATCTCAATGACATTCTCATCTGGTCCTCTAACCTTGCCTCTCATTGCAAAATAGTCCACAAAGTTCTAGTACAATTAAAAGAGTAGGACCTCTATTTGCATTCTAAAAAATGCGAGTTCAAAAAAGATGAAATTAAATACCTCAGACTTCTCATATGCAAAGGATCTGTTGGCATGGGCCCCAACAAAGTCAAAGCTATCACCAACTGGCTGACACCCAAAAACCTCAAAGATGTACAAGATTTTGTTGGGTTCACCAACTTCTATCAAAGGTTTATCGAAGACTTTTCAAAGATCACTCATCTGCTTTACGATCTCACTAAGAAGGATACTTCTTTTGCATGGAGTCTTGTACAGCAATAAGCTTTTGACACTTTAAAAGTTAAATATACCATCAAACCAGTATTAGCCCTTTGATATGCCAATCGCAATATATGTATACAAGTCAATGCTTCAGGCTATGCCACTGGAGAAGAATCAAGCCAGTTAAACTCTAACGATGCACTCTGGCATTTGTTGTGGGCGTAGCCCCAGCCTCATATTATTTTTCCATTTTCCCTAATTTTCTACATTTTATTCCACGTTTGCATGACCCTCTAAAAGTCATTGGTGCACTAGCACCTCAGGACCGCATCACTGACGGGCACGCATTAGTGCATTAAATATGCTTGCATCGCCACCACTCTTTTACCGCATCATGCTTCCTCGATAACAGCTGGGCTTCGATCCCCACTGGGCCTTCTATCTCTGAGTCCAATTGGCAACGGATATCTAATCCCTGTCAGCCTGACAACATCATATGCTATGACACACTGGCCCCCGTTTCTTGCCAAGTCTCCTAGATACTAGCAGACACTGTAGCTACAGTTGCTTAGGTAATACCTGGTCTGTGTGCAATCTGAACAGTATATAAAGGGCCCTTTTGTTGCTACTTAGCCCCATCTCAACTTCTTGGTTATTTGAGCTAGGTAAGCTTTAGTTTGTATTGTAGTACAGTCACTAATACAAACTTGGTTATTTGGGCTAGCTGAATAAGCTATTGCAATTGTTGCCAGACCACTGTTGGTGCCGCCTCCAGATTAGATCCACGCAATATCCTTCGTGGTGCGTCGACAACAGTCCACATCATTAGGTTGAAATCTTCATGCACCCAAACCATATCCCCCTATCCAGTACTCCATCCACAGTTTTAAAAAAGTTTATTCTCTTTGTTTAAAGAGTAAGCCTCTTTGGCAATTGGTGGCAGACGTATGTGCTTGGTGCTAATCCCTGCCCAAAACCAGTGCCTAAGGATTTGCTCAACCGCTCTCATGTGTTTAAACGCTACATGAACAAGGATCACCTCCACCTCTGCTGCATGCTGCCTGAAGCCGTATTTGACCAACTCAGTCAAGAACACAAAGCAGGCGCCCCCCATCAGTACACCACCAGCAAGCTCAGTGCCACTGTTAGGCACGTCTCTATGCTCCTGCCCCTATCTACCACACTCCCTACTATTGACTGGAACACTGTCAAACAAGTCAAGCTCACTGCGCACGACAATTGCCAGCACTTCCAGGCACAACAAAATCAAGCTCACGCTAGACAGAACATGCACGCTAGCACTTCTTCCAGCCGCTCTCTAGCAGATCGCCTCACCACTGCCCCAACCTATACTTCCATTGCCCCAAAACTAATCACAATTGACTTTTCCGAGCACACAGCTGCTGACCTTGCCTGTATCTTCACACTGAAATTTGCCGCCACCCTCAAAAGGTTCAACGTTCTCGAAACGCTTGACTGTCCAGACATCCTCACTGACGACATCAGCACCGTCTTCAAACTTTGCGACTGCCTTGCTCACCTTGATTGCACTCTTAAAAATATGTTCCACGTCATTAGCATTGAGGAGTGGAACCATTGGGACTCAAGGTCAAAGGAGATCAGTGGGATTTTGTTTAAAGAACTTTGTCGCAACCGAGTCCGAGTTTTTAAAGCACTTCACATGGTTTGGAACAATGGGTACTTCGATTAGAGTAGTAAAACTGGATGAATACATACTCTTTTAATACATAGACTACAACAAGGAAAGGATTCTCAATCTGTATATACTAGACTATGCGCTCAAACATTTTGTCGAGCTAGAGTTAGTATAATTATTCCAAGAACTTCCTTTTCACTCTTTATAAACCCGTTTGCAATCCTTCAAAATGAATCAGACATAGTGGCAGATACCCGCCTAGTTTGCGTGGTGCTAGCACACAGCTACAACTTTCTGGATGCTCGTGACTATCACATCACTGACAATAGGGAGTTAAATACCTGTACAAACTACCTTTGTCCCAATCGATACTACGAGCATCCTACAAGGTCTATCACTACTGAGGATCCATCCTACCTGTTCATAGACAAAGACTATGAAAAGGAAATCTGCAGTTGATATTAGCTAGACGAGCACATCACCAACCACAGCAAACTCACTCTCGACGATCTTGGTCCATCTACAGTCAAAGAAATGGACAGGCCACTTAATAGGCCTCTCGTCCAGACCACCCAGGCCAATTCTTCTGCTGAAACCCCAGCACTGGTATACCAGGCAACAATGCAGAATGTAATGGATCTCATATCCATGCTCATCAGAAATGTTAATAATTTCACGGTCAACGTAAACCAGTTTATTGCAAATGCACGCCAGCTGGCTGCATCAGTTTCTTCCATCCGGTCGCGGTCCTTTATCAAAAAACCCTCTACCTTTGACGGCAAATTGTCGGAAAAGGCCAGGCTGTTCCGCAGTGCCTTCTCCATTTATGTCAGGGCAAATAAGGAGATATTTTTGCAATGAGACACTAACAATGCTATCCGGTACAACACCAATGGCAATTGGATTATGGACTCTGTCAAAATAATCACCGGCATCCTCTCGTTTATAACAGATGACACAGCAGTCTGGACTCGTTCTCACGTCGAGGACCTTTTAGAGGATTGCACCCTGTTCAACTCCTCCTGGACAAAATTTGTCAAACAGTTCTCAGCCAAATTTGAACCGGTTGATGCCAAGAACAAGGCCAAACAAAAGCTCATGTCTTTCAAGCAAGGCAATAGAACATTCACGGACTACCTTTCGGAGTTCAAAACTTACTCTCGTTGCACAGACTAGTCAAACAACAACTTATATGATCACCTCAAGTCTGGTATGAACTCCAATTACTTTAACCAGCTGTTATATTTTGCTTCTCTTGCAACAGACCATGATACGGTTAAGGGCTACAGTGCAACAATCAATCTGCAGAAAGCAGACTTGGTGGCCAATCAAGGCAAACCAGTCTCGCGATCTCAATCAACTACAACTTCTTGGTTCTCCGGCTTCTGTGACCCAAACGCTATGAATCTCAATGCCATGGACATTTCTGCTTTCCGCTTCGGCAACCTCTTTCAAGGACTCAAGAATCCCGCAGAAATCAAGCAGCAATACAACAAGCTAATGGTTGGTTGCTGCCGCGTCTGCGGTTCTAAGGGTCACAAGGCAGATAGAGCGCACGAAGACACTAAATGCCAGCACTGCGGTAAACCTGGTCATTGAAAAAAGCTTTGTCTGTCAAGACTGACCGAACCACTAGCAAAGTCACAATCAGTTAAAGCCACATTGTTGACTAGCCCCTCGACATCTGCATCTATCTCTACGTCTCAAGACTCTGCTGCCAATGTAGCTAGTCTCAAAGACATGATGTTTTTGATGCAGAAACAGCAGGCCAAACTAATGGCAAAGCTTAGCCAGAGTTTTTAGCAAGAGCTCAGACTAGAGCTGCAGCTCTGGCACTTGGTTTAGACAAGTGGCCTTCAACAACGCCGGCTCCTGTGTATTCGGACTCGGATTCTTCAGACCACATTCCGTTGTATATAGTGTCATCCATAGATCATCTTTTGTCTCATTTTTGCGTGTTTGTAACATTATCTGGAATGAATAAGTCTCTGTGTACACCTGTCATGATTGACTCCGGTGCCACCAGTTATTTTCTACACAAGAAATTTGCACACAAAAATAATATTTATAAATGACCACTCAAATGACAAATTGGCCTCCGGAATATTGATGGTTCAACCAACAGCGCTGGCACCATCACACATTACACTAAGCTTAAAGTCAAAATTGGATCATGAGCCCCTAAAGAATATGATTTCTTTATCACAGATATCAGCCCTAAAAACATCATCTTTGGACTACTATGGTTAAAGAAAGTCAACTCCACTATGGACTGGGAAACAGATAAAATGACACTTCCTGACAGCTCAGAAACATTGCTTGACCCTCTTGTGTCATTAAGTTTAACTAAAGTCAAAGCTAATCAAGTGAAACGCTGGGCCTGAGTGAAGGCCAGATTGCTTGACAATGCCACAGACGAAGTTTATTGCCTAGCAGGCTATACTTACTTGCAGAAAGTTGCAGTAAAACAGAATAAGGAAAATTACTCAGAAACCTTTGAACAGCTTGTTCCAAAGAAATATCACTGGCATGCTCATGTCTTCTCCAAAACTGACTTGACGAGGCTTTCCAAACACAAGCCGTGAGATCACTCCATTAACTTTAAATTTGACACTCCTTCTACAATCCACTCCAAAGTCTATCCAATGAGCCCCGTGGAAAATCAGGAACTATAAGCCTTCCTTGATGACACTATCAAGAAAGGCTATATCATCTCCAGCAAGTCACCCATAGCTTCGCCCGTCTTTTTTATCAAGAAAAAGGATGGCAAGCTCAGGCTTATCTAGGACTATTGCAAGCTCAATGACATCACTATTCAGAACAGATATCCGCTACCCCTCACTAATGATATCATCAACAAACTACAGGAAGCGAAAATCCTCTCTAAGTTCAACATCTGCTGGAGCTACACAAATGTTCAGATCAAAGCTGGAAACAAATGGAAAGCCGCTTTTGTCACCAATCGGAGACTCTTTGAGCCTCACGTCATATACTTTGAACTAACCAACGCATCAGCAACCTTCCAAGCTCTTCTGGACACAATCTTTGCAGGCCTCATTGCCAAAGGCAAAGTTGCAGTGTATCTAGATGACATCCTCATCTGATCTTCTGATCTTGCCTCACATTGAAAGATAGTACATGAGATGCTAAAGCGTTTCAAAGAATACAACTTCTACTTATGTCCTGAAAAATGTGAATTTGAAAAAGACCAGATTGAATACCTTGGCCTCTTCATCAGCAAAGGATCAGTCAGCATGGACCCTGGGAAGGTTAAAGCAGTTACAGAATGGCCTACATCTGCAAACCTGATAGATGTTAGAGACTTTGTAGAATTTGCCAACTTCTACCGCCAGTTTATCAAGGACTTCTCAAAGATTGCTTGCCTATTGCACAACCTCACAAAAACAAATGTTCCTTTCATGTGGGGTTCTGCACAACAATAGGCTTTCGACACATTGAAGTCCAAGTTTACTACTGAACCTGTTCTTGCACTCTGGTATGCAGACCAAGATACACAAGTACAAGTTGATGCTTCTGGATAAGCCACTGGAGGCGAAATCAGTCAGCTCAACCCGAATAACACTCTATGGCACCCAGTTACCTTTTGGTCACAAACCATGAACACTGTTGAATGCAACTACAAAATTTACAACCATGAACTCATAGCTATCATCGAAGCACTCAGGAACTGGCAATATTTCCTCAAAGGACTACCCAAGCCATTTGAAATCTGGACTGATCATGCAAACCTCCAATATTGGTGTACAGCACAGTGACTTACTCGTCGACAGGCCCGATGGGCTCTTGAACTCGTCGATTACGACTTTGTGCTCATCCACAAACCTGGCAAAACACACCTCGTTGCAGACCCCCTCTCTTGTCATAGCTCTCAGTATGTATCTGACGACATGGACGATCAGATGCAAGTCGTACTACGCAATGACCAATTTGTAAGTGCCACCAAACAAAGCCTTGGTCCAGAACACTTCATACAGCTAGCTACTACAGCATTTGTCACAAGCTCTCCTCTAGAACAGGATGTCTGTGATGTTACCTCTCTTGACAACAAGGTCTCCACTGCACTCTCAAGTCTCTGAGCAAAAGGGCCTCGTAAACTAGTCAGTGGGCTCACAGAATGGGAAGAAAACAATGGTCTCATTTATTACAAGGGCAAGCTCTACATATCAAATGACATCACCCTTTGTAATAAAATCATTAAATTCTGTCATGACACTCCCACTGCTGGACACCCAGGGAAGCACAGAACTATTGAACTAGTCTCCTGCTACTACTGGTGGCCAGGCATGAACTCTGCCATAGCACGATATGTGGCTGGATGTGATAAATGTCAGAGATACAAGAGCGCCAAACATTCTAAAGTGACTCTCACATTGCACGAAGTCCTCAACAGACCTTGGCAATACATTGGAGTTGACATGGTTGGCCTCCTTCCTCGGACTAAGTTCACTGGGAAATATGATGTGATCACTGTTTATGTTGACCACTGCAGTGATCAAGTACATCTCGCGCCCTGCTGCACTACTCTCTCAGCCGAAGAGACATCCGAGATACACTTCTGCGAAGTATTCAGATATCATGGTCTTCCATGCAAAATCTTCTCTGATCGAGGACCACAATACGCAGCTCGCTTCATGCAAAGTTTATACAAACGGCTTAGTGTCAAGTCAGGTTTAACCACAGCTTACCACTCAGAAGGCAATGGCAAAGTTGAATGAAAGAACGCCGAGGTATCTAAATTCCTCTGGTTATTCTGTTCACAACAGCAGAACAATTGGAATGAATGGCTGCCTATGGCTGAGTTTGTGCTTAACTCACAAGTACATGCTGGAAACGAAGACTCCCCTTTTGAAGTTCTCTACGGATACAGACCTGACTTCACTGTTCCAGCAGGGAAACATTCTAACATTCCCACACTGAACGACAGACTCGATTGCATGGCCCAAATCCACAAAAAAGCAGAAGCAGCTCTCCGCCAGACTAAAGAAAAGATGAAGGCTGATTATAAAACTCGTAAAAATTCACCCCACTCTTTTAAAGTTGGAGACAAAGTCTGGTTATCTTCAAAAGATGTCTCAATACACTAGCAAACTCACAAACTCAGACCCCGATAGCTCGGACCATTTACAGTGACTGAGGTCATCAGCAATCTAACCTATCACCTTGAACTACCAAACTGACTCAAAGTCCACCCCATCTTCCATGTCAACAGGCTCAGCCTGTACTACAACAATGAGATGAACAAAGCTGCACCTCTCCTGCTAGTGATAGTCAACAACAAAGAATAATACAAAATTAAAAAGATTCTGGACTCACACATTTACTACAGACAGCTCTAGTATCTCGTCAAATGGAAAGGATACGGACAAAGTGCTGACAAGTGGATCTCTGCCAAAAATGTCCATACAACAGCATGCATATGCAACTTCCACTGGCAAAATCTCTCGGCACCACAACAGATCTCCACTACCTCCTTCAGCAAACTCCACAGTTGCTTCAAACCTATTTACAAACACACCGATTCCAGCTCAACACTAGCCACTAACTCTAAAGTGGCAGAGTTCGAGTGGGAATTAGGCAGAATACAGGCTATGTCTTCTTGCTAGGAGTCTTGATTGTAAGGGGGGTAATGTCATGGGCGTAGCTCTGGCCTCCTATTATTTTTCCATTTTTCCTGATTTTCTATGGTTTATACTACGTTTGCATGACCTTCTAAAAGTCATTGGCGCACTAGCACCAGTTTACAAGTCCTAGCCATGCACTAACACCTCAGGACTACATCACTAATGGGCACGCATCAGTGCATTAAATGCGCTTGCATCGCCACCCCTCTTTTACCACATCATGCTTCCTCGATAACAGCCGGGCTCCGATCTCCACCGGGCCTTCTATCTCTAAGTCTGATTGGCAACGGACATCCAATCTCTGTCAGCCTGACAACATCATATGCTATGACACACTGGCCCCCGTTTCTTGCCAAGTCTCCTAGATACTAGCAGACACTGTAGCTACAGTTGCTTAGGTAATGCCTGGTCTGTATGCAATCTGAACAGTATATAAAGGGTTCCTTTGTTGCTACCTAGCCCCATCTCAACCTCTTAGTTATTTGAGCTAGGTAAGCTTTAGTTTGTATTGTTATACAGTCACTAATACAAACTTAGTTATTTGGGCTAGCTGAATAAGCTATTGCAATTGTCGCCAGACTACTATCGATGCCACCTCCAGAATAAATCCACGCAGTATCCTTCGTGGTGTGTCGACGACAGTCCACATCAGCACTCCATTGCCTTCTGTTCTTAGATTATGAATGTTGCCAAGCAAATCTACGAAATCCATGATCATGAACTCATAGCCATTATCAAAGCTCCACGAGACTGGTGTCACTTTCTTCAAGGACTACCAAAACCTTTTGATATATAGACTGATCATGCCAATCTCCAGTACTAGAGAACAGCTCAATATCTCACTTGCAGACAAGTTTGTTGGGCCTTCAAACTAGCAGATTACAATTTTGTCCTCACATACTAATTTGGCAACACTTGTCTGGTCACTGATCCTCTATCACACCCTAGCTCAGAACATGTCTCTAAAAGTGCTGATAATGACAACCAAATAGTACTTCCGGACTCTAAGTTTATCAATACGGTCAGTTTAGAGCTCAGTCCTGAACATTTTGCACATTTAGCTGCTACGACTTTCATTACAACAGCTCTGTTAGAATCAGATATTTGCAACAGCACTTTGCTCGACAACAAAGTATCTGAGGCTCTCTTTACTCTTTGATCAAAAGGCTTTTGCAAGCTTACTACTGGCCTTATCAATTGAAAGGAAAACAAAGGACATGTCTACCATCAAGGCAAACTTTACATTCTAAAAGATTCCAACCTTTGCAATTGAATTATTGAATCTTGCCATGATTCTTCTATAGCAGGTCACTCTAGTAAACATGGAACTACAAAACTCATCTCTTGCTATTCCTAGTGGCCAGGAATAAACTTTGCCATAGCCAAATACATTGCGGACTGTGATAAATGTCAAAGATACAAGAGAGTTAAACATCTGAAAGCTACTCTTACCTTTCAAGAAGTCCCTCCTAAACTTTGGCAACATGTTGAAGTCAGCATGGTTAGACCTCTACCTATTACTCCTGCTTCAGAGAAATACAATGTCATCACTGTCTATATTGACCACCACAGCAATCAAGTACATCTTACACCATGTCACAGTACTCTTACTACTAAAGGAGCTGCTGACATACACTATTGCAAAGTGTTCAAACACCACAGTATTCCACATAAAATCTTCTCAGACAAAAGACCTTAGTATGCTGTTTGCTTTATGCAAAGTTTATACAAACAACTCGGTATCAAGTTGGGTTTAATCATAGCCTATCATTCGGAAGGCAATGGCAAAGTGGAGCAAAAGAATGCCAAAGTGGAAAAATACCTCCACTTGTTCTGCTGTCAACACCAAGATGACTGGCACAAATGGCTACCAATGGCCAAATTTATATTAAACTCCCGTGTACGCTCTGATAATGACCACTTGTCTTTTGAAGTACTCTATAAATATTGACCCAATTTTACTGTTTCTGCCAGAAAACACTCTAGTATTTTTGCACTTAATGACAAACTCGATCAAATGGCTCAAATCTGTAAAGAAGCCAAATCTGCTCTTTGCCAGACCAAAAAAAAAATGAAAACTGATTATGAATCAAACAAATCTATGTCTCACTCTTTTTCAGTTGCAGACAAAGTCTGATTAGCTTCAAAAGATATTGCCATACATTAGAAACTTGTAAAATTGGACTAAGACAACTTGGACCCTTCACTGTGACAGAAAAAGTTGGAGAACTTGACTATCACCTCAAACTACCCAGCTGGCTGAAGCATCCACCTAGTCTTTTATGTAAATCATCTTAGCCCCTGGCATGACTGGCATAGTTAAACCTCCACCACTACCTTCTGTTATAGTCAAACATAACAAAGAATATAAAGTTAATAAAATTCTGGATTTTTGTATTTACCGCTAACAACTCTAGTACCTTATCCAATGGAAAGGCTATGAACAAGACACCAATGAATGAGTCCTTGCAAAAGATGTCCACACAAATACCAAAGTCTGTGACTTCTACTGTCAAAACCCTTCAGCATCACAACAGATCTCTTTTACCAACTTTGCTACACTCTATACACAGCTCCATCCAATTAACAAAAACACTGACCCCAATTCAGTCCTGGCAGCCAGCTGAAGTGCTGCAGAACTTAAATGGGAATCTGGTAAATCCAAGGACTTGCACCCCGTTAGGAGTCTCAGTTATAGAAGGAGGGTAATATTATGGGCATAGTCTTGTTTTGTAAATTTTCCATATTTTCTACAATTTTCCTTGTTTATATGATGCTTCTACCATCATCAGCATCCAAACCCTTGTGTTAGTGCCAGTTTACTCTCACATCTTCACAGCACGTCAGCATATTAGCATGCTCAGCATGCCAACACAACACTGCCATTGTAGAAGCTGTTACACAGCCTCCCAGCAGTTTTTATTGGAGTTCAATCAGCATTGAACATCTGACTTACATTGGCCTGGCAACATATCACCAATGCTGAATTTCTTCTATTGGAGTCCAATTAGCATTGGATTTTGGACTGGGCACGTCAGATAACATGACTCACTGATTCTAATTTCTGTGCTGTCACTCTACTACTCCAGCAACTTGTAGCTTACATAGTACCTGGTCTGTGTGTGGCTCCAGCAGTATATATAGTAGGACTCTGCCTCTATCTAGTTTCATCTAGATCTCTTAGTCAATTGGGCTAAATAAGCCTCTTCTTAAGTTACTTGTTTATTACACTATACTAACATATAATATACTTGATCAATCAGGCTAGCTGTATAAGTTAGAGTGAAGTTGTGAAACCTTTGTCCACACTGCCTTGTTACTGTCATACATGATCTTCACTCTTTTGTGTGGTGTTGAACCTCGTTCCACAACATTCAGATATCTTCGCTGATCTGTGACCTATTTTTTTGCTGATATTGGCCATAGACAATGCCTTCTAGATAGTTTATCATTTTCATCTCGATGTCTAACATGTTTCATATAGTGCAGCCATAGTTCCTTAGCATAGCTATAGATTAGACCAGTAGTATAAATACAGGCCCTCATATATAGTAGTTCTTTAGCTTTCAATTCTTTGTACATTTATACTTATTTCTCATTCAAACTCTAGTAAGACCTTGAAGAGCAGCTTCAGGCTGTAATAATAAGCCTCTGTCATAACATCTTCTCAGAGAAGGCAATGAAGAGCAGCACTTATCTGGTCTATGCAAAAGAAGGATGTGTCAGACTGTGCTTCATTGACTTGTAAAACCACAATATGTAAATATCACAATACAGGTACAAGATGTACTATACCGCACATGCACAGCCTATGCAGAGATTAGAAAACTATTGAATGCAAAACTCTAACAGCAGCTAGACACTTCTGAAGCACTATCATATTGTGGTGGCTGCTGGTCTCTCACAATAACAAGTATGTTAAACCCAGCCTATGTGCAATCATTGTACAGTGTGAGGCACTAAAACTCGACACCTCCGTCCTGGCCTTAATTTTGGTCTAGAAGCTTGCTCCTTTGAGATTTAGCAGGAAACCAAATATTCTGAGCATAATTCTGCAATTCCAAAATTTCAAGCCACGTGAAGTAATTTCAGGTTTTGAGCTGATATTTTTTTTCAAACAAAGACTAGGGTTATATAGGCCATAGCATATATGCTTGGTGGGTACAATTTCTTTATTTCTTTTATATTACAATATAAATAATAATAACTTAGATATTATAATAACTTAGATATTATAATAGCTTACTATTTATATGAGACTTAGAGCTATATATAGTATTAATTTATAACTTTACAAAATATATTGACAGTAATCTTTCACTATTTTATTATATAAATCTTATAAATAATGTACCTTCCACATAAATAATAATAACTTACAAGTTATTATACTCTTTATTTATAAGATTTAACTAAAAAATCTGAAGGCCAGCTTATGTTCATCAGAACTATTGGCAAGTTAAGCTGGTGTCATATTACAAAGCTGGAATTTTAAGTAATATAAACTACCATGCTTTAATCTATCATTATACCATACTTGCTCATCAGCACTTCTTGTTATAAAGTGCTCATTGCTATCATAGATAAATCCACATAGTCTGTACTTGCACCTGTTCACATCCAGTATAGGAGTCCACTTGACAGTAACTTCATTAACTTTAAACTTGAGAAATTGAGGCATATTATCTATGATTACTTTTTTCACTAGCTTGGTACCACAGCTATTGCATGTTGTATTGGCTACTTGTCTTGTGTTGGCATCTAACTATTCTAGTGGAGTTCTTTCATGGGCAGTACCACTCATGATGCCTTGTCTCTGCTATCTGTATAGGGAGCATACAAGGAGCAAGTCAGAATAGATCATATTCTTGCTTCTACCAATTATCTGACTGGTCCCACATAATGTGCACATATATTCCTTGTGCCAGAAGTCTTCTAATAGTCCAAGTATATAGCCACACAGCCTGTAAATCTCAGTACCCTCATTGGCACATAGTGGGAACTCTACAGGGTCTATCTCATGTAACTTAGCTCTGATTGAGTCTCTGGCAATATTCAAAAATAGACTCTTTCTTTTTGCTAACTTGCATGCCTTGACAAGTGAAGTTGACATGGGTAATTGGTTTGAAGACAACTTCCACAGTACAGAGTTTCCGGAGATGGCACCTGTAGCCATGCCACAAGGTGGCTGGAAGTTTTTATTACTCAGGCTCCACTCAAGTTGGATTAGGATGCTCTTGTGGTCTAGCCTGTCTGAGCATGAAGACAGAACAGGGCTTTTAGAGATGGCCCCTGTAACCATGCCATAGAGTGGCTGGAGGCAGTTACATCTCAGGCTCTACCCAATCTGAACTGGGAAGCTCTTTTAGTCTGGCCTGTCTGAGTCAGAAGACAGGACAAAGCTTGTATAAATGGTGCCTGTTACTATTTCATTCCATGTGTTCAGTTCAAAGTTTGTGGTAAAGGTTTTCAAGGTGAATCTATCTAAGAAGGTGCCACTAGAAGCCACTAGAAGGTAGCAAGCAAGGTAGAAGATGAGAGGCAAGCCAAATCTCCATGAAGACTTAGAGAAGTTACACTTGTGAAGCATATTGTAAGCAGAGATAGTGGCAGTTAAGGTGAAATAAATGTATGAGGTGTACTTACTCCTCCTCCCAGTTGGGTCTGAGGTGGCAAATCGCGCATTTTGAAAGAGCAGTTGCCTTATTGGGTAGATGTTGGGAGTTCAATTCTGGCTGGAGGATCTTTTCTTTTCGATAAATTTTAGTTGTGAGCACTGAGATATAGCAATACTATGGCAGATAGTGATATTATATATTTTTATAAGATGTTTATAAGTTTTTTAAGGTAGCAGAATGGTGTAAAACAAGCACTGAGTATGGTAGCTTGAAGAATTAAATTTTACTTACAGAATAATGACTATATGCTGTATTATGAGCCTATAGGTGTGGATATATGCAATCCTAGAGTTGAAGGTTACTAAATATGATAAGATATGCTTCTTGAATATAATTCTGAATTATAAGGCATTATCAGTTTGTAGAATGGGATAAAAGTGCGAAATATATGGCACATTTTTATTAATTCCAAACAAATATCAATAATAGTGAGTATATTTGTGTCAATTTGACATACATAATAGAACATATTTGAAAATTAAAAAATAGTGATACTAACTTTATATCTCACAATTTACTGTGTAACACTGTATTGAGATGCAAAATTAGTGGCAAGCACTTTAATGCTGAATCATGGTCTGAAACTACTCTCACATTGCACTAACAGATAGCATATACATAGTAAGCTAGGAGCTACATAGTATGAAGAGATAAACCTGTGTACAGGAGAGTAAAACTGATGAGAGAGCCTGACTGTGCTATGGTACTTATTAAGTGCTTATGCTAGTATTTTCTTGTGCTTTGTTTTTATTGGTTTATCTCTTTAAAAAATTAATTGTATATATATATATATAGGACCCTCTTAACATGCTCTATCCAGTAATACAAAGATCATTTAAATGTTGTGCCTTTTCAAAATGGTCCATGTGTGAAATTTGTCTAAGTCCCCAGTTTAAGCATAAAACACAGCACTGAAGAGCCAATACTGATCTATATATAGTCAAACAATTTTCTACATGTAGATCTATGTTAAAAGTATATATGAGCCAAATTTCAGGTTGATGGTTTGAGTAATGAATGCTATGGAGCAAGGGGCAGATTTGTGTCTGAAAGTAAACTAACTCCCAAAGTGCTACTTCTAACAGAATTTTTTTCATTGCATTCAGAAATCATAATTTTGCCTTCACTCATGCCAAATAAACATTTTATGCCTTCTCCAAAAAAGTAGACCTGCCTTGCTCACACTCAAAGATTAGAGAAGAGCAGCAGCTTCACTAATGGGCTCATACTTAATACTGAATCTCTTGAAGATGATTTGGACTAAGTGCTTAAAGACAAGAACTCAGAGAGTGGCTGCAAAGTGCTTCTTTGCGCTTTCAGTCTTACGAAGGACACAAAGTCTAATGCAGATATCAAGTCGGATGTTGAGGTAAATATGCATACTAGGACAAGCAAAACGAAATGTGGCTTGTTTTGTGGGAGCAAACTCTATAGGTCAATTTAATAGCATGAAACGGTGGCAAAGCACCTGTTGGAATCTACAGTGAGTGTAAGACATTGAAGCAAACACAGACACAGTGGTGCAAAAAGGCAGAGGCTGCATAAATGGGTGCAGAAGTGAAAGAGGGTGCATGAGCAAATGACAAAGAGCTGGATGACAACTCTGTTCCAAAATCTGGGATGTGCTGTATGCAGCACGTGCTTTTGCTGCAGGGGGACTTGTTAGGGAAGAAGTTTGTAATCTAAAAACTTACCTCAAGTTCATTAGTCACTATAGCTGCTGCTTCACTCCAAAGTATCACTGTGAGCTTAATTTTATTGAGATGTCCTGGAGTTGAACCAAATGCTATGAGTATTTTCTGTTTACACCTTTTGCTTGCTTACCGACAGCTTAGACTTTTAGCAGCTGGCAGATGGCACCTTTGCAACAGTAAAAGAGCTCTTGCCTCATGCTTTGGCCTTATGTCTCTCTTAAAGCTATTTGCACATTCCTCCACAAGACCTTAAAATACATGGTCACATATAGGTCTGTCTGTTTTATATCAACTGTTTTAGTACACTACTACATCCAGCCAGACTGAAGTGCATTCATTCCTTCAGCAAGGGTCTCATAGCAGTGCAGATGGATTTTGCAGCCAAAGAATATTACTCTCAACAATGCATTAGTCTGACTACCATGGTGAGCTTGCAGATACTGGACAACCCTGCTTGAGAAGTGTTTGCAGTGGGGTGTACACAAGGTCCTGGTCCTAATTGAGGTCTTGCACCTTCTATATTCGTATTATTACTAAGCAGGCACCTTTTCCAAAATGAAAGTTCAAATTTTGAATTTGGTCTAAAATTCAAACTTAAGATTGAAAAAAATGAACGAGATACATTTATTGATATGTTGTCTAACCATGCTCTGAAGTGATTTTTGAGAGGATATGAGGAGTTGTATGAGACAAGATACTGTAGCGCTTTGACTAATAGTTCACATCTGAAACACAGTCGTGGTGGACAACTGTGGACACTCAGTTCAGACTATGAAAGAATGGAAACAAATTTTGTTTCTTTATTTCATGCAGAGAGACTGTGAATACATGAAGGAAGAATAAATAATAAGTTAAACATACCTTCGTTCTGTGCAGAGAGACTGAGAAACGGAATGAAGGAGGAGCAAGGCAAGTTATAAGGCAAGGCCTTAAAACATGCGCATTGTCTAAAATGAATATCTAAAATGGGTAACTAATGGTCTATAAAAGGAAGGAAAATGGAGCCATCAGCTATGGTGGTGTATTAGATGTTTAGCAGTGTAACCATCAGGTTACACTCTTTCTGACTCAGAAGAATTTATGTTAGAGAGTGGGCTGTCAGCGAGATAGTCATCAAGAGCTTTGAGGTTGTTAACTTCAGAATCAGGTAGCCACATGTTGTATTGTGGGCCATAGCCAGACCAGTGGACAAGATAGAAGTTGCTGAATTCTAGAAATCTTCAAACTTGCTTAACAGTAGTTGGTACTGGCCAGTCTAGTATTCCTTTGATTTTGATGGAGTTCATAGCAACTTGGTTGTACAATGTGAGTGCTCTGAGGAATTTGACTTGCCATGCATCAAAGGTGCATTTTTTGAGTTTGAGAAGAAGGTCATTGTTGCAAAGTCTTTGAAGGACTCTTCATGTTCACTTTCTGTGTTCATCTTGATTGGATGAATAGATAAGCATATCATCCATGTAAATGACTAGTAATCTTTCATTGACCATGTTGCTGAATAGGTCGTTCATCATTGTCTGGAACATTGCTGAGAAGTTGCATAGTTCAAAGAACATGACTGTTGGTTCAAATAATCCTCTGTTCATTTTGAATGCTGCCTTCCATTGATTTCTATCTTTAATTCACATGTTGTTGTATCTTGCTTGTAAATTAAGACTGGTGAATATGCTTGATTCTTTAAGCTGATTGATAAGATTTGAGATGAGTGGGAGTGGGTATGCATTTTTGATAGTGCCATCATTGAGATATCAGTGGTTTTTGCAGGGCTGTCGTGTTCTATCCTTTCTTCCAACAAAGAAAAATGGTGATGCCATTGGTGACTTTGACAGATGTATATATTTTTTTGCATATTTTTATCAAAGAAATTGTTAAGCTTTTATTGTTTTAATGGAAATAGTGGGTAGACCTTGCAATCTTTAGGAATAAAGTCTGGTTTTAGATTGATGGCATGGTCATATGGTCTTGATTCAGAACACCATTCGGCAGCTTGCTTTTTGAAGACGTCTTGATAGTCTTGATAAGCGGTTGGTAGTTCATTCTTCGCATTTTATGTTGCCTGTTGTGCCATTGCCATTGCTAGGTTGATCTTTGTGTTCATCCATAGAGATGCAATGTTTTTGGCTATATCATCTGGTTTTGTGTGCATAGTGTATGCGAAGAAGTCTCCTGAGGTGTACATGAGGATGTAGTCTCTTTCTTTACATTGCTCGGCTTGCACAATGGGTTCTGAAGCAATTATCAAGAATATATGTATAGGCCAGTCAAGAGGTACTTTTTTTCTGAAAAGATGCGGCACATATTGGGCTATTTCTTCTGGTTGAGTTTCTTGTATGAATTTGGCATTGGTGGATCCAAATTCTTTTGATCTTCACATGGTTCCTAGTAAGATTTTAACTTGTTTGGGTTTTGCCATTGAGATTCGTTCAAGTACTAGTTGCACCACTCGATCTCTTTTGGCCACCTTGTGTTCTTCAATTTTAGAGTTGATGAGGAGTATGCAGATTTCTCCAGTATAGTCTCTGTCAATTACTCCTGCTCCTATGTTGATTTCTTTGACCACTAATCCACTTCTTGGTGCAATTTGTCCATAGGTTTCTTCGGGAACTTGAGTGCTTAGTCCTGTTTTAATAAGCATGAGGATTTGAGGTGGTATGACCTGATCTTCACTTGCATAAAGATCGAGTCCTGCAGCTTCTTCTGTTCCTCTAGTAGGTATCTGTCCTCTTTCTGAGATGGTAACCCTGAAGTCTGTTTCTTTCCTAAGAAGTGCTGAGTCATCAGATGAAAGGATATGGATGCTTCTACCTTCATCGTCTGATAATTCTTCAATTTCACATCTTTAAATTCTTTTTGAAAAGTCCAAAGTGCCTTTGCTCCAGTTGATGGATGAGTTTCTTTTTTATAATCAGTCCATGCCAAGGATGATATCTTGCTTGTCTAATTGGGTAACTAACAACTTTTCTTTGGTAGGCTGGTTTCCCATGTTCATGTCAACTTCTACTTTATTGCAAATGAACCTCAACTTGTCTGAAGTTCCATTGACATTGAATACCTTAATTGGTCTTTTCAGGGGTTTTTTTTGTAGTCCTAATTCTCAGACTGTTCATCAATTGATGAATTTGCCTTGTGCTCCTGAGTCGACTAATGCAAGGACTTTTTCAATGGTTTCTTTTGCTCCGATTTAAATGGGAATATGCATTGATTTTGATTGCATGTTGGCAATTAATACAGAGGAAATTGATATTCTAAAAGGTGTTAATGCTAGGGCAACCCTTAGACATGAAAATTTAGATTAGCTTTGAGGTAACAGGCAAAGAGATTTTTAGCCTCATCTTGAGAGAGCTTGGTTACTTCTTTGACTAAGTCTCTGGGTTTGTTATCAAGGTCAATAAAGTTAGGTTCCTCTTTGACTGTTATAGCGCAGACATTGATGGAATTTTCTTTATTCCACTGTTCAGAGCACTGATTCATCTGAGGGCAATTGTCTTATGGCAAACAATTGGATTGGTATCTTCCTTGCTGGTCACATTATTGGAGTTTTTTGGGCAAAGGGCAATTTCTAGCAATGTGTCCCTTGCCCTCGCAATTGAAGCATCGTCCATCGCGACAGGTTTGGCCTCGAGAGATGACGTTGACATCTATGGCGTCAGGATTGCATTTCCAAGTTCTTCCTCTTTCTCCATTTCCTCCAGAGTGGGAGGTGGTTCTGTCGACCCTTCTTCTCTGTCTTCCTTATCTAAGCTTGTTCCATTCTATTTCCGCATTATCTAACTTGAGTGCTTCTTCTTGCCATACTTGGAGTGAGATAGGTTTCTTTTCTTGTTTGATGAGAGTTTTAGCGAGATCAGCTTTGAGTTCTCCTGTATAGGTGTGTTGAAGGTAGGTATCTGTACTTAAATTGCTGTATTTGGCTTTTTTGACAAGTCGATTGAATTTGATGTTGTAATCATTAACAAAGTTGAAGTCTGCTTGTATTATTTTATTAAGTTTTACAATGGCATTGACTTTGCTGTCCACTTTTTGGAAGGCTTGGCAAAATCTTCCTTGAATTTGGCCCATATAGGCCACGTCATGCTAGCTTTGTATTTATTGAACTTGGTGCAGCACCAGTCGTGCAGCTTCTTTTCAGTATTGTTGAGTACAAAGAAAATTTTCTTTGCATCCTTGGTTGTGTTTTTGCCTTTAAAATAAATGTCACAATCTTTCAGAAAGTCCTAAATTTATTGTGTGCCATTGAATTTCTGAGGCTTTGGAGTAGAGTCATGTTTGTTTGCCTTTTGAAGTGCTTCAATTATTTCTCGCATAAGAGTATTTGTGTTTGTTATCGTGGAGGTGGTTTGAAGTTGTTTGGTAACTTTGTAAATTTCTTTCTGTTATTCAGATGGAATTGGTACGTCAAGATTTGGCAGAGGAATGTCAAATTGTTCGAGTCTAATTTCTGATACTTGGAGTAATCTTTGCTGTTGTACTTTGGGTGTTTTGTCGTCTACTTCGATAGAGGTAAAAGTTTCTGCCCTGCTAGGTGCTCAATTTTGTCTGCAAGATTGATTGTATGAGTGTGGCATATGTATTCTGAATGGTAGTATGCTAGTGGATAGTAGTTGTTGGGCTACTTCTCTGGCTTGTTTTTCTCTAAGCCTGGCTTCTTCGTTAAGCCTGTTTCTTTCTTGAAGAAAGTCTACTTGTGCTGGCTCGCAAAGTACGAGTTCTTGTGGTGCTTGCGTGGACACTGGGTCTGCATTGTATTGGTGGGGGCAAGGTCGTACAAAACAACTTCTCCAATGTTTTGTGTCATATCAGTGGTAGTCAAGCCTATCGTCAAACCTGAGATTATATCTGTGTGCTGCTGCTGCACAGTTGTTTGCACTGGTTGCTCGTGGGGTAATTGTCTTGACTATTCTTTATAGTGTAGACCTATCTTAGATCTGCCTTATTGGGAAGCTTTCAGCTAATGCCATGACAGAGGTTTCTTAGCAAGCCTGAAGCTTGTCTGATCACCTTATCCGCAGATGAAGTTAGACCAGAATAACGACTAGTCTACTAGTCAAAGAGACTATGGATGAGTCAGTGAAGCTGTGCTCTATGAGTCAATAGAGATAAGTACTACTAGACTTGAATCAGAGATGAAAGAGGAAATGATATTCCACGCTACCATGTCCATCATAACAACATTGATGTTGAGTACACAAACTGTGCAGATAAACCTGACAAAGTAGATGACATGCTATACAGTATAATATAGGTTTCTATGTTATTGGGTATGCTGATACCACATGTCCTCACTACAGTCTCAATGTTGTGCATTGATAATCAAAAGTTGAGCAAAAATGAAGATTATATTTATAAGCACCTATATCATGGTGATGCAGCCAGTTCATTGCTCTACTGTGACTGTGACCACCTGTTCAAACCTGCCCTGTTCAGAGGCTCTGTGACTGTGGCATAAACTGTTGGTCATGGTGTTACAGTACATCGACAAGTTTTTGGGTGCCAAGAGGTCAGTTTTGAGCATTTCACACTGTAGTCTCTGACAGACCAAGATGCTCAGAGGAGGAGAGAGTAAGAAGAAGCACAATAAGTCACACACTGATTGGTGTATATGTGGCGGCAGGTTGTACACAGTTAGATTGAGTTTAAACATAACAGTCAGCCAGTCCATATACAGTGGCCACCAAAAATAATGCACAACACTACAAAGGGATGTTATAATTCCTCTATATCTCCACAACCACTGTATCTAGCCAGATAGTGTATATATAAATCTTATACTAGGCTACTATTAGCATCCTTCTGAGGTATCACTTTAATGCAAGCATCAGATGCCAGAAAAAAATATAGTGAAAATGATTGAAAAATGAATATATATTATAAAATTTATACAATGACACAGACTCTGAAGTAAAATATGGTTAAGTCTTAGTAAAATTCTATGCTGTATGATGTTACTGTAACAAAATTACAGCATGGTAACAAAATTAGATAAATGAGCTTCAGTGACAACTATATTCATTACAAAATAAAGAGGTGTATGCTTATATTCTATAGACATCACCAGCAGCTGAAATATCCATAGTGGTATACTGAATGTATCTGCTAGTAAAGATTATTCTGTACAGCAAATTTTATATCTCTATTCCTGAGTGCTGTGAAGATATAAATATATAGATTTCCTGGGTAAAACATACCAATGTAACTGTCTCCACAGCTCATTCATCCAATTTTGTTACCATGCTGTAATTTTGTTACAGTAACATCATACAGCATAGAATTTTATCAAAACTTAACCATATTTTACTCAGGTCTGTGTCATTGTATAAATTTCATAATATATATTCATTTTTCAGCCATTTTCACTATATTTTTTCTGGCATCTGATGCTTGCATCAAAGTGATACCTCAGAAAAATGCTAATAGTAGCCTAGTATAAGATTGGGATATACACTATTTAGCTAGGTACAGTGGTTGTAGAGATACAGAGGAATTATAACATCCCTTTGTAGTGTTGTACATTACACTAGGTGGTAAGCGCACTTTTTTCTGGCATAAGATTAGCCAAAAACTGATCCAACAAGGCCTCAACTTTATCCGGTTTTCACCTAAAAAAACCGAAGGCAAAACTCATTCTTCTGCCAGTTTTACTGTGTTTTAGACCCTTTTGGCTGGTTTTACACCAGTCTCTCCACAGTTTGCATTGGCATAGAATCAAGGAATAACAGGGCCTTGTTTAGCCGCTTTTGTCTGAGTTTTCTTGAGAAAAAAACTGCGCTTACCACCCTGTGTTATTTTTGGCAACCACTGTAGCCATGTTCATGATAAAAATTATCAGAGATTTAATCTAAAGAGGTAGCTGAGCAACACAACATCCCACAAAATGTACATCCTCTGCTGCACATCCAGCAGTCAGCCATCCTTTCAAATAAATTCCAGTGGTCATTACTAAGTTTCCTCTAGATGCCATTCCATGAAACAGTGTCACTGAAAACCTGCTCAATCATGCAAGGTATTTCAAGCACTTGAAGAGGCCCCAAATACAACCACCAGAGAGGATCGGGAGTGTCAAATTGTCATCAAGGGAACCTAGATCTATGATTGACGAATGACGGTCAGCACAAAATCAATTAATCGGCATGTGACACATACCAAGGGCCTCTGAGACACCCGATACAAGTCCACTGACGACACTAATGGCGCTGAGGCCAAACCAGCCGCTGAAAGAGCCAGTACCCTCAACTCCACCTTCGAAGGTCCACACAGGTTCGAGCTCGCCTAAAGGACCAAGGAAAGTCCAGAATCCTGCAACAATAGCGGCGCCAGTAATGGAACCAGCAATAAAGCCTGCCAGAGACTTGCGAGGTGCAAGAGGAAGACCGAAGAGGCGACGGGGGAGAGGGGGGGTGAAGCGGCCCCATGCGCGTCCGATTGTGGATGCGGCAGTGTCAGCCCAGGAGAGACTAGACGATAAGTCAGCATACTGAAGAGGAAGCGCAAACGACAATAAACGCACATGAGAATGGAGACGACCGCGATATCAAGGGGGTATGCGGATAAGACCCAAAGAACGCCTATGATATACCAGATAACGCCGTTGGTCGTTTTCTGCAAACTTCCCAGGTCGGAAGGATTCCCGAGCAAGTTTGGGGTCACATACCTTCTCGCTATCCCGCATGAGGAAGCCGAGCGCTTTCTCATAGATGCGTTCAAAGCCGGGAAAGCTGAGACGTAAGACATCGGCAGGAACAATGATTGTTAATGCCATGCCGAGTGCTTTTACGACCGTTCGTGAGGAGCCGTGCGCAAGGTACAGGTATAATGTGAGAAATCCTGCGTGACATGACATATCAATAGTGCATCTGGGCATTCGCTATTAAACTGACCTATGGACGAGTGGAGGAACTTTCGGGGTATCTCCCAGTCTACTGGAGATGTATGTGGTAGCCTTATGTTTGCTGTTGATAAAGCTGCTGACGCTTTGCGCGAGGATTCCTCGCGAGATGCTTCCTGCGCAACGGGTATTTGGGAAGTTTTGTGTTGAGCATGTCCGTTAGCATGACCGTTGTTCATCGAATGCCGCGACTTCACGGTCTTTCTCGGGGGGATGTAGTATGTCTGCGGCGAGATCCTAGTGTGGGTAGACATGAAAGGAATCTTCGGCGATGTCGGACGGAGAGACAGGGTGTAGGGAGGACGTGTCGGATCGTGTGATAGGGAGAACGCATCATTCGCGGGGAGGGTCATTAATGATAGTAGTGTTAATGTCGTTGAGAGCGTTAGGATAGAGTATACATGCAGAGCGCAGAGGGGAGGATAACAGTGAGGAAATGGTGGAAGAGGATGATATGGAGAGCAAGGGTGCCTTGGATCAAGTGGCCTCATCGCGCGCCAGTATCGGCGTCAGAGGCCTGGCGCACTAGCTACGACACGTCGCTCTTTTAGTCATTTCACGCGCATGTGCCGAAGGTTCTAAGTACATCACAGCAGTAATGTAGAAATTTACACAGTAGCATCGACAGCACTGATAGCGCAGGGTAGCGGATTTAGGGATGAACATCTCAAGCCGTTCATATTGCGAAACCAGTCTCATATTTAGACAAACGACTAGTAAACGTAGCCTAAAATTTTGCCACCAACATGCTTCCGACGGGCCTCCTCGTGATCCAGGATACCGGATGAGGTCGTCTATCACACGTGAGAGTTGTTGCGATACAAGCAGGTAGGAGGGAAATACACTCACAAGGATGAGTATACCGAACGAACGAGCAGGGAGAAGCAAGTTAACCCAGTTCTCAATTTGGTCAACCTGAACGTTGTAACGAGGAGAGATGACACCAGTCTTGTTTAGGCGGCCATTGAGCTGGACGATGATCTTGCCCGCGCGGTGGTCGTCGACGATCTCGAACTCGCCGATATAGCCTGAGGAGATACCATTAGTATCTTACAGGTACATAGCGCAGCAAATGAACGGTGTGATCTCTTCAGTGAACTCAATTCCGTTGACATGAGGAAGGAAATGTGTTGTAATGGTTACGAGAGATAGCTTGTTATCTCGGAGCGTTAAATCGAGGGGGAGGTCGAGGTATAACCCTCTCCGATCGTAGTTATCACTCCGAATGTCCAGACTGGGGGACGAGGGACATAGCAAAATAACAGAAACGACGGCGACACTCACCATGGCGCTGCATGACACTTAGGAACTTGACGATGACCTTAGACGAAGGCCGGATAAGAACCTGACGCTTGCCGCGGCGCTCACCATTGACAATGTTGTTCTAGCTTGTTATAAGTCTTCTCACTCCTCCAATCATGCCAATGAGTATACTCACAAGGCAGTCGTTCTAGAGAGACTTGAGAAGTATGTCACGGCCAGAAGAATTGGGGGACGTACCAAGACAGACACGCGAACCATGACGAGTAACTCAACGAGTGGACTTGAAATAAGACTAGGGTTGGAGAAAATATCGGTAAGTACCTACGCTCGTCCGAGTGTCGCGCCAAGAAAGCGCGAGTCAAGACGAGCTTGCCTGTAGGGTCTTGAGGGTGTGAACAACAGCAACGTCGATGGGCAAGAGGACCGCAACTGGGGAAGGCGCTTGTGGCTGCAAGCCTGCTGCTGTATAGTACCTTTTCAGCCACCATCCAGCGCTTGCCAGATTCGGATCGCCCAGACCGTTAAGCAGCCCACCCTACTCCCCGCCGCCGCCGCCGACAGTCCTCAAACCAATATGGTGCGCGCGTTGCGTACTTTTATGTCGCAGTATTGTTTTATCACTATTTTTCACATGAAAACAGGGCCGTGTACGTACCAAAACCACGAAGAGGGCCTCTCGCGTTCTCATCGAGAAATAGTAAGTCGAATTAACTATTTTCCGGGCAATAAAAGGGGGGAGTGGGGCAAGTGGAAGAGATCTGAGAGAAATTGAAGTGATAGAAAGCAGGAGTGACAGTCTAGGCGGGATCTGGGAATTATTGGAGGCCAAGGGTGCTAAACATGCGTCCCAGCTATCCTCGTTTGACCCTCGACTTTCACACCAACAAGCGTATCATCGATGAAGTTGTACGTTAACCTACCAAGTACCGAAATGCATGTTCTGATTGTGATTTTGACCTGTAGGCTGTTGTCCCCTCAAAGCGCCTCCGCAACAAGGTTGCCGGCTTCACGACCCATCTGATGAAGCGTATTCAGAAGGGTCCTGTGCGCGGTATCTCTTTCAAGCTGCAAGAGGAGGAGCGTGAAAGGAAGGATAACTATGTGCCAGAGGTTTCTGCCCTTGACACTAGTGTCTCCGGCCTTGAAGTTGATCCTGACACCAAAGTACGTTATTCGACACGCCTCCCATTGCATCGTCTCATATCTTCTTTAGGAGCTTCTTCATGCGCTAAACTTTGACTCTGTCCAAGTCAACGTCGTCGTGCCTGTTGTCGCTCTTCCGGAGCGAGGCCCTCGTCGTGACCGCCGCAATGTTCCCGGCGCTGGCCGGTGATTCCGTAGTCGTTTATGACACTCCATGTATCATCCATGGCGACGCTATGCATATCGCTGATTTCTGGGCTCGGTATTCGTGATCATAATGGCGCAACGCAAGCAGCGCCAACACTTCGCGCTACGCTGTGTGCTCATAATACTATCACGTAGACCCTCATTCACCTATCGTCAACTGCCAGGCGTGCAGTGAAGAATGTCTTCCGCTTTGCAACGGCAGACTACTGCAAAACGCGAAGTTCGGTGGGACCCGTGGGACGCCTCCCCAGTAGTTCACGGCGCGCGGGGTACACCACACGATGGTTCCACACTGTACAAGTGCCAAACCAATGCAAAAAGGGCTCAACCGGGATTCGAACCCGGGATCCCTTGCATTCAGAAAAACCCAAAGCAAGTATCTTACCTCTAGACCATTGAGCCGACATTGAATCGATAAATCTGAACATCTGAGTAAGTATCAGTATTTAGTCACAGACAAGCGCCACACACACAGTCAGCCTGAGCGCTGAAGCGCTGATGGCTGACGTAAAACTGAGCGTCCACGCGTGCAGGTGGAGACCCGTACCATATGAGCTTTTGCAAGGGGAGAATTCAAAATCACGATGACAAGCCCTGATTAATATTATGCTACATAGTCCTAGAGTATCGTATGCGAATTTTACAGTACTAAAGTACTAAATGATCTAATTCCGGGTATACTAAGTCGTGTTTGAGTCAATGGATATCATGTTGCAAGCAACTGTCTACTAGCAGCAGGGCAACGGGATTATGAAGCAGACACCTCCACCCTATAGTAAAGTCAGCAGTGGCACAAGCACATGAGAAGACACGCACCGGACATGGGACACAGCCGCCTCTGAGTCTCTCCGCTGCATTCTTATTGTCCTTCATACCACTGGGCACCGATACCGACATCGAAGACGAGTGCTTTGGCTGCGTGGAGACAATGGACACACTGCGCGGATTTGTGTGAGCAGGAGGTGGATAAGTGGGCTGCTGGGCGGCCTGCATGATGAGTGACGACGTGGTGCGGTTGTAAATGCGATATATAAGTGCTCTCGGGTCCCACCATAATTTATAGGCAGAGCTGGAGATTTGGAGCGAAGTCCGAGGGGCTATGACGCATTACCAGGTGTTACAATCAGTGACCTGATGAATATTCCTAATTCTCACTTCAATACGGCTCAATGGTCTAGAGGTAAGATACTTGCTTTGGGTTTGTCTGAATGCAAGGGATCCCGGGTTCGAATCCCGGTTGAGCCCCTTTTTCGTGGCCAGTCTTATCCGAGTCCTAATTGTTGCATTTTTGTCTAATAGCTCACAAACTGTCCAGGACTACTGCTGTGCACTTGGTCTTTGTTACACTGACGTCCCCTCCTCGTTCTAGGCCCGTTAACGATAAACAGCTTGCCACTAGCTCTGTTGTAATGGTCAATGGCGCTGGAAGCATCTACATGAGCGTTCATAGCATGGATACGATGTCTTATACCATACCGCTCGGCGTGATCCGTTTGCTTTCGACTGCTACAACTACGTCCTATTGAAGGACCTTTGTGAACCCTGTCATGGCTCACGCACGAGATGCTCTGGTATGTGGCGCACGGTGCGAGTTTCTCCCTAGCACTGACAGAGGATATGCAGTGGGCTAGCGGCCACGATGAGTCCGTCGAAGTCAACCAGAGAGCTCTGATAGACAAAGTTCTTGCTCGGTACTCCGGAGAGTTCACAGGTGCGAGGCTTGTGCCGTCTGCACCAATCGTTAGCTGACCTGGATTTGATGCATCTCAGTGTTCCGCGAGTTGCTTCAGAACTCAGATGACGCGAGTTCTAAGGCTGTTGAGATCCATTTTGAGAGCAAAGCGCACATCAGCATGGGAGGAGCAACCGAGGCACAGGATGCACAAGGCCCTGGCGATGGTATGCCTGAGAAGCTGCGAGACTTGAAGACAGCAGTTGTATGCTTCGCATAATATCTATTGTAACGACTCGCTGAACGGGTGTGAACAGGTTCATCAATGGACATTCAAGAATAATGGGACGACATTCCAGGATGAAGACTGGAGTCGTCTTAAGAAGATTGGTATGTTCTAAGGGTGTTCTTCGCTCAGGTAGTTTCCTGACGGTATGCAGCGGAAGGGAATCCTGATGAAGAGAAGATTGGTGCATTTGGGGTGGGGTTCTACAGCTTGTTCTCTGTCACCGAGGAACCGTTTGTAACATCTGGTGGTGAGTCCTGCTATACTCAGATGGAGTCAGCAAGTCCGATCTCCTTCAGACCAGTGGATGGGTTTCTATTGGAAGGGAGGCAAAGATCAAGTAAGCACAGGTTATTCCTATATAGTGCTCATCTTAAGCCTACGTAGCTCTTTGCCCGCCGAGGCAACCTGCCTGAAGGAGAGCACGGCCAATGGACCACATTTAGCATGCCGCTACGCGAGCCAGGCCCGCCGCCGATACCCTTTGACTTCATACGATTTTTGGCATCTTCCATCACCTTCATGGCACGTCTTTCTGAAGTCAGTGTATTCTTCGATGGTCGCCGGTTAGCTAGGCTGAAGAAGGACCGTGGTATCCCGAGACCGATTGGCCTCAAAAAGGGTCTGAAGACCGAAACAATCAAGGGAACAATGAAGGTTATTGGGGTTGATGTTATGCGTACGCATGAATTATTTCTGTTCCCTCATCGTCTGGACTAAACACCTTCACTGCGTCGCAGCCCTGCATATTAAAGCAGAAGTGATGCAGTGGATCTACGAGGCCGGGTCTTCAGCGAAACAACGGAAGCGCGTCGTTGTTGGAGAACAACAACAAGCTCGCAGAGCCGTGACATCTGGGTTCTTCTCATCTCTCTTCTCTTCCTTTTCCAGCACCCCTCAGCGAGCACCTTCCCCTATGCTTGCTCCTGAGTCTGAGGGTGTGGAGAGGGAGGCGGAAGAGCAGAAGAAGCTTCTGACGGTGAAGGAATTGAATGTGACCCTGGCAGTGTTCTCGGCGGAGGTCGAGGTCCGTCTGGACGAGCGCATGAAGAAGGAACTGCTTCGTGCCACAAAGAAAAATCCGCCGACGCACATGAAGTACGAGTTGATTTACGTGCGTAGCACTTCTCGTTGATCACAAATCTAGGTAATAATGATTCATCTAGACCGGAAAAGAGGAGTACGATGCTAGCAAGAAGGAAGACGAGCAGAGTCCTCTTGGCACTGGAAGCATCTTCCAAGGCCTCCGCGCAGATATTGATGGGTGAGCGTACGCGAGCTATTTTCAGTTCCATCGTGCTGATCGCTATGCAGCACCGGCGCAGCTCGTATATTCATTGTAGGTTCATAGTCATTCATTTTAGCTGTTTTTCACATATTACTCTAGGGCCATTCTACTGGTCAAACGACAGGTATTGGGGGACACATGTCAGCACGGTTCATCCCAACGGTGGAGCGTGAATCGATCGACTTCATGTGCGTATGACGTGCCGGTCTCGGATTAACAACTAACAAATCGATCTACATAGGGATCGTAACGTTCGTGGTGAGCTTACTCGTTGGTGCGCTCGTAAACGGTGGTGATTCACGAAAACATTTCCCAGTGTGGAATGAGGAACTGCTGGGTGTGGGGGGGTATCTTGCACGTACTGCCTACGAAGAAGAGATGTACAGTATCTCCTTCCTATGGCCGAAGAGCGACCTCAGGGCACCGAATGGCGTAGTGGAGGAGGAAGCCCAAAGGAAACTCTCTGCTCGGGCGCTCCACGCTATGAAGTTCTTCACCTTCCATGCATCAACCCCAGCTGCACAAGCCTCTGCATTGCTCGAAGAAGCGTTCTTCTCGTGCGTCTCTGTATCTTCCCCATTCTCCTTCAAGATGGGCGAGCAGTCCACGCATCCTTTCCCTGTTATTTCTACGGTCGGCATTCGTAGTACATCCGAAGTTCGCTTGCCGAATCCAACGTTCGCGGAATTTCTCAAGCAGCTGCCGGTGCTCCCAGCAGAGGTTATCGAGGACGCGAAGACGATGATTGAAACGCTGCGGGCACGCGATATGATCAAGGAGATTACCTTTACGGACGTCCTGAAGGAGCTGCGCGCGAGGCCATTGCCAGAGGTGCATTCCCCATGTCTGTGAGTTATAACAGCGCTAAAGTGTATCAACAGGCGGAGATGATCGCGTGCTTTAAGTGGTGGATTGACCTATACAAATCTGGCGCGACCAAGCAGACTGAGCGCGCCCGAGGAGAGCTGCTAAATGCTGCTGTCGTCATTGTTTGTTCTCCCGGGGGAGCAGACGAGAGGATAATACCTCTGAACACTATCAAGTCTTTCCTAAATAGCCGCGTTGCGTATATACCGCTCGATGGTCCTCTGCCTTCATACCTCCTTCCGCACAGCATCAGCAGACACTTCGATTCTCAGTGGCTGAAGGCAGCTTTTGGCTGGGATGAGTTCCATCTACCGGAATGGCTCCGCCATATTCTTGATCCACAGGTCAGGTCGTCGGACGCCGAACACGACATCACCCTCTCAGCGTCCTGGGCCGAAAGAGTTTTACAGGTCTTTACGCGTGCCTGGCCGTCATCGACCAAGGTCGTCCAGCAAGCAGTTGCCGATCTACTCAAGAATGTGCCTTGCGTGCCCACTATTACCGGCATGAAACTGCCAAGCGAAGTATACTTTCAGAATGCTCATGTGTTTCCCGATTTGCCCCTCGTCAAGCTGCCTTCCGGTGCGCCGATCAAGGGCACGCTTGAGAAGGTTTTAGAGGCGCTTGGAGTACGGAAGCACGTCGACCTTCAAATCATCTTCAACCGGTACGGAACGTGGATTTCTCTGCTTGTGAAGCCCGACTAACCGTGTACCAAGGATGATCAAAACTGGAGACTGGTCTATCATTGACCTCATCAAGTACCTGATCGCTGTCCAATCCACATTAAGTGACGATGAGATCGAGCGGCTAAAACTAACCGCAGCATTTCCGAAGGAACAGAGAGCCGAAGTACAGAAACAGCCACTGAATGAACCAGTCAAGCCGGAAAGGTACCGCGCGAACCAGCTGTATGAGCCGTCAGACCTATTCCGAAAGCTTGCTCTGCCAGTCATTGATTGGGGCCAGAACAAGTGGAGGCCCTCTTCTGAAGAGGGTGAGCAAGATGCCGCCTACCTTCCCGTGCTACTCGCTGAGATGAACTTGGTAGCGAAGTTCCTCTTTCGCTTAGGTCTGCTCAGGTCTCCTCCGCTGCAGACGCTGCTGGGTCTCGCTACCAGCTCGGATGAAGAGATACGGTCCCAGGCCTTGAAATATCTCCTTGAGAACCATTCGACTCGGTACAATGCCTACAACTCGGCGGACTTTGCCGATATCGCATTCATTCCCGCACTTCGGGATGGTAGACCGTGCATGGCAAAGCCGACTGAAGTGAGTGCGACAAAGAGATACCTTACGCGACACAGACTCAATGCTTCGCAGGTTTTTGCTCGCCGAGACTGGAGCGTAATGGGCTTCCCAGTTGCGAGCCCTACACTCTCCACGGAAGATTTGATCAAGTTAGGCATTCGGGACCATCCGCCAGCGATGACTCTTGTGAATCTGCTTACCACCGCGCCTCCACAGAATGAGGAAATCGCGAAACAGTGGTTCACTCTCATGGCTGGCCGTATAACGGGTTTGTGGATACCATATGGTTATTTAGTTTTAGTTTTATTGGCTAATCTCTTCGCAGAATTCACCCCAGCGCAACTACAGACGCTCTCTCAATCTCTCGTTGTACCGGTGAAATCGGAGGACAAACCTCTGCGGCTCATGGCGCCTCGTCAGTGCTATTTTCGCAACAGAGTCGAGACACAACAACTCCACTCAAAGCTGTTCACCTTTGTCGATTTCGGGCTCACCGCTAATCAATTCCTAAGCGCATGTGGTACCAAACGTGAGCCAACGGTAGAGGAGGTAGCACAGATATTGCTGGATAACCCTCGTCACTTCTACACGATGGCTGAAGGAAGGGATAGGTAGGCGTGTACACTATCTGACGCGGTCATAAGTAAACCTCGCGCACCTCATAGCTTTCTGGCCGAGCTACGCAACATCGCTGTCAACCGACGTCTGCTATCCGGGGGCGTATCTGCCCGTATGAAGCGATCTCCGATCCTCCTTGGCATTCGTCGTGTCAAACGTGAAAAGAAGAGAGAGTTTGACGAGGCCGACGAAGAAGAGGACTGGGATTACGAATACGATCTCCTGCCTGCAGCTAAGGTGGTCATTGCCGATGATACAAACGCTTATCAACTATTCGGCGATGCAGTATTCAGCTGTCCTCAAGAGGATCTCTTAGAAGGTAAGTCGCCGCAATCCTCGATGCAAGCTATCTCAAAACTGCTATCTAGATTTTTATCAGGAGCTTGGCTCGCGCCGCCTCAGCTCATTGATCAAGGACGAACATAAGCCGGCAACGGAGATCAAGCATTCAAAAAAAGCGCAGGAAACTCGGACGCTGATTCTGGAGCGACTTCCACTGTTCCTGCACGAACACACACACACTCAGACTCGTGTCCCCTACTCTTGGTTGAATCAGGAAAAGAATTTTGCAGTTCGCACCTTCGGAAAGCTCACTGTCGTCAAGTCTCTTGCGTACGACCAGCTGCAGATCATCAAGAATCAAGACTCCTCCGCCATAGCATTCAGGGATGGGCGGGGACCAATCCAGCTCTGGCTTGCCGGAAATGATGCCGTGGATATGTATGAGTGAGTAGCACATACCCCCTACTTCTCGCGGATGACCTATGGCATCACAGAGTCTCAACCTCTCTATGTCGCCTCCTGTTCGAGCATCCTCGAGCAAGCGACGCACTTCTTTTCATGACTATCCTTTCCACTGATTTGAAGGCGTTGAAGCGAAGGGGCTATAACGGTATGCTGAGCTTGAACCAGCCAGGCGTCCCAATCTCTAATTGTGTTATCTAGTCGACCGAATTCTTCAGCGACAGAAGGCTCAACGGCAAGCAGCCGAAGGTCTTGCACGCGAGGCCGAAAAGATGAGCCACACTGCGCTGAGGGAACCGGCGGTTCACGATCCACCGCTGCCGTCGTTGGAGTTGCCTGGCCAAGACGACGAGGTCTCTCTCGTCTCAGATTCGTCGACAGCGATCTTGTCACAGGATGGCACACGATCAACGTTCCGGAACTCTATTGACAACTGGAGGAAGAAGCTCACGGGCAAGTCGGGACCGTTATTGCTCGGCTCGACACCCGAAATGCAGCCGGCCTCCATGAGACCAAGCATTGAACAAGGCGACGGCGGGGGCGATGCACTTCTACCTCCCTCAGGTCCGCCAATATCTCGGCCGGTCACTCCTTCAGGTCCGACACCTATGCATAACATTGGTAGGTCTGATCCTGATTGCGTGAGCCGAGGTTGACATCGGCTTAGCCGCCAACATTGACATGGCCGTCCGCGCTTGTCGTGAGGAGAAGAGTGAGGTATTTATGAGCAAGACACAGGAGGATATAAAGGTTGTCAAGGAGTCGATCAGCGATAGCTACTGTGATGCCTCTGGGCAGGCCCTCGACTTGGCCTACGTTGGTGATATGGGTGGTATCAAATTTTTCTTCAGCCGAGGTACGGAGTGCTTCGGTGTTGTGCCGTTGCTGACACTGACGAAGGACTATCAGATGTGAAACACCCTAAAGAGGTGATGGCCAGGAAGAGGGAAGCCATCGCTCGTTTCATCCACGTCATCAAGCCTCTTGGCGACGTGTACGGTCTTCCACGGTCGAGTTTGCATATCTTCTATGACCTCACGAGTGGCACTATCGCCTTCAATCGTAATGCCAGCATTTTCTGCAACCTCAGATTTTTTGAAGCCTGGCGTAAGTCCCACATAACGACCGTGCTATATCATGTTTGATGCAAACCCACCTTAGACGACGCTCAGGTCGATCGGGGACAGATGGCGGAGGCCTACACATCATGGTATGTTCTGAACACCAACCCACCTGTATAACACTGATGTTCCCGCAGGTACTTTACGCTTGCACATGAGATTGCGCATAACCTAGTTCAGCCTCATAACGCAGAGCACGAGTTCTGGTTTTCAGCAGTTTGTGAACGCTTCATACCAGCCTTCACTCGACTACTGGCTAGTCCTTCTCTCTAGATCATTCTAGATGTGTCGCCTGAAGACCCTTCGTTTGGTCCAGTTCATCAGCCAGCATTGCACATTGTTACAGTAGCATAGATCCTGTACAGTATACAGTATACAGTATCCTCATCTTTGGATTCGTTTGCATCCTCTTGCCTTGCCGGCGTACGTTTGACTCTTTATTTGACTATGCAGATAAGCATCGAAGCTTGCGCGGCATCTCCGAGCTACGGCCCTACTGCGCCTCCCCGACCAATGTCTCGACGATCTCCACAGCCCGCCTGAACCTGGCTCTATCTTCCTCTGTGGGTTGTACAGTGCTTGTACCGCCTCCACACCCTCCAGGGCCGCCGTTCATCCACATGAGATCATCACAGCCGAATGCAATACTCGTATCCAACTTGTAAATATCCTCGCTACCCGGCGGTGATTCGGTAGGAATTGTCTTCAAGACGTTGTACAGTTCGTCAACAAGTTCGACCGTCTCGGGATTCGACGCGGAGAGGGACTTGGGCGCAGCATCCTGCAGCGAAGGTGTCCCGTCTGTGCGTACTGCGGTAGTGATCTGTAGATCGGAACGTTGGGGAGATCCCGTCACTGTGAAGACTGCATTAGGGGTCGGTGGTGCGAATCCGCCGGCGATGCCTACAGTTAGCATTATCATCCACGTCTGGGTTTCAGTATGCACTATACTCATTATACTTACCTTTCTGTAGCCGTAAAGAGAATTCTCTCGGCGCCATGTTAAACTTTCTTCCAAGGCGATGATGGTTTAAGACAAGCCTCATTGGCAGCTTTCATAGATTTTATACTTCAGCGACCGCAGCTTGGTGGGAGCGGCTCATGCCAATCACGTCAGTCTCATCGTCTCCACCCATCGATATGAAGGTTGATTTTAGCTAGTGAAGCGGTGCAAAATATCTTGTTCGTTTTTATATAGATCGAATAAACGAAGTCATGAAATGATGCAGTCCTCCTTAAAGCTAAGGTTATACATAGTCTTATCCACTGTTTTCTCAATTTTCTTCCAGTCTGATCGGCGCTGAATGAACTCGTACACGTCCTGCAAACCCTGGCATCAGAATCAAAGCAATACAACGAACGAGTCGCCTTACCTCCGGACGATACGCCCCACCATAGCGAGTAACGTCTCGCACGATCTGCGCCAAATCTTTCGCATCTTCGACAACGTATACGTGGCCCAGAAGCTTCAAGTACGAGAACTCAGACGCAATGCTGGGCACCTTGAGCGACGTGATGAAGGCATAATATGCGTTTAGGTCAGCGATAACCTGGAAGCCGCCATTAAGAGATATGATCTGCCGTTTGATATGCTTTTGTAAGATGCTGTCCTTCGATAAGCCATCACAGTCCCAAGACAAGAGGCGATAACATACGCTATCAATCGAATCCCAATCTCCTGATAGAACACTTCGAGAACCTCTTTACTGGTACTACCTTTGAGTAGCTGGCAGTGCATCTGTAGGCACTTGATCGCTTCTCTGCAGCCCTCGGTAGGCCCGAGCTCGAGCGGTTGGTCCTCTGGCGGGTAGTATTCACGAGGCTTGGTGTGCTTGGTGATAATATGCTCGACCTGATTCATGAGCGTCTCGGTGCCCATGTTCAGGCCCGCGGCGACGGAGTCATCAAGGATGTCCTCAAAGTGCTTCTTCTCGCGTACAGCAGTGTTCAGGAAATCGGTCTTATCTATGTGTGGTACCTGTGTTGCTCGTGCTGAGCCAGGGCGCGGTATTTACTGTTCAATCCTGATTTCACGCACCAGCTCTTTGTCAAAGTAAACCTGTACCATCGACTGCATTGTATCTCCCATATGCACCAGCTCGAAGAACTGGAGCAATGGCGCGACACTAGTGGTCTCTTCGTGATCTGCTGGCTGGTATGCCCTCATCTGCTCGGCCGCCCTATGCAACTTCAGCAATATTCATAACACCACTGAAGATCGACATACCTCTCGAACCCAGGTTTGATGTGCCGCTCGCCTAAAGCCTGCAGGAATAATACAAAGATTTCCTCCACTGTATCGTGCACACGGCGCCCGTACTGGCCCGGATATCCTGCAAAAGTCTCGCAGCGTTTTAACGACTCCCGGTCTGTGTGGATGAGCTCCAGAGCTATGTCGAGCGATAGTAGCATCTCGAACTGGTCAAATGACGACCCCGAGGGCACGGGCGTTGTTGCGCGTGTCGAGATGCGCGTTGAATTTGAATCAGACGAGAGGGAAGGTGCGAGACTTGGGGATGGAGATATCGTAGAGGTCAACGAAGCAGATGCTACGCGGCGTAAGCCACAAAATTTGTGAGGTGATAAGACTGGCGACCCACATCGTACATGTTTCTTTTCTCGAACCGTCTCTTTCTCCTCATCTTCCTGACCGTTTTCATCTCCGATATCAAACACAGTTGCGTCAGTGCCCGCCTGACCGAACTCCGCATAGCCGTCTCTCCCAAGGGCACCACTCCCACCCCAGCGTTGGGGGTTAAGCATCGCAATGCCCTGTACCGCGGCATTCCCACCTGTCGTCAATGCGGCGCCGAAGGCCTTGCCCACGGCGACAGTCGTACGCGGTACGATCGTAACAGGCAGTAATAGGACATCAGTAAAGGACGCAAGAACGTTCCTCTTGACTTGCGCAGGGTTGTGCGAGCTAAGGAAACGTGCCTGTTCGTGTGGGGCGGTTGGTGTCGTAGCTTGCTGAGATAGCTGCGTGCATGCATGATCGGAGTCCTATGACAACCACTGATCAGGAAATAGACGAACCGTTCTCTCCCATGCACGACATATCCGGTCAAAACACAACTTAACGTATTCAACTTCCTCATCAAGATACTCGTCCATGTTTGGTTCAAACATCCGATATCTGTGCTAAGTGTCATGTGGTAAACCATACGCATGCATATTTGTAAAACTTACACGACATCTTCCGCACGGGTACGAGTCACCGCGGTAGCAGGACGCGCGCTGGAGACTTCCACGATTGCCTCCACCATACGCCAGGCCTCGCGAAAACTTGCAGCGGACGCCTTCAGGAAAATCTCATTCGATATCTCGCGTGCCCGCGTCAATAGCGAGGTGGTGTATTCACCTACCTACAAACTCCGTGGTTCAGCAAGATACGAGATACATGTGTTCCTCGACTCACGACTTCATTCGCCAGTCTCTCTGAGAATGAGATCAAAACGCCTGCGTCCGGGGGAAACACACGAACAGCACGCCCTCCTTGTTCTTTAAGCACTCTCATTGCATTCGCAATGAACGCATCCATAGCGTCGAAATCCAGTTGCTCATCCTTCCTAAGCGACATTAGGATGATAAATCATGTAGCCTCGGGGTGACGCACGTAAAGTTATCCAGCGGATCCCATTTACTCTGATGTTCATAAAATATCTCATGCTTGTCCATCCATGCTCGCGCAAGCTCCCATGAACCCTCCGACAGATCCCACACACCCCAGCTGGCTTGCGCAACCTCTGCCATTGCCTTTTCATCCCCATTGCTGTCATTCGCATCAAATGCTGTCAGCAATGCTTCGCCAAAGAGATCTATAGCGGCACGGAGCGATGACTGTAGTGTTTCCCATCTCCGTAGTGGCTTGACCCTGGGCGACAGAAATAGTGAGAGCAGACGCAAGACAAGTGATTGTTGGCTAAGGGGCGGTGCTGGTGCAGGGAAGAGTGCACTAAGGATTGTGTGTGGGGGAGATGACAGGGCAGAGACAAAGGGTTTGAGTAGACTGTGCGCACGAATGTATCGAGAGCGGAACGTTGGTCTGGGAGTCGTCCGTGTCACAGTCGTCGAGCTTTGATTAGATACACCGGTAAAGCCATACGCGAAATCGTCCATAGTGTCTGGAGGGGCATTGGCTGTAGTGAAGTCTCCAAAGTCATCGTCGGCGCCGTCGACAACTAGAGTCGGAGGGAGGCCGCCTTTGCGTATCGCGTTCCGGGCCTTGGACTGGGACTCGAGTTCGTCTAGAACAGCTGAGAGGCTGAGTCGCTCCGCGCCGAACGCCCGCCACCGTTTTTCCCACACTCGCTCGTCGGCGGACAGTCTTGCAAGGGCATGGCAGCTCAACGCATAAGTAGGGAAATCTGGAACTGCCACATATGAGAAGATGAGGATGTGTACGTCCACCGGTAGCCGTCCGATGAGAGAAAAATTAGCAGGAGCTCCGGAAGTTGAGAGCTTGGATGCGCTCTTTGCTGCTGAGGATGGAGTCGAGTATAATTTGATGGGTTCAAGAGTGGTAAACCTGTCCATAGTATGTACAGTAGTATATCATCGTACTAGGCAAGCGTAGCCCATTGCGCTTCGGGTGCTGCGGCTGTGGGCATTTAATGGAATGAGGCTGCATAGAACCCATTTAAAGCACGGGCACTTGGCGCAGTGGTAGCGCGCTCGCTTTGCATGATCACGTGAGTCGGCTTGCGATAGGTCGAGGGTTCAATCCCCTCAGTGTCCAGCTATTTTTTGCGTTTTGCCTCCAAACTTGCAGGGCTCCCATTGTATTATATATATATATATATGTGGTAAACACACAGTAAATGGCCGTAAACATTTATTGAGTATGGTCTGTTCATCAGGTGGCATCTGCGCATTCTGTATCTCAAGCACAGTGTCATGGCTGTTCCTATGGCCTGCTAGTGCCTCTTGCACAAACAGTCCCGAGTGGCCCAGGCAGGGGCAGCATCGCGAGACAGCACTATAACGTGAGGTAGGACCTACGGAGGTGACTGTGAGGCTTGTGCGAAGCTTGCGGGACTGCTATTAAAAAGCTAGCGCACTGGCCTCACCATTTGAGGGTGTGCAGCTGTCAGCTTAGCACTTTTGGGGTGGCATGACATACATTTGCATTAGGGCTTCGAGAGTTAGCCTAGAGAAAGCTGCCACATGGGTGCAGGGTAACCCTAGCGTGTGGGGAAATCTTTCCACTTGCCTTTAATATCACGTGCAACGCTGTCATCGCTGAATGAGGTAGAGTTAGTCTAGATCTCCCTCTTGAGTGAAGCTCGGGCTCACGACGGCATGCCGCACCAACAGTATCACTCTCGCAGGCAGACTGTGCTTACCACAGACTGCATGTAGAGGATCAGTCAATACATACACCGTATTTATCTCTCTGGCACCCGCCTCCAAACCGCGCTCAGTATAGGTCACGACGGAAAGAGACGAGATGAAAGGGGAAGCGAGGGAGCGCTCATAGGCCCCGGATGCGCATGGGTGAGGCGCACTCTTCGGCGCAATACATTAAATTTGTTAGCAAGACTACAGATGCACAACACTAAGACCTTTTACAAGCAATGAGAGAAAGCATACGTTTACTGTGTGTAAATGTCTACGCCAAGTTTACGAAAGTTCACTTACACACAGAAACAGTGAACAGTAATGCACGTTTATACACAGCAAACAAGCAACGAACCTTAACTGCGAAGCTACTCACCTCTCCTGGCCGTGGCGTGCCGCGTCTCCCCTTGGCGCTTACCTCGTGGCGCCGACAGACGCGTACGTCGTCCAATGGCGGTTCGTCTTTCGCTGTGTAACCACCATCTCGTTTTGCGCCATGAGTGCTCGCCAGCCATTTGTCCCGCAGCTGAGACCTTCTTCCAGGATGTCGACAGGCACTGGTCCAAGTCTTGACTCTCATGAGCAAAATAACTCTGGAGACACGTCTCCCAATGGCCCTCTCACGGACTCTGGTGACTCGGGATCTTATCATAAGCCCACTTCTCCGCAGGATATCCTAGTCTCGATCGCATCTCCTCTTGCCGGCATTAGCAAGCCGCTTAATATAGCTGGACTCACAAACTCGAAGCTTCGCCATGCTCGCAAGTCCCTCGACGACATTTCCTCTCGCGTTTATTCTCCTAGACCTCCCCTTACCCAGCATACGGCTCGCACTCCAGCTTCTGTCAGCTTTTTCTCTGCAACTTCTGATTCTGCGTCTATCCCATCGTTCCGTCTACCGCTTGCTCAACTTGCTTTCAAGTCTCGTCCTAGTACTACTGCCGACCAAATCACGGCCAACCAGACGCATATATCCTCTTTGCGCCCTGATACCGACGGATTACGCACTGTCCAGGCGAGCAATTACATCTCTTCCCCGCCATCTGGCTCCCCACGTCACGGGAATACGCGCTCATCTCTCGAGAATATCTGCGAAGAGGATGAAGGAAAGCTCAACGATACTTGCGGTGCCGGAAATCCTGAGCAAGATTTGCATCGTCAACATGACTCCAAACGTCATGCAGCCGCTCAGTCTGAGACATATGACACCGTCTACGTCTCTCCGGAACAGCGGCCCACCAAACCGCCCCTTCGTCGCGCCAAAAGACACATCGAGCGTATCGAAGACGTGGAATCGGAATCCAGTTCCTCGAAACGCCCTAGAATTGACAATCAGGAGGTGCGCTTGTATCTTTGGCCCTTCAAGGAGTCGTTTGAATATTATTTGTTTGCGTTGTACCCAGGCTTTGTGTGACCACGACGACTTGAGGTTTGATCTCGGCACTCCGCCCCCGCCCCCACCTTTCAGCCTTCCAAGTATGCATACGCCTTCCCCACCTCCTTATATGCGCCAGCACCCTGGAGATGTGCAAGAACCCGAGATTAAAGACAATGCGATCCGTCGCCTACTCGGACAAGACCTTGATGCCTACGCCAGCGCACATATATCCACCTACGAAGAGTCTAAACAGAGGTGGTCAGAGTGTTCCCAAGAAGAGTGGATGACCGGAGCAAACGGTACTTCAATTCCCTATAACACTAAGGCTTTCCAGGGTAAATATGGGCAACTGCTATATGCTGACCACCATGTGCACCAGAATTAACCGAGAAGTTTACGAAACTGATCGATTTCGTGAGTGACTAATCCTCTCGCTCTACGCGTTCACTCAAAATCACCCACTGTAGGTTAAAGATCACATGACGTAGGTTCATCTAGCCACTTCACATACCGCGCTCTAACGCTGCTATGCACACAGGGCAAAACTCGGGCTATATACGTCGCTGCATTCATCGCTTTCTGCACATCGTACGATGCTTGCTGACCGAGAAGAGATGCTGAAGAGTGTCAGAGACTCACTCGCGCGGGATGGCGACAAGTTTGTCTCGGGCAGGATCAGTACTTCGCATGACGAGGATGAGGTCAAGGAGAACCCAGAGCTTTGAGTTGCGAGGATACGGCCAGAGAAGCCCACCTCAGCATTCTGTAGATTGCATTTGTACGTATCGCACGAGTCTGGCTCAAGACAGTCTGTTCCTCACCACACTGGTACTTGATGGACTACATTCAATCACAGAGTAAGTGCGAGGCACACTCGCAAAAAATCTGGCGTGCGTGCGGCATATGCTGACATCGCGTACACAGCATTATCACAGCCCGCCTGCCGACAGAGCGGATGTCGTATGTCCGCCCGTAGGAGACTTTATCGCATGTGGTTGCGGTAGGGTGGGACGTAGACATTGGGTCATTATCCATAGCTCTACGAGCTTTGGAACTCTAACATGACTCGACCCGGTCTTGCATTGAGTGCCGTTATGGTACGGCTGTTAGGACATTCTCGAAAATCGTGCTTGTTGTTGATCCATGCCTTTTCATTGGCGTTAAGCTGACGAGCATGCTCTCGCTTGCCCTTACGTTCAGTCTCAAGACGTGCACACTGACCTCGACACGAAGTGACTAGATCACGGACCCCGCGAGTACGGCTTGCCGCTCAAACCTGTTCACATCCATTATACTATCCGGCTCGTATGTCTTGCAGTCGCGGTTAATCCCCGGTCGCAGGTCCTGCTTATGCTTTCCCAGTATATTCTCAGTGCTACTATTCCCAATCACGTCTACCAGATGTCTCATCTCTGCGTCCATCGTGCTCGTGCGTGTGTTAAGCCGCCTCCGTGTCCACCTTATAGTGAATTTTGTGAGCGGCAATGACACTATTTTTCTCGCGCTCTGTGCTTAAGCTCAGTCAATTTCGTATGAAAGTCTAGCTAAGGATGACGCACTTGAAATTTCGGAGATGGTGAGGCGATGCAACTCTCCGGTTCCCTCTGCTAGCGCTGTGGTGAGCATTTGGATCTAGTCCCTTACTGTGAACGAGTAGGCCTTACCTATAGGCATAGCCGTCGCCACGGGGGTGAAGAGAAGTACCAGAGCTGCAACGAATACTACTGACAGGGGTTGCATCTTGTCGTGAAGTATAGATGGTGGGCAGACCACGGATTTCAATCGCAGTGCTATTTATCAATCTGGGACTGCGCTCGTCCCATGGCGCACATCTTTCTCCCTTATCATGTGGAAGCTTCTCTTCCGAGACATGTGCTCTTCGATCAAGGCAAACAGGCAAGAATGAAGCTTGGAGAAACTTGAAGCTTTGAAGCCTGACCACTCGAGAACTTCCATGATGATGAAGACCGCGAGCCGCGCATCAATTTGGTTCGAGCATGCAGGGAGAGCGGGGATTGGCTGGGAACACTGGTGTTCATATGCTCTAGAGACGCGCTTCGCCGCCAGAACTCCAATGGCGGAGAAACGGGAAAAGTTTCGGGCCGTTGATCCCAGAAACGACTGGCCGCAATAGCAGGACTCTGGTTTCCCCCGCATGTCCCGCGCCCGCGCGGGCAATCTTCTACTGCATAGGAATATTTGGCTTTTGAGCAGGATTCATTTCGAAGCAGCACGCTTTGAGCAAACGTTTAGAATGTACCGGTATATTTGGCGCTCACAAAGCTCCCAGAAACGCATCTTTGTGCGTCATGAATCAGATGAAGTCTTCGACTCGTCGACATGATAGTGGATACTAGAACCACGCAAAATGCTCATCCTCTCTGTGTCCGCTCGTCAGCAAGGCGTTCAGCCATCGTGACCTAGTCTGGCTTACCATTCAGGAGTTTGAGCGTAGAAACGCGGCGGAGTGCCTCAATATCCCCCGTTAGCGTTATAGCACCTTGTCTTCGGCCGTCATTAATATTTCAGTTAGTTGTGGAGTATCTTCGAACCCAATTAGCCGTAGTGTATGTCGCTGCGGGGCGGAGCATGGAACTCGCGATAGTTAACTTTTCTCCCGTATATGCGGCTGCCGATAAGGGTCGTCGCATATACGACGATGTATCGTCTTCTCTAGCCGTGCATGGCAGGCGCAGAGCATGTTATATCGCCGCCCGGGAGCTCACCTTTCTGCGCGAAGCACGGACAGAAGCTGGTGAACAGAGACCGTGAGTATACCGTCCTGCACGTGTACTCTATTCGCTACTTACGTTATCGGGCAGTTGACTCAGGACCAAAGTAATGGGCAGGTGCTGGATCCGTGCGGCGATTATTTCTCAAACCCGGGCCGCTTGTGATGGACTGTGAAGGGGATATTCTTCTCGGGGCGGTACGCTTTTCTCAAGGATGGCAGCCAGAACCTGACCGAGCGTATCTTTGTGGCGCACTGTTCCACTTGGTGGGGTTACGATCGTCCCAACCAACTTACCATAAGTCAGCCCCGTTTGGGAGGTCTCCTCGATGACGACCGGTGGGACTCGTTCGAAACGGATAGCTTTAGCAAGGTCGGGCCGCACAATCGCCCACTTCAGATCTCGATGAAGCACCGGCCGTACTGCTTGGACGTTATCCGAGTCGGCTTTGTTGCGAGCCTTGCACATCATATCGGGCATTGTCTCCGATATCTGAGACCAAGTATGCTATGTCACGGGTATACAACACTCGAAGAAAGTCATACAACGCTCAACAGCGCTGGGAAGTGGATGCAGGCAGCAAGTGAGATAGGGATGGCGCATGAGTGCGGAGACTGGACGATGGTGAGGAGGTGCACGAATACACATCCAGCTGATGACTGTGATTCGCCTGACTGCATATGATGGAAAACGATTGTTAACCATTGGCAGTATGATACACTCAACTTAGTTGAAATTTACGCTGTTCATGAGAGCGCGGTAGTCTCAAATTGAGGAGAAATGCAACGTTACTGCATCGGGGCATGGTACGGAGAAAAGAATGAAGTATTATACTATAACACAATATGAGTATGATCACTGACGTCAGGAACTTGGTGCTTACCAGTTGCATTCCATCATAGCTCAATCTCACGGACACCGTCCTTGTCTACTATCTTGACCTTGAAGCGGGCGGGTGACACTACCAGCCGTTTGGACACCTCATCTATGCATCGCTTTAGAGTGGCAATGCCCTCTTCAACAGTTGCCTCCGGGTCATGATATCTGTGCGAGTACATCAGTTATCAACATACGAGCATAATACTCTTATACTCACTTATCGAGGAGTGAAAGCGTGAAGTAGCTTCCATAGCCGTGCGCAGCGAAGGGCACCTCTGCAAGTGTACCAAAGTAGTCCATCCAGTAGAGATGCGGCATGTACGTGCTCGTGTCGTATCCGCCGAGGAGCAAGTTGACAGAATACGGCTTCCGACTGCGCAGCGAGTCTGCAAGCGACCGTCGGATCCAAGAGGCGGCGGATGGCGGGCGGAGAGGGAAGTTGTTGCGAATGTGATACAGACGGATATTCCGTTCGATGTATTCCGCGAATTGCACGGTGTCACCTGGCAGACAGAAGGTTAAGTTATAACGGGATACCAAGTGTAAGGAGCCCGACACACCAGGCTCTCCGGAGTAGGCCATGAGTAGGCACGGACTGAGCTCTTTGATCTTGTCTACATCAGTCTTGACCTTGATAATTGAGTGCACGGCGGTGGTGTCAGCGGCGAGGAGTACATAGCCTTTTCCCGTAAGTGCGAAGGCGGTCTCCATCGTGGCTAATGTGGAGGCGGAAGTGGTGGTGGATGGGCGGAAGAGCAAAGCCCTACTCGTGCAGGACGCGTCACTTCGCTAAACGCCCACACACTCGCGACTGTCAAATAGGCTGACTCAGCAGATATCCCTCGCACAACTCCTTCAAACTTCGTCGTCGTCGTCGTCACCGCCGTCGTCACTCTGGCTATCGTGCACAACTTCCAGGAATCTCACCAACGTAATATTAACGAGATGCCACAGATGAGCGAGCTCAAGGCACGTCGACGCGCAGACTATCCTTACTCTCTCTCGTATAGGACTCGCTGGTCAGTAGCATTTTACATCATCGCTTGCATAGCTCCCGACGATGTACTAGGAGCGACAATGACCAATACGCGCATATAAATAACTCTGTTTACTACCACTTCTTCGACTCTATCATCAACACTTATCTCATTCATCACTGCGGCCTCCCGCCTCGGACTGCTGATGCACCACTCATCGGTCTCGTCGTCTCCTCCTTTTGCCACTTCTTCGAACCACTATCGTTTCCATCTGTACTTGAGCTCGGCCTTCGTGTTAGCAAGCTCGGTAAGAGTTCGGTAACCTACGAAGTCGGCGTATTCGGGGAGGGCAAGGACGCACCAAGTGCAGTCGGAGGCTACACTCACGTCTTTGTGGAGAACCAGAGTAGAAAAAGTACGCAGATGGGCTCAAGGACAAGGAAAGGGCTCCAGGGACTGCAGTCGTCTATCCCAGTACAACTGCGAGCAAAGCTATAGGAAGTTATCGATGCTCATCTGTGCGCTCGTTGTTCTTTTGCCAGTGCGGTACTCGTCATGCTGGACTTTAGAGGGCCCGCCGGTATGTGATTCCCGGAGTTGTCCATTTCCTGTGCTGAGCCTTGCAGTACGGCGCAAAACTGTCAATACTAAGATTTGAGTGCCTGGATTCATACATAGTCTAATCCCCCGGTACTACTCCAACTCAGTACCAGCCGGCTTCGACCCTGAAGAAATTGATCGCTACGAGCCTTCAGTCGCCGTAATAGCTGTCCGTGTTCGGACGCCAGAGGTCGCGAGTATCTTGAAAATCGAGCATGCCGTGCAGAGCGCTGTAGACCTTGTTGATCCGGCTCCAAGTTGTCGCCATGCAAGCGACGTTGATGGCAACAGCTAGCACGACAAGGACAATTGTCCAGACAGCCAACGAGGAGACGGAACGGTAGTCGCGATAGCCGTCCTCCCGCGGGTGGCGGAGGCTGTCGAACTCCTTCTCGACATCATCCTGCGCAAGCGGTGTGTACTCTGAATCTTGCGTTGCCATGCCTACATATAACGTGAGTGTGACAGAATCTGTACGAGTTCTGACCAGGACTGACCGCTACTCGTGATGCGCAGGGTGGCCTGTGCAACGGGGAGAAAGAGTGGGTTTAAGTACCTATAGCATGGATCGTGATCAATTAGACCCGGAAAGCGGCGCTGCCTCCTGGCAAGTAATGCACATCTCAGGCCAGTCCCTCGTGTACGCGGCGTCTTTGCTAGTGACCCTGATAACAGCCTAAGTGTGGCACATGCTCTCAGCGAATCTGTTACCTGCCGTATAGCCGACATATTTGAGCATGTGCTGCTTGCAAAATGACCCATTTGTTCGCGGATGTTGCGTATACGGGTTCGCTCCGTGCGGCGCATGACAGGTGGCTGATGCGAGTTTATTCATTTCCCCGAACGTCCCACGCTCTAGGGTCGCCTGCCGTTATTTATCTCCATATCCCCGCGCCCCTCTCTTCAGAGCTAATCTCAACACAGACCCACCAACATGCTCTCCGACGACCTCTCTGATCTGATAGGATTCGGGTGCGAGGCTGTCCTTTGGGGTATGTGCATTCTTTGTGACGGCATTCGTGCGCCTAACGGTCGAGATCGGCAGGCATGTACTGTATCCTCTTCATCGTCTCGATTATCGTCATGCTCTGCTCGTCGTACTCGCCGCGATCGAATAAGTTCATTTTTTTCATGAACTGCTTTCTTTTTACCTGTGCAACGACGCACTTTGGGATGACTTTTAACAGTTTCTATACTATCCTGGTGCGCCCGTACGTCTCATTCCAAGCGCTTCCGCTCACCCTATGATCTATCACAGGGAAGCACGGGTGTCGATGGCTATGCGAATGGGTCTCCTGTCGGCTTTGGCGAGAACATCCTCATTTCCGTCACAGACTTCGTAGGAGAATGCATTCTTATGTACCGCTGCTGGGGCATTTGGGGCGGGAACCTCTGGGTAATAGCAGTCCCTTTCACCGCTTCGCTCACAGCCCTTGGTGCGTTGCTGCACGTTGCTTCTACGTACAGACGAACGCTCATGGTGGCGAATTCTAGCTTGCTTCTGTGGTGGCATCGGTCTTATCTTGCAGATTGCTCCCACTTCACCGTCACCCCCACCTGCAGCGCAGCCACTCGTCTTCGCAGCGTACATTCTCCCGCTGATCGCAAACTTCATGCTTACGGTCCTCATTGCCGGACGTATCTGGTGGCTGACAGGCATAAACACTTACACCGTCACATCGCTCACCGGTAGGAAGAGCATCGCGTTTAAGACCGCGATGATCATCATCGAGTCTGGGGTGCTCTATTTCGTCGTGCAGCTCGTTTACTTGACCGTCTTTGCGGTGGGTAACAGCTCAGACCAACTCATGTCGCTTGTCGCTGTGCAAGTCTACGTATGTCGTTCCCTGATGGACCAGCTTCTTTCGTTAATATATGTGGGCCGTAGGGCATTGCCCCAACGCTCATCATCATCCAGGTTGGCTTGGGCTTCTCGTCTGAGGAGTCGACACGCCCGACTATGACGAGTACCGGGCTTTCATTCGTGCACGGAGGTCTTAGTCAAGGCACGACACGCACAACGACGAGCGCCCCGACGAGCGATATGCCATCGACGACGCGCTTCGGTAACAGCGAACCCGATATCATGATCGCGGGCAGCCGAAGCAACATTGAGTTCTCGGAGAATCCGGAGAAGAAGGAAGCGTTCTTGGTGTCCGCTGTGTAAGCCAACCTGTCGTTTGAAATCCCCAGCTATATGGCGCTCTTTTGTTACACTTGCCTTATTCAATTGCTTTCTACTTACTAAAACTCCGCGTCATCTGAAGCTACGTTGCGCCTATAGGCTGCGATCCGCCGCCCTAGGTTTGTACATCGAGATCTACACCTCTTCTGAACAATGCTTGGCGACTGAAGGTTTATTTGAATTTCTGCGTTTTCGACAGTTCAGGTCCGTAGGATCAGTGCAAACGAAGACGCTACGCTAAAGTACACTAAACTGGGATAATTCGTAAGTCGTGAGGGGTCAGAGATTGTTCCATGGGACGATCTGAGCTTCATCCCAACTTTACTCTCATATACAGTCTGGGGTGATGCAGTCATCTGCAGGGTGCGCATTCATATACCGCCTCACCGCCGTCCAGTCCCGACACTCATGCACCATCCCATATCCGCCAGCCGCATGCTCCCAGATCCCACTGGTATTCACGTGGGGTTCGTCTTCCTCGAGCGTCGTGTCCGCGCAGCAGAGCACGCTCTGGCGGAGGTAACGCAGGCAGTGCTCGATGTGGTGGGCGAAACCGGTGCGGTTCGTGACGAAACCGACGCGAATGACGTCCAGGCAATGCAGCTGGTGCATCATCGAGATCTGGAATGTGCGGTCATGCGGGCCCACTTTGCTAAAGCCGTCCGTCTCAAAGAGCGAGCCCCATTGGGCATCATCGAGTAGGCCCCAGCCGTCGGGGTCTTCCCACACAATCCCGACGCGCCCGACATTGATAGGCAGCTGGTCCGGGTGGTCATTGCCCCACCAAGCTAGCAAGCGTGTCAGCACTGGCGTTTCAGAGACATGTGAGGGACCATACAGTATTCTTTTGGAGACGGCGGTGTTATAGCACGCAGGCGGAGGTCGTAGCGGTAGGTCGTTACCGCATTGAAGACCGTGACGAGAAAGAGGGCGAGCGAGAGCAACAGTACTGTCGAGAACGCGGCCATGATGTGGGACCGGTGGTGCTCCGGTGACTTGGAGAAGAATCGTTGTATATGTAAGAACAGGTTCGTTTTACGCTTTACGGAAAAGATCCCGATTCAGATGCGCAAGGCAGTCTGCTAGCCCGTGCGTAAACATCGCTGCAGAAGGAGCCAGGGATGATCTGTGCCCGCCCACGCTGCGTGCATTTGATTTACCAATTTCAGAAGTTCCGAGTACTCGGGCTCACTAGGGAAAGGAAGACGTACCGACAGCCGGCATCCGTTCTTATCGCTGAGCCAACAGATTTCTCCAGAGATTCGAAGTTACGTGCCCAAATTCAGGCCATGGCCTTAGTCCGTCACCTGCCAGCGCTCTTCAAGTTGGCGCAGTGGAGGAAATAGAGCGCGAGTTCTGATCCATTGTTGGTAAATGGCATGCTTGTGCTATGACATATCGGAGAGCATCTCATCCGGTGCTAACGGTGCTCCGGCCCTAACATAACGTTCGCAGAACAGTCTGTAAGTGGGTATTCTCATTCGCAACGGAAACCTCGGTGGCCCACCTATTCAATGGCGGACTCGGCAAGCGCGCCATATCTATTGTGTATTGGCCTGATCTTCCAGGTTTGTCCGTATAGGAAGAGGGGTCGCAGTCCAAAGTGCACATTACACTTACACTTACACCTTGTTTGACGTAACTTTGGATGCTGCATGAGACTAGCAGACCGGTTATAGACACAGCGTCCAGAATGAAATTCAAGCAAGGTCAAATCCTATGCAACTTGCCCTTTCCTAGCCTTGGTTAGCTTGCACGAGACCGACATCGCGTCTTCCAGCGGGCACTGCCCAGGCTTCGGCCTAGCAAACGCTGCACCTCTTCGTGAGAGTCACCGCCCATGCCAGCTGGCGAGAAGAATGATGCTGATACATCTCTTCGCCTCTTCCGTGAGACCGGACGGCCACACGTACTACCGCTGTCGAAGAAGCTTTAGGGTACGTTTCTTATAAGGTAAGTGTTGCTAATGAATGACCTTTACAAAGAGTGGTAATGCCTCAGCTGTGAGCACAATGTGGTGACTTCATCCGAGCGGCTAAATTCATGAAGCGCCTCTGTCTGGCAAAAGAATGTGGCGTAATTATATGTCAAGTGCACCTCGATATTACCCAGCCGCAATTGTGACCACGTATTTGTCATGAGTGCCTCGAGAGATTGTTATAGGAGCTTGTACAATCCGGCTGTTCGTCATCAATCAGAAATCTAGACATAGAACCCACCTATGATTACTGTCGACGCTGAATATTTTCCCGGGGTTCTTCGCGGAGAACATGTGGTGTCGTCTGGGGCAAAGGGTCTTCTCGTTGTCTTCGGCACCCGGGCTACCTAGACTCTCCTACTAATGGATAGGCCAGAAGCACTTATTGCCGAAGCATAGTGGGATGGAATGCCTCCGGAGGCAAGCACTAGGGCGTCATAATCGCGCTTAGCCGATGCTTAAACGCAGAGGTGTGGGCACGATCACCAGCGGACTACCGCGATTCATTGCCCCCGCAGTATTCTGGCATGCACTTCTCCACATTTGTTGTATATCCGTTTCTGGCCGTTGGTCTAGCTAGCGCGGCACCTATCGGTACGGATCGAGATTATGATCACTCGTGCGGCCAAGCTAACTTTGCGTACCTAGCTCACCAACGTGGGCCTGAAGTCGGCTTACTGATCGGTAAGCCTCGTAAAATTTCGTGAGCAAGACAGACAGAGGTGTAACCTAGGCACAAAAAAGGGGACGGACGGATCTATCTGCGCACACCGCATTCATTACAACGTGAACGAGACGGTGTAGGGCGAGGATGTACTTCTCGGAACGATGGCATTGCAAGATGTGTTTTGGGGAAGGATGAAGGCCAGATTACCACCGGATTGAGGGGTACGGACCCGCAACACTTGGTTATCCGCACCCGTTGCATACAAAGCACTACCAGACTTGACAGTACCCGTGTAAGATTCTCAACCACAATTGAACTCACACATCCTCGTCGTAGTTCATGGGAGCCCATACACATCGTTCTACCGCGACATCTACAAAGCATTCAGTACGAGACAAGGAAGCGCATCTTACAAGTGACGGCTCGCTCACCGACATGGCCACGGGGCTTCACCGTTCCGCCCTCGGACCGGACGTGTCCTTGCCATCGAGATAAAAGCATACCAATAAATGATATCGGACATAGCTTCATTGTGTCTTGCTTGCTTGCGAGCGTTAGACGAGACGGATGCATCGAGTTCCAAGGCAAGGCATGCGTCTCGTGATAACACACTAGCACCGAGCACAGCACGTAATGTTAGTCCAGCGGGACGATATCAGGTGCTCCTTCGAGACGTTGCTTCTCAGCCAGTATTCCCTGTTTAACCACTAGCGATATTAGCCTTCTCACGTTGCGAGGCATTTCTCACCCCAATTACATGCTTTCTTCTGGCTGTCGTAAACTTAGCGAGTGCAGCACCTTCCAGAGACGCCAGAGATGCCTCTCCGTTCATTCTGGAAGACAGAGCGTTAGCTTCTAGAGCGCACTTCAAGGTTGTAATGGAGCGGTCCAATTGCTTCGGTACGGGAGCATGACGAAGTGGGCGAGGGGGCGTGATTCCCGCACCAGAGGACTACGAAAGCGGAGCGTTCCCCCGGTGGTCTGGTTGGAGGGCACGAGGTCCGCTACAAAGCGGATGAATCAAAGCACGATGTGTGTATTGCGCTGGTACGATCGTGAGATGACTTGTACCTAGCTTTCGCTCGCACATTGGTCGTAACCAGGCAGCCACAACTTCCAAGTGGTCGACTCGGCCGCGGACTTAGCAGCACCGAAGTGCAGCGACAAGGACATAACGCTGCCTGCTCCGACGCTGCGTGTGCAGCACGCGGCATTCCTGAGCAAAATTGCACAGCATGAGTTGCGAAGATAGACTAGTAATAGTAGCCTACCATGTAAGGGCATAGTTAGCTCGTCGATAAAGCCTTAGGGCACCAACAGCTCGTCTTGGCACGCACATGGAAGTGGTCTCGGTGTGATTGTACACCTGAACCTAAGCTTCAATCTAGTGCAATAGATGGCGTGAACGAGAGCTATATGGTTTTGGGGCCATCGAAGCCGGCATACTCCGCTCACACCGTACATATAAACTCGTCACACGGCTGAGTATTCCTCCATTCGCTTTTGCATAATGCGCGTCGTCACCTATATCGTGTACCTCCTCCTGCCGGCTGCTGGTCTGACCAGTGCAATGCCCATGATCAGTGAGCAGCTATACTTCTGCTAACAGGAGCTGTACTGAAAGTATGCCTGTCAGTGCGCCCGAAGGACGTAGCCGAGGACTTCGGCACCGTAGTCCCGGGAAATCTGCAAGGTAAGTAAGGGGTATCTCAACTATGGACGAGGACTCACCGAAAAATAGAGCGTTCACCGGCAGGCGGATGTCCAGTATTGGCTCACAAGATTCATTACACGGTGGGCGAATCCACTTGAAGGCTAGAGGTGAGGCGACAATCATTTCGGTCAGTCATTCTCACAACTCACGAATTCAGAGTAAGCAAGGGTTGGCCATGAGGATATACACAAACGTAACGTGGATAGGGTCCGTAGGCGGTAAGCGGTAGTCGGGATGAAATGCGGCAGATGTAGTTGTGTATGATGACATCATGATGACTTAACCATACACGCCGCAACTCGGACGCCAGCTGATCACAGCTAACCTCGATGAGCGAGAGATCCCATATGTTCACAAGAAACGGGTACAAGGATAGTTCAACGGGAGGCTGCCTATTATTTGCTATGTCCGACAGGCTCTCTGACCATCTGGTGCCCCTCGTGAGTACAATCACGAGACACACTCAAGATACTCACTATGGCAAGCTTTACGGGCTCTTCCGTCCATGTAGGGTTATCGTCACCCAGAATAATGTGGTGCGCAATCTTGAAGCCAAGAGACTCGTAGAATGCTGTGTTATCGCTTACGTTTGAACTGACAAGCCACGTCGCTCGCTCCTCCCTGTCAGCCTATAGCATCTGTTTAGAGGGTATGGTGAAGCGGAGTTTGACACAGTACTCCATACCTGGTCCGTCAGGGTTCGAATTAGAGACGACGCGTAACCCTTGCGTCGATGCTCTCTGATAGTCAAGAGTGCGTCAACACTCAACATGTCCTGCAGACGAGCACCTATGCATTCCTGGGCGCAAATCTTCGCCTTGTCTGCGAATTCTTTTCGACGCTTGAACTAATGTCATGACCCGCCATCCAAAACCAAATGGATATATGCGCACCTTTTTCTGCTCGGGGCTCTCCAGCAAGCTGCTCAGCCCAGAGAGGCGCGTCAGAACGGCTCCAACCAGTCGGCTAAGAGGTGATTCCGGTTTAGTGGATTGAGATGGAGCAAAACCCCTGCATTTCTCGGTGTCAGTCGCAAGGTAAGCTGCGAGCAAGCAAACACGGTTCACCAAATCATCAGCGAATAAGCTGGACCGACGCCCCACAGTTTTCCTTGTCTAATGAAGTTCGCCCACGACGGATACAACAGGATGTAAAAGAGCATTTCCCTTATGGGCGAAGTCTTCTTGTCCTGTCATCGCCGTACAATCTGCGTGAGGCCCAGCCCAAACTCGATGCACGTATGCACGTACTGATGTCCCATCGGTGTAACGGAGCAGAGAATCTATAGTCAATTGCTGACTGCGGGTCACATACACAGAATGCACTACGGCAGGCAAGTCCACTGAGACATCATATTAGCTGCGACGTATAGCAACTACAGATGCAACATACTGAAGCCCAGCTGTCTCGGCCCAAAATCACCGCCCGCACGTATGGGGTCTTGAGAAGCCATTGTCGACCCTGCGTTGCAAAAGCTGCTTCAAAGCCAGGGGGACGACGAACGACGGTCTCGAGAGCTTTCGCACGCGTTGCCCTCGTTGGCGGGCTGATAAGTAGGCCATCGATGATGAGTTGATAGAATGCCATGATCAGCGTTCCTGACACCCACGGTCTATTGTCCACGCTACTCGCTTTCGTTACCTTCCGTAATTGCTGTGCTCAACAACGCCTGGAGCATATTCATGTTATGTCCGAGGTGTCACGCGAATATATACGGCGAGAATGAAAGAAAGAGCTTTCGATCGCAAGTGCCGACAAGTGGTCTGGAAGACCCTTTTTTGGGGGAGAGGGGTGTCGGTAAGTGCGTAGAGCGTGCGCCGGAGCGTTCGGAACTCGACCAAACACATAGAGACAAGAGAATTGTACATGGTCACGATTTACGTTCATGGTCGGGGAATCAAGACCTATATAGGCGCCTTGGGGTCCTACCGATGCGTATCAGGGTTCTTGGGGTCAAGCCCTCAAAGCCCTCCGCCAGTCTCGCCCGCCGAGTAACTTTGGCCTCAGCAAACCCTCTAGACTCGCCCACCAAAGAGCAAGAAGCAATGACTTTCTCACCGGGGTGCCATCCGCGTCGTTCCGTATTGCTCTCACGACATCGTCACCAGTGCAACCGACGTGTGACCTTCACCCTTATTGTGCCAAGGTACCGTGTCCTGTCCGGGATACGTGTTGCGCGCTAGTGGAGAATTTTTTAGGTTCCAGAGGCCAGGAACTGCTGTATTCGGCTCGTACCTTCAAGGTGCTACAGTCCCAGACGCCCTGGACCGGAGGTGATAGGTGAAACATCCACTACTGATCTTGTGGCGACAGAAGCAACTAGACCGTGTTGTATTCTCATCCGGCTATGCGGCCTTGGCAGCGAGTCTAGCACACGAGTTGCATGAGGGACTACTGCAAGCCAGAATGGTGGATTCCTTCTCACACATCCAGGGGAGGTTAGCCAAGGCTACCAAGTGAGTTTGGGCCTCTGTGCAGCGTCTGTACAACATCTCAGTGCATTACATGACCAATTAATGGCGATGACACGATATCGACTAGCGCGGGATGCGAGGAGCATGGCCGCACGACCTGCGAGACCACTGTCATCGAGATGGAAGTTAAGAACTTCGACTGCTTGGCCGGGGCTGGTTGCCCATGGGATACTTATGGAATTAAACGCTGTGCTGCGATACGTTTGTCTCAGAGGAATAAATACACGCACTCGGGGACAGTTCTCGTATGGACACTCTTCCCACATCGCCCTATCGTCCCGATCCTGTAATGCATCTTTTGAAGCTCACCGCATGCATTGTGCTCGCTATTGATCTGACTGACGCGGCACCTCTAGGTGAGGTGAACATATGCGACTAGAGCTTACTGGTACTAGTGGACTTACCTTGGAAATCTAAGTGCCGCAGGGAGAAGCAGTAGTCCAGTCCCAGAATCTCGCGATCAGAGGCTTACAGGGTACACTTTTCCGGGCATGTATAGGGTTATATTCACAGACGATGCGTGTATATTCCATAGCGCTCGGTCGTCTGAACTCACAGGATACACTACCAAGTGGAGGAGCCTGAGTCCGAGTCTAGATCTTCATCTTCCTAAAATGTAACATGCACATCAGCTGTATCTTCGAGCATATCAGATACCTTTATGGAAAGTTAATGGATCCAGATTTCATCGCGATAGCGGTGCGAGGTGCTAGCTGGGCACACTAGAGATGCAGTATGGAGATGTGCTTTTATTTCTGGGGTATGAACGTTGCACGTTTGAACGCCAATCACATGCAAGGCTCAGCTGGGAGGTTGACTGGCAGATAAGCAAGGATGCTCACTTCGCGCCTTGCGCACACCGCAGCAGAAGTATTCTGTCTGCCGCAAGACGGGCGCCGCAGGAACTCGCACTCCAAGGACCATGACGGGGCAATGCCGAAGCAAGGGTGATGCTGGAGCGTCGTGACTCGAAACTACCATCTAAAATGCGCGACGCTTGCTTTGGAGTGCTGTATGGATGAGCTATACCACAGGCTGATGCCAGGAGGCCAGACATCGCGAAGGACATGATGATGCGACGCAGAGGAGCGCGGCACTAGATTAAGCGCCCAAAACAGTCACGTGGGACATCGCACGCGTCGTGGACGCGAGAAGTGCGCGCCTGATATATCGCGAATTTTGATGATTATCCCATTCCTTTGACCTCTCTCACCACGACCGATGTCCGACCTCCCTCAACTCCTCCTCGCCTCCCTCAATCCTGTAACAAGAAAACAAGCAGAGCAAAGCCTCCACGCACTCAGTCAGCAGCCAGGCTTCCTCCCCCATCTCCTCCGGCTCGTTCTCGATACATCGCAAGACAGGTCTGTGCGGTTGGCTGCGAGCGTATTCTTCAAAAATGTCGTCAAGAACAGGTGGGACGATGTATGTATCTGTTGACTTTTGTGCTCTTCGACTGCTCAAAGTAATGCATAGGAGGAGGCACCCGTCTCAGAGGTAGACAAGACATCACTGCGCAATGACCTCGTCCCGACCATGATCACGCTCTCTGCGCCCACGGACAAGCCTATTCGAGCACAAATTGCAGAGTCTATCTCGCTGATTGCTAGTGCTGACTTCCCAGAGCCATGGTCTGATCTCATAGACGTGAGTGTTGTCTCCGTACGCCTAGATGCGTCGCTTAACGTCATGACGTCTAGAAACTGGTCAGCTCGCTGTCAAGCACGAATTACGCCATCAATATAGGTGTCCTTCAGACAGCACATTCCATCTTCCAACCCTGGAGAGCCGCAACTCGATCTGATGCGCTGTACACCGTCATCAACTACGTCCTGTCGCGGTTCAGCCAGCCATTTTTGCAGCTTCTCGAGCATACCGCAGAATTGCTTTTGAACAGCGTTTCTGGAGATGCTACTTCGACTCCAAATCTGCGCGCGCAGTCGATGCAGCTACTTGTTGAACTCTTCTACGACTTAACGTGCCAAGACCTGCCTCCTGATCTTGAGGACAACCACGCTCGCTTCTTTGCTCCCCAGACTGGTCTTTTCCTTCGCTTCATGACTTGGGATCCTCCAGAGCTTCGTGGCGACGTAAGCGCAATCGTATATCTTGCGTGCTCATACGTGCTTACAGTACCTTCGACAGCCAGATGATACTATCCCATCCCTACCCTCCCAAATCAAGACTGGTATCCTCGAGATCGCCGAGATGTACATCAAGCTGTACCCTGAAACCTTACAGAGTTCGGCTTCTGTAGAAGCTCTTGTCCAGGGTGTCTGGGAGCTCGTCGGTGGAGGGAAGCGTCCAGGTGTTGCGGACGATCAGGTCCGTGCTATGCTTGTATGTACTTGGCTGAGATGCTAAATCGTGTATGTATAGCTTGTCTCCCAAGCCTTGCGCTTCATCTCCACTGCGATCCGATCTGGCCACTACAAGCAACTTTTCTCCTCAAAAGACACAATCTCTAGCCTCGTTCAGGGTGTCGTCGTACCCAACGTTGGACTACGGGGTAGGTGCATACCTAATCCTTTTGACTTGAAGCAGCTGATATGGACAATGATCAGAACACGAGATTGAGCAATTCGAAGATGATCCTCTTGAGTACATTCGACTCGACCTTTCTCTTCCCTCCGCCTCTGGTGGTCTCGGCCTTGGCTCGCATGATGCTATGACCCGCAGGCAGGCTGCTGCGGATGTCTTGCGCGCACTTGTCTCGTCTGGCTTGGAGTCCGAAGCCACAGAGGTCACCGGTGCCTGGATCAACCAGGGCTTGGCCGAATATAACAATAATAAGACCAAGGAAGACAGCTGGAAGGCGAAAGACACTGCCGTTTACTTGCTCACTGCTGTTGCGACTAGGGGAAGTACCACGCAGGTATGATTTTAATTCAGAGGACGTGCTTGTCACCATTGACAACGTCGTCTAGCACGGTGTCATTTCCACCAACACCTTGATCGACGTCGTTCGGTTCTTCTCCGAGCACGTCTTTCAAGATCTTCAAGCTGCCCCGGGAACTGTACACCCCCTCCTCCAAGTCGACGCCATCCGCTTCCTCTACACCTTCCGGACGCAGCTCACGAAGCCACAACTCCTCTCTGTCCTGCCCTTACTTGTCCAGCATCTAGCCTCGATCAACTACGTCTGTTACACTTATGCTGCGATCAGTATCGAGCGCATCCTGTTCATTAAGCAGAGTGGCCAGCTTCTGTGCGTATGGCACTGCACTGCATGTATTAGAAGAAGGCTCACTACATGCGTACAGATTCATCCAAGCTGACATCCACGAGTTTGCCCCTGATCTAATTGACGCTCTACTGAAGAAGGTGGAACAAGGCGCGACGCCAGAGAAGGTTGCTGAGAACGATTATCTCATGAAGTGTGCGTTCGACCTGATCAAATGACTTTGATTATCGCCCTTACAGTATCTCTAGGTATCATGCGGGTTATCATCACTGCCCGCTCGTCCCTACTTTCTACCTTCGAGAAAACCCTCAACCGCCTTGTCACTATCCTTGGCATCATCTCGAAGAATCCCAGTAACCCAAATTTTGACCAGTACATCTTCGAGAGCATCTCTGCTCTCATGCGCTTCATCGTCGCTGTTAAAGCTGAGACTCTACCGGTGTTCGAACAGGCCCTCTTCGGTCCGTTCACCATCATCCTGCAGCAGGACATTGACCGTATGCAGGCTCTTTTCCTTGCGAGGTGAATTCAACTAATAACCGTCCTTTAAGAGTACATTCCCTACGTCTTCCAGCTTCTCGCACAGATGCTGGAGCTTCATACCTCCGATATCCCACAAGCTTACCGCGAGCTTCTCCCATTCTTACTCTCGCCTGCCAGCTGGCAGCAAAAGGGAAGCATCCCTGGCTTAGTGAAGCTGCTCAAGGCCTTCCTCGTGCACGATGAGCGCCAGATGGTTGCGACGGGCCAGTACACGGCCGTGCTTGCTGTTGTGCAACAGCGTCTGATCCCGTCGAAGCTTAATGACGGCTGGGGCTTTGAGCTCCTCCAAGCAGTCGTGCAGTACATCCCGCCGTCCGATCTCAAGCAGTACATGCGTGCAACTATGGTCACTCTCCTCACTCGCATGCAGACAAGCAAGACAGATAAGTATGTGTACCACTTTACCTACTTCCTACTGTTCGCGATGGCGATCAACGTCGAGGGTTTGGGGCCGGACTTCATTGCGAGTGCTGTGGAAGAGATCCAGCCCGGGTATGTTACCTCGTTTCGTCCTATGCCATACATGCGCTAACCCCAAGGCTCAGGCTTTGGTCACAGATTCTGTCAAACTTCGTTGTTACGCAGGTGCCCAAAATGCCCACGAAAGATCGCAAGGTCACTGCCGTCGGCTTGACACGCCTATTAACCCAGAGCCAGGTCATGCTACGTGAGCCGGCGGTCGCGCAATGGTGAGACCTGTCAGCGTCTTCTGTGCTTCGATTTCAAACACCCTTCTGCAGGTCCGCATCTTTCAGCGCGCTCGTCAAACTTTTCTCTGAGCCGCAGTACCTTACGAAGGAGAAGGACGACGATCCCGACGCTGGGCTGACCGCAATTGACTACGAGGAGCAGAACGCCGGCTACCAGGCAGCGTATTCTCGGCTTGCGGCGTCCGAGACCGTCAGCACCGACCCTGTCGCGCACGTTCCCCACCCGCGCGATTTCCTAGGCACGGAGCTCGTGCGTCTAACCAAGAGTGATCCTCGTATCAAGAGCCTGCTGCTCGCGGATCCGGGCAACGCGCCATTCTTGCAGGCGCTGGCGGGTGCTGGTTATGCAATTTAGGGAGGCTGTCTCATGAGTCTGGCCTTGGATTTGTGCGTGTATTCGTCCTCGAGATAATAACGTAAGATACCTGAGCTTCCAGTTCCTTCACAAGCTTTTGTGGAGAGGGGCCAAGTGGGAAAAATGCAATCCGCGTTGTAACGCAACGAATACACAGCTACGAACTCTAAGTTCCCGGGCCACATACCATACCATATATAGATGAGTCAGGGTACTGCGAAGGCAAAGGTTGGCGCTTGACTTGTCACTGCCTCGTACAGCCCTAACGTGTAAGTTAGGTTCTGTCGGGTCTGGGCGCGGCGTATACGGAACTGCCAAACAGTGGCAGCCAATAATTGTTTTGCTTGTGGCTTGAATTGCATGCGATGCCACTGTAATCAACTTTCTTGACAGCAGACGTCGATTGGGAGGCTTGACGTTCTCTTCCTTGACGATCAGAAATGAGCAACGAAATGCGTAAGGCGGCATTGCCCCTTTGATACCATCTATTAGCATTATTAGTGCGCTTGTGCTCGTGGTAAGTGCGGGAGCCGACCTCATTGTAAACAGCCATGCTGATACATACGTTGCAGTTGCGTGGAAGGCCAGTGATGTTCACGGTCTGCACATGATACTCGCTCCAAAAACCAGGCTCCGGGTAGCTTGCGTGATCACCAAGGGAGAGGCACAGGTAGGATACATGGTTGGGACCGCTGCTTAACTCCGTTTAGGCCAGGGCAGTGCGCGCTCCGCAGAAGAGGAGCGCTGATACGGCGCGCCACCGACAACCTCGGACCCAGAAACGGCAGCGAGCGCGCTCTCCCTCCCGAATCGTGTGGGCCCGTTTCTGCGGATAGGTCTCTCTGGCTTTCGACTGCGAGCCAGGGTCTGCCGGAATGCAGTCCGTAGACGCTATCCAACGCCCCTACGCCCAGTGCGATCCACAGATGCCGCGACTTCGCAACGCTGTGATGGAAATATAGATGGTATATTAACATGCTCTCTTGATATCGCTGAGAAGCGTTTCTAGGGCCTAGGAGCAGGATCATTCTAGGAACAGGATCATCGTCCGAAGCTTCTATTCTGCGAATAGACGACATCACGAGAAGAGCATCTCAGCACTGCCTTGGCGCTTGATATCACTGCTTATGCTGATCCATCCTACAGACGCACTACTGTGCAATTTATAGCGCGTTCAGCTAGCGAAGATGGTCGTTAGCCATTATAACCCACACCATGGACACCCAGAAGGCGGCTTACGCCTCCTTGCCTGACTTCGACGACGACTCGAAGAGCAACTTACGCAAGAATGCGACCGACGAGGACGAGGGGCCGCCATCTTCTGGCAGAGGGAGTGCCATTATCGAGATCATACTCATCGCTCTGTGCATACTAGCACATGTTGTCCTCGTCGCTCTGTTCGTCGCTTTGATCGTCATCCGGAAACGGAGGGATGGACGCCCTATCAACTTCGACAACAACAGGCTAGGAGAGGTGACAGGATATATCTATCAGAGGCTTGCAAACAAGCCGAGTGCAATTGTCAAGGCGAGCACCATCCCTCCTTATTCTCGCAACGCGCTCACGAAGGCTATAATAGTTCTACCTGGTGCCCTTACTCTACCTAACACAAAAACTTGCGCTACGGAGGATCATTCGAGCGAGACGGCCCCTTACCGCTATGGACGACCAGGCCAGTGCTTGGCTTGGCCTTGGAGCGACGGTACCGGTCATGTGGCGGTACAAGGACATGTTTGGCAAGGAAGGTCGTAAGACCCGCAGCAATGACCTCAAGACTCTCGGCTGCATCATTTGCACCGTCCTCTACCTCGGAGCAAGTCTTCTATTGGGTATCGCCGCTGCCGACCTCTTTGTATTCGCGAACGCATATGGGACGAAGGGCTACCAGAACATGACTTCTCCGATTCTCATGTCCAACATGAGTGAAAACGCCGGCTGGTATGTCTTACTTTTGTTCTATGCACCTGCAGTGGCTCGAAGCTCAACCGGCTCTCTTGTAATAGGGTCGAAGAATCTTTCCCGATTATCAGCGTATTGCCTTTGCTCAACTCACTCAATAACGTCGTAATGACCACGACTGGCCTTCTGGGGAGTGTCGTATACGATGTCCCGAATTATTCTACGACCCTCAATCTTGTCAACGTCAGCGCTCTCGTTTTCCAGGCGGACTGCAAGGCTGTTCCGCAAGCGAGGCAGAACGGTACTGTCGATGCCCAGGATCCGGGTTACTTCATTCACATCGACGACTCTCTGGAAGATTTTGGAGTTGCTCTCAGTGCGTAGCTGACCTTACCACTCCTCGCATCCTGGGTATTGACACCGAAAACCATGAAGCTGCTCGAACGTTAAACGTAAGATCAGCCAATTGGACGGATGGCACGAGTCCCGCAACCCTATTCATCGCCTCTACGATTCCGGTATTGGACGGTGATGACGTTCCCGCGGCGAGCACTGATCTTACTCCCACAATCGTTCCCAACGGTTGTAGGGTGGACAACGCCAGCGACTGTGGTATGTCTTGATGCTCCCTGAAGACAAGCTACACAACGGACTAATATTCTAACTTTTTCGGGATAGGCGACGTCTCATCTGTACAAGTGCTCGCATGCGATCTCAACGTAACGAGACAAGACATCCAACTGGATACCTCGGTTTTCCCCATCGCGGCATATGGCAATGTACCGGACCTGAATACCACATCGTGGAGGAACTGGTCTCCGGATGATGCGCACGCCTTAAGCAGCAAGCTCCCTGTAGTGAGCCAATATCTACCCTTACGTGTATGCCAGTAACTCACGTCTACAGGCGTGGCAATTTGGAGCACTTTCGCACGCTAGTCAGTACACGCAATGGTGGGACGTGGGAAATGTGTCTATGCACTATCAACCGACTCTCCTAGAAGAGTATATCGTTCTTTTCGTTCTATTTTGCTATTTCTCTAATAAGATCACTCAGGACATTAATGGAAATCCTAGGATTCTACGATGGCGACGTGCACAAGGTGCGGCTATGGCACTTAGATTCTCTCCTCTCGCAAGCCGTTGCGCTTGTGTACTGGCGCAGTAAGCTTAGCGCTGCCTTTGCACCAGTGATGCACCTGCCTAACTTCCATTCAAAACACAGCCGCAGTCAGTCTTCTGGAGAAGGAGGCGGAAAATCAGGATCGGGACTTGTTTCGAGAAAGTGCTTTGTCACGGTCGCATCTCAAGGATCTTGTGCAGGTGCGCCCCGTCTCTGTCTAATCGGACAGAACCGTTCTAATTCCTGTCATCAACCTTCCGAAGATCGATCCAGTTGCAGTGAGTGCAGTTCTGACTTGACAGGTGAATTATCCTGATAGAGGTTCCACAGCCATGGTGGAGCTTGGTACTCTCAGTCATAATGCTCGTCACGTCCGTGATAGTGATTCAACAGCCGAAGCCTCTGACGAAGAGCGGGAGACATTACAAACTGAATGGCCTTGGGGTTCTCGAGATGACATGGTTACTCGGTCGGGACGAACAAGACCGTGACGTCGCGGGAGAGCTAGCAGAGGTTCGGGAACCAGCACTTGAGAACCTCAGGAAGCGCGGGAAGCACCTAACTAACCCATACTGTGGAATTTGAGCTATAACTTACCTGGACCATTATTTGACTCTATCTGCGACATTACGATTCTGTTTTGAATAATTTTGATATTTATCTTTTTTTCAATTTGCCGTACATATCGAAATAAACGACTTTATCCCCCTCGTCAAATTTTACAGCGAAGGCTTGGCGAGGGCCACCCTTGAGCAGAATCTTGCGGTGCTGAACGCTGCTACGAGCTTCCCGACATAATCCCGTTGATCCGCCATCAACTTCGTGGCGTGGGTCTGATCACGCCGACATGGCGCTCGATGGGCTCGAACGTTTTTTTGTCCCAACCATATACCTTCGACATCCGTGTAGGCACTTTAATACGGACCCCGTAAGACTTATGAGTGGCGCAGGACGCAGCGGCATAGCCCGTTCGAGCGACCCTCGACGGACTACCCCTCGGGGCGAGCTGAAGATGCCCAGATTTGTGAAATTCCATCCCGAAGATACAGCCTCGCTGCTCAGCGAAATCTTTTGGGGAGGTAGGGGCAGTGCCTAGGACATTATTAATGGCTCCATACTCACTTTGAATGCAAATTTAGATCCTCATGACTACAAGCCGTACAAATGTCCACTAACTGGGCGTATCATCTACTGGGGCACAGTTCCTGTAGGTTAGATTCGACGCGACTCTCGATCCCAATACTCATAAATGTTGTTGCAGATGGACAGCGAAGGTCATGCTGATATTGATCCTATGCGTTTTTCCGGTCGTACTGTATGTGTCTCTCATTCGTCCCACCCGGCTATTGAATAACTTAACAATCCAAATAGATGGAGACACAATTTATCTACGACAAACGTGGCAATGGGCTTCCCAACCAGAAATACAGTTTATTGGCGCGTTAATGGATAAAAAGGTCTGATGTTTCTTCTGAGATCGCCCCTGTCACTGACCCAGACTTGGTTTCAGAAAGCTGAGCTGAAGCAGAGGAACTTGGGCGATCTGACAAAGCGAGATTATACGCTTGATATAAGCGTAGAATATATGCCGGACTCCAAGAATATTGAGCGAAAGGTTCGGCTCTCCGGCGGGCTTTCGCTTCCCGTCTTCTCAGAAAATCATGAAACCGCTCTTCGGCCTGTAGGCTTCACTTTGGCTCTGTATCAGTTCGTCACGGTCGCCTGATATCCACATATTTAGCGTTCGCAATCTCCATGCCCATATATTCATGGACTTTTCAGATGGCTCACAGTTTGGCCCTCGAGGCTGCAATTCTGTAGACATGGTACATCTGGATAAGACTGGCTACGTTTATATCCCCGACGACGAGTGCGTCGGTTCGCTTTTGATTTTGATTTACCGCTCACTTTCGCTTGCAGCTACACCCTCGCACATTTCTTGCAAAAACCCGGCGACGAGCTCGGGTATCTGTACGACTTTGGCGATAATTGGCATTTCTCTATCAAGGTTTGTGCAGTTGACATCCAAAGTGGGATCTGTACGTTAAATTTTGTTATCTTTGCAGGTCAACGAGATCTCTCGTGTGGAAGAGAGTAGCGGCAAAGTCGTTGTCTTGGGTGGTACAGGCGCACACCCTCCGGACGGCATCCCATCTTGGACGTGGATCGATCTCATGAAAAACGTCGACAAGAGTACAAGGAGTCGCAAGGAAGCACTGGACATGATGTACGACTCTACAGGCTACAGTGGTCATTGCCAAGACCCAAATTTCGATTTCAACTGTTTCTCAGTTGACGAGACACAGAAGGCTGTCCAAGCTGCGCTGAATTCGAAGCTGTCTGTCCCCGGCAGTTCGAAGCACTTTGTCACCCCGCTGACGCTTGACTTCGATGAGAAGACTCAGTTCTATCCCAACAGCCTGAGGAAGGGGCAGAAGCTCGTTAGGACGCCGATGTTCAGAGACGACGGCTCACCTATGCACGTGTTCATGGAGGAGGGTGTTGCGGAGAAGCGGAGGGATAATCCCGGCAACACTGCCTGCTCAAATTGCGGAAGCCCCCATAACTTGAAGACTTGCAGCGGATGCAAGCAAAGGTACTATTGCTCCCGGTCTTGTCAACGAGTACGTCCGCATCTCGCTTCGTTCCATCCGATATTAAAACCGTGCTTTACACAGGCTCATTGGGCCCAAGGGCACAAGAAGGAGTGTAACGCTAGCAAAACCAAACAAACACACTTGTAACGTTAAGAGTCAGCTTCTCCGTCACACAAATTATTTCTACAGCGAACTGCATCGGTAGATAGATGTATTTGCAAAATTTTCGGGTTTCTCGACCCCGCAGGATTCCAGCGCTAATGGTCCGATCATGCATGCGCTTCTGATCTCGCAGCCTGCACTTGACTTTCATCTATACTACATCTCATACACTACGCAACCATATACCGTTAGGCTTTCTCAGCCTCACGTCGACCACATTGCGCACCGTCCGACGACCAGCTACTGTATAACCCCGCTATTCGAAGTTTATGCCTCCACGTCTCTCTTCCGTACCCAGGAATGGCGCATTCTACCCCGCGAGCGACCCCGCGACCTATCGAGACCTACTGCTTTTTGAAGAGCGGCTGAAGACGAATGCAGCGAGTCTGAACCGCAGAAAGCATCGCTACCAACGTGCGTCCGCCCGCATAGTGCAACAGGTGCTGATCCTGGAACTTATTCGGTGACCGAATAGTATTCCTTGCTCAGCTGCTCCTCATCATCGCGTTCCTCCTCTCAGAAGTTCTACTTCAGACAAACTTTCTCTCTATACCATATACATGGGTCTTGTGCCGGATGCTGCCCGATATATATGGCCCTGACGTCGAGATGCGGATCCCTAGGTACTTTGCCCTAGGCCTTCTGTGTGTCTCAGTCACCACTCTTGCGCTCTTCTTCTTGAGCGGGATGTACTCAGAGAAGATTGGTTATGCGAATAAGTGAGTGCTGCCTCCTTGCGCTACGCCTGACTCATGACCCGAGCCTGCCCAAGATATGTCCCGCACGCCAACCGCGCACTGCGGAACCTGAACATGTATCTGAACGTCCGCCAACCACCACTGCGCTCGAAGCTCCCCTTCAGCCGGTTCTTCTCGCTGCTCTTCCCGCGCACACCGACGTCACCGACACCGACGTCACCCGTGGAGAGCACGCCGGGCCGCAGGCGGCGCTCGCCCTCGCCGAACACACGCCCCGCCGAGCGCAGCTCAAGCGTACCCATCGCGCCGATCCCGCCCGCCTCGAACCCGCGCGGCGAGCTCATCTTCAGCTCGCGCGTCGACCGGCAGTTCCGCGAGTCCTACGAGCGCTACCGCAACGCGTTCGAGCGGCGCCGCCAGGAACGGGAGCGGACGGCGTACGAGGACACCTGGCTCGGCTGGTTCGCCGTCAAGGTCCTGCGTATACCGCAACATGTGCCGCCGGTGGGCGTGGGTACGGGTAGCGGCACGGCGACGCCTGTCGGAATCGCGCGGGCTGGCAGCGTGGCGGGGTCGGTCAGAGGGCGGGCAAGCCCTGCGGAGACACCTTCGTCGTCTCGTCGTTCAAGCCCTGTGCCCCGCAGGACGCAGCGTAACTCGCACATCGGACAGAGTTCTCTAAGCATGCCTGTCTCTTCTGAGCAAGAGCGGGCGAAGTCCGTTTCCGAATGACGCCGAAAGAAGGAGAAGACGTAATACCAAAGGAAGAACAATTTCAATATTACATACTAGATACGCCAAAGCACCGCTGTGAGTTCATGGACCTTGAGGTCGTGCTGTACAACAGTTTGTGATATAGTACAATGGAGCTTGCGTTGCAAGTATGTAATTCCAGCATAACATATTTTATATTTACAGCAGCTATAAGTCGTCATCGAGGATTTAACACTGCATAGTGCTCAGGTAATCTCCAAAGGGGTATGTGACGATTGCTGAATGCTTGCTTGTGAGGTTGGACACAGCTCATGTAACGGCTGTAAGACGTTGGTTAGCTTTCGAGAAGCACAAACATTGCAGAAGGAACTCACTGTACTTAGGTCCTCCGCCACCTTCCGGCACAGTCCATGTAATATCCTGCGTCGGCACCTTGATATCACACAACTTGCAGTGAATGCAATTCTGCACCAGACATTTGTCAGCAAGAGCTACGTGATCCTAAGACAAGATCCACTCCCACCTGCGAATTGATCACGAGTTTCTTGCCGCCCCAACCCTCGCCGTCAGGACCCTGGCTGGCCTCGTCGTCGACGTACTCGTACACCTGCGCGGGACACGCACGTCCCAGCAAGCCTGCGTACTCGCCGACATTGATGCGCACGTGCTCGCGGCGAACTGCCTTGTCCTCGTCGCACTCCTCTTCCTCCTCGAGGTTCGGCCATGCGCCCTCCTTGCCCGCAGTATTATTCGGCGTACAGTAGCGGCGCACACGCAAATGCACAGGCTGGTCCTCGGTATGGTTCGTGCCCGTGAGTGCAAGGCTGGTGAGCAGGTCTGTCGAGAGCGGCGGCTCGAATGGTGGGTACTCAATTGGCGTGCACGCGGCCGCCCGCTTGGTATGTGCAGCGTCGCTCTTGCCGCTCGTGTTGCGGAACGTCCATGGCGTGCGACCCTTCAGGAGCAAGGTGTCGACGCCAGAGTACGCGATACCGCCCCAGATGCCGAGGCCCGTGTTGAAGGACGGCCGGACGTTGCGCACCTCGTACAGATCGCGATACACCCAACTTTTCTGGAACGCGTCTTCGTATGCACTCATGTCCGTAGGTTTCTCGGAGTCTGCCTGTGACGAATGGACTGCCTCGTATGCAGCTTCCGCAGCGAGCATACCGGTCTTCATTGCGTTGTGCGTGCCTTTAATCTTTGGAACGTTGACGAAGCCGGCGGAGCAGCCAATGAGAGCACCACCAGGGAAATGGAGTTTTGGCACGGATTGAAGACCGCCTTCGTTCAGGGTGCGACCACCATACGCTATCCGGGTAGCGTCTCCAGAGAGCAAGTCACGGAAATACGGATGATGCTTCATGCGCTGCGAATAAAGGTTAGCTTTTCGCGTTTGGCGAAAGCCGCTAGAATTGCTCACCTGGAGCTCGCGGTACGGACTAAGGTACGGATTTGCATAGTCAAGCCCAATGACCAACCCGAGCGAGACAAGACCATCCGCCATATGATAGACCCAGCCACCGCCATACAGGTCGCGAGTGAGCGGCCAACCCATAGTGTGGACGACTTCGCCAGGATGGTGCTTGCTCGGGTCAACCCTCCACACCTCCTTGACCCCCATCCCATAGGTCTGAGGATCACGACCTTCCCTCAACCCGAACCTGCGAATAACCTCCTTCGAGAGCGAGCCATGCGCACCCTCCGCGAGCAGTGTGACCTTGGCGCGGAACTCCATGCCAGGTTCAAAGTTGTCCTTCATGCAGAACTCGCGGTCGAGGCCGACCTCGTTCGTGTGCACACCAAGCACGCCACCGTTGCCGTATACGAGCCCCGCGCCTGCGAAGCCAGGGTAAATCTCGACACCGAGCTCCTCCGCGATGCCTGCGAGCCAGGCCGTGACGCGCGAGAGCGAAACAATGTAGTTGCCTCTGTTGCTCATCTGGGGCGGGTGTGGTATCGGGAAGGACATCTTCTTTGTGAAGAAGCGCATACTGCTGTTGTGAGCTGGTTGTTGGAGCGGGTGGTCCGGCATAGACTTCCAGTCGGGAAGGAGTTCGTTCAACGCGGTCGGCTCAATGACAGCGCCAGACAGGATATGTGAGCCTGACATAAACAAGTAGATTCAGTCTGAAAAGCTGCAGCGCAAGCCAAGACAGTAGCACGCACCTGCTTCAGCACCCTTCTCGAGCACCACGACGCGCACCTCCTTGCCCTTCTCCTTCTCGAGCTGTTTGAGCCGAATGGCGGCACTGATGCCCGCAGGCCCACCTCCGACGATACACACGTCGACCTCGTCCTGGGCGCGCTCGACGCTTTTCGGGTCGAACTTCTCTCTACGTCTGCGGGCGGTCGAGTGGAGCCAGCGTGCAGCGGCGTTGGGCGTCGCCTTGTGGCAGCCCTTGACGATCGTAAACATCCGGCGCTCTCCTCTGCTGTGTCTCCACCACACAAGGCGACGTCGTTGTCAGAGGCGGAAAAGGCGGAAAAGGCGGAGACAGACATGAAATCATAGCACTGGAGTCGCGCGCTAAACGCGTCGGCCGGTAAAGCTCCACGTGTTTGCCGCCGATTGCCTCATAAGGAGGACACCGCGGCCTTCCGCTCGTTGGTGTCTGACGTTGTTTGTCTGGTCATGGCACAGCCGGCTGAGTCGGATGTCGAGGTCATAGGAGATGTGAACGAGGAGCATGAGTCGAAAACGATGCGAAACCACTCAAATCTCGAAACTATCCAAGGTTGACCCAAAGCCCTCGCCACACACTTGCCGGCCATGGGTGTAGTACCAGGAAGACAGCCCTAGAAAGCTGCGAACGCTGAGTAGGACTGCCAGCCCTACCACCCCACCAGAGAACTTATGTACGAGGTTGCAACCCCGCAAAAAGGTGTGACGCTTTGAGCGAAACATTTAACGCCACGGAAGAGCCGCTGCTCTTATATTCCCTCGAGGGCTTGAACATCCCACAGAATCTGCTGGCGTTGTCAGGATGTAATTCACAAACAGCTGGAATAGGAGACAAAACGAACCGAATACGCTGACAGTGGCGGCTCTTCAGTATATCATATATCAGCGCTCGCATACGGTGACACCGGCGACAAGCCTGAGGGCACCCGTCGACAGGACAACTCCGCAAGTTGACAAGGAAAATACAATGAGCATCCTGCTTCGGATCGTCAATATCCCACACTTCGCGCAAGACCATCGAGCAAACGAACAAGCACGAGCCGTGTCATTCTATTAATACACTACGTACTGAACAATTTGTTCGTTTGCCAGCTTCGCAGGTACATCACGGCGCAAGCAAAAGCGGGGCGGGGATAGACTATTAATATACGCATATTTTCTATGTACTGCAACCGAAGCTCGTTGAATGCGACGTCGAGGCTCGTGCGGTGAGATGCGCAAAGATGGAAAAATGTGGAGAGAGATTGGAGGACAGGTATGTGGTGGTATAGTAATACAGTCCATGAAGAATGGTTCGTGCAAATGCAAGAGGGGGGACAGGAAGTGCGAGGAAGAAAAATGCGGTAGTTAGTCTGCAAACACAGCGCGGGCGAAAGAAGAGGAGGCACAGCGCGCGAATAATATCAAGGTTCTCTAAAGCCTCAAAAATCGGCAACAGGCCCCATGGCGAAAGTCCAAAGTTCACAAGAAAGAAAAGAGTCTAGTCATGACGCTCTGACCTGCGAGAGCGCGTAGTGTTCGTCGGGGAGTTCATCCTTTGCCACCCCCGGTGAGCTTCTTCCACATCCGCTTCAGCGTGCCGCGTCGCTCGGGCGCGGGCCACTTCGCCTTCTCCGCGTTCTTGACGGGTTTTGCGTCAGCACCGATGCGCACCTCCTGCGTGCGCACGCGCTCCGTCTTCTCGCTGAGGCCGATGATCTCGACTGTCACGTCGTTCACGCGCAGCTCGACACCCGCCGTGCCTTTGTCCTTGCCAGCACCGTTGGAAGCGAGCGCGCCGAACTCGTCCTGGTCCGGCACGCGGGGAGTGCGCATCTCCTCGATCGACGCGCCAGACGAGCTCGAGGCCCGACTCAAGCTCGGGGTGGTCTGCTCGTCCGACTCAACAGATGCCGTCGACGCGACAGACGAGCTCGACGAGCTTGCCTTCCGAAAAAACGCGGGTCTGGGCGGCTGGACGTCATCGACTTCGGCGGCGGCCTCGGTGGATGCAGCGAGGCTTTGGAGACTCGCCTGGCTACACATGCTGCGGAGGGTGCCGGTTATGCTCCGTGCGTCTGCGCCATCGATGGACGATACGCGAATGGTGGAGCGCCGGCGGACTTCTTTCGCCGTGAGGGGCAGCACGACACCTTCACTCTTGAGACTCAGCCGGGAGAACTTGGGCGGCGCCGCAGTCGAGAGCCAGTTCAACTCGGGGTTACGTGACGTGCTCGGAATCGGGGGAGAAGCTTCACCCGAATCTGGTAGCGAGAGCGTTTCGTGGGAGCCGTGTTTTGAAGAGCGTCGAGATAGAGAGCCGGGCGTAAGAGAGGTCGGAGAGGGGGCTGTAACCGGACGACGGAGGACAGTCCTAGTCGGAGCAGCGGCATTTACTGCAGACTTGGACGTAACGGCTTCTGGTATGTAGGAAGGCTTCGCCCAGACAGGAATCGAAGGTACTGGAGGCATTGGAGGCACTGGAGGCACTCCGCTTCCGCTCTTCGAAGTTGAGTCTGAGCCCGTCTGGGAACGCACGCGTGAGAGGCTCACGCTCGGCGAAGTTGGAGTAGCATCGCCGGACGCGGACAGCCTTGGCATCCCCGGAAGTGCTGAAAGACGTTTGAGGCCGAGGGACAGGCGGCGGACGGATGAGGTACGCGCAGGTGACGGCGGCGTTGGCATATCTTCCGGTTCGTGCTGCGATGTCTCTGACATCAGGTCTGGAGGCGGAGCCCCTCGCAACGTCCCTGCTGGAGAAGACGGAGCGCTGGCAGCGACACGTTCTTCTAGATTCATAAGAGTGCTAGTCGAGACGTCGGGCGTGGAGCTTATTCGGCTAGGCTTGAACCTTCGTTCCTGGCCTGCGCTTTCGTCTGAGCCGGTAAGGATACCATCGTCGGAGAGGGCAAGGGAGGGGCCTGCAAGAGGCGAAGAGCGAAGCTGACGCGCTTCGCGACGCGGACCAGCGACAGGAGAGGGCGCGAGGTAGGTGGTATGTCGACGCGCCATCGGGTGGCGCGCAGATACGTGCGGGTTCGGTACGGTGGTGTGGAACGTAGCAGCCGATGGAGGCATTGTCGATGCGCGACGTGAAGCGGGCACTTCTGGGAAGATACTTCTGGGCATGTGGCTCTGTGTTTGTGTCGCCATGATCATGCTCGTTGGCCGTGCCTGGCGGGAATAAAAAGGCGTAAGCTGTCAGGTGTGTAAAAGCGAAAGACGATGTAAAGCGAGTGTGGGGGCGACGACAGCCTGGAAAAATGTGGGGGAGACAGCGGCAGCGTCTCAAGGCATGCGAAAGATAGTGGTGGTAGTCAGGAAACAAAGAGAGTTGGGGTCAAGAGAGAGACGGGCAGTGCGAGCCCGCTCAATGACAGCTGCCGGATGAGGCAAGTCCCAAACCCTAATATGACGGCGGCATCGCTGAGCGCCATGATGCCGATACTTCCGTCTTACCCTAACCTTCCTCGGCCATGGGCGATCCGATCAGGATGACGCCTTGCTGAACGACGTCGAGGGGGAGAGGGGGGCAGGAATGCATGCCGTTATTGACGAACATTATTCCCCACGAAATCGAGGGTAATGGAGCGGAGCCAGGCACAGCTACGACGTGAACAAAGTCTCAGAGCCACTCTTACTCACCCGAGGAACATGTACAGCCGGTTTGGGTGCTGCTACCACCACAGCCGCCGCGTTTTCCGACTCTCGCTCGACAAGGGTCTCCAACTGCGACTGCGGGCGAGAGGGCTGGTGGGTCAACCACTACCGGTCAACAGAGGGGTTACAAATAGCAGTACAGCGCCACTCACCCTACGGACGTGCTGCCCTGAAGGAACGAAGCGCACCGAAGGCGGTCCATGTTGGGAACTACCGCTCGTAGACATCGACGTAACTGCCACCGAATCACAGCAGAAGGGCTAAGTATAACAGTACGCCTCGTCGACCAGCCCCACGGGCCTTCGGGAGAGAAAGGGCGGGAAGAAAGAGTGGGGGTAGACAGAGGCAGCGTGTACCGCAGACGTGTAATAGGCCCTGCGCGCACGCCTCGGCTGCAGCGCCTCTCGCAGCGGCTATATAAAGGATTGCTATCGAGCCCTGCCGCGCCGTCTCCGTCAGGGTCAGCCCGATGCAGATAGCGCACTGTGTCCCGGTTTCACTGTTCTATCGGTATGTCCGTGCGTTTTAAGGTGTCGCAGTGTCGCAAAACGGGCCGAGTGTCTCGAGAAATCCCAAGTCGCACCAGTGAAGTCGGAGCTGTCTGAGAGACCAGGGTACGGAAAACAATCGCCGTCGCAGGCCGCAGTGTTTGCCTTGTCGTGCACGTTCAGTTCCAGGTTTCGGCAGCTATCTCGGCGTTACAGGCCAACAGACGAGCAAGGCGGCAACGGGCACCCTGGTGTCGAGGAGATAGGTGTCCAGAGGAAAAGGCGGGGTTCGCCAAGACAGCGACGTTGTACGTCAAGCTTGGGGCCCATATGAGCTCATCCCAAGCACTTTTTGAGGCCATCGCATTTTCCAGCAAGGCGGTTCGCCGCGTCGTGGACGCAGCCGACACCAGGCACGTCTCTGATCCCGATAGAAATCTGATTCACGCTCGGCTCGGCCATCACCTTATCCTCGCCCGCGCCCATCCCCGCGACCGTCGACCGCTCCGGTGTCCTCGGCTCTCTCATCAACGAGCGCATTGTCTGCAGCGTCTTCGCCATTCCTGTGTCCGTTTGCAGCATTCCTGCGCTCGTTCAACGGTTTTCAGTCGTCTGCATGGCATCCCAAAGGCAGACGCCTACAGAGTAAGCGCACGGCGTGCAGAGGCTAACAGATCGCCCGAGACACCACCGGCGGCAGGTACGCGCGCGCCCTCCAAATTCAGCGTACAGGGAGATAATTCATGACGCATACGTAGAAGTCTAGACTGTTTTTTCCGTCTAGTCAGCAGCTAATCATGACCGGTCACGGCTCCCTAGTGCCAAGACTTCCGAGCACAGGAAGCCTTGAACATCATGCAGCTGTGCACTTCATCGGTTAGGCACAAGGGAAAGCTGCATGTAGACACAGCCATCGCGATGCGTGGTTATACAGTAGATGATGCTTTTGTTCACGACGCTCGACTACCGTGCCTAGTCGCTTCGTAGCAGCGAAGGGCACGGGAGTGGGATGTGGCGCTTTACGTGCTGTTGTGTGTAATTGACCAGCGGCCCGTTGAGTCTGTGCATTCGCAAATCAGGTACAGCCAGGATCTACGAGCCGCGGCTTTATATCCAATCAGGGTTGCTTTGTATGAATGCAAATCCCGCAAAATGCGTATGCTTTACACGCCGATTTCCCTGCACACTGCGGATTAGGATAAAGGGGAGTTGATTGAAGTATAACTTACACGACTTCATTCACCCCCGCCATGGCGATTACCAACTCATCCCTGCGCGCCACAAGACAGTAGTACTAATAACCTACTGCTAGCATCACCAGGAGAGGACACTTCGCATCGTTGTCCTCTTGTCTCAGTAAATACATATTCACCCATCGACATGATAACCTCTGCTAATTCAAACAGTGTACCCTTACTGCTAGGGAAGACTCCCTCCACGCGACTAACGCTGTCCCTCATTCATGACGAGACACTGGCACTTTGCAGCGAGAGATAGCACTGGTGTCAGGCGATTGCAGAAGTTCTTATCTTATACCTTTGCCTACATTTATGGGATGCCAATCATCGCCCTTTCAAACCTCTGTCACGCATAGCTGGCTTGTCTACCCCGCAGAGCACGAAAGCCGCGCGATTCGCGCCTGCTTAACGCGTCGAGGATCACGTGATAAGGCGACTAATTTATTTCCGAAGCGTCCGAGTCGCGCTAAGCTGCCGAACGAACTCGTCCTCAACTTTGACGACCCGGACGCTGCGCTCCTGTCTTGCTTGCTGCTGCAGGCTTTGTCGACGCTCACTCTCAGCCTGTAAACGTTCAGTCCAGCTCGTCGGGACCTCTTCAGTTGTCCTCAGCTTAACGCCGCTTGTACCGTCTGGCGTCAGCATCTGGTGCTTCGACTCCATACCTTGCCATTTGACTTGTGAAGAAAAACGATGAACCTCGCTGCAAGAGTTCCACAGATTTTGTCCTCGTCGAGAAGACAGATAGGCTCTCGGTTTGCGAGCAGCAGCAAGAGCAGGACGAACACAAGCTTGAAGTCGCGGACGTATCACTCTGAGTCATCTACAACCTCGTTCAGGACAGCATCCACTCCCTCAGGTCTCCTCAGGAGTGTTGCTTGCGCACAACATGATGTATTGGGTTTCCAGAGACGGAGTATACACGTTAGTGCAGGTATGAGTCGCGCTCGCCTTTCTATCGAGGCATATCCTTCATTTATGGGTTAGTCAGGCAGCACGGATCCTTGACGAGGCCTGCGCCAGGCACTGGGTAGGTGTTGTAACGTCTGTGAGTGTACGTTTGCTGAGAATAGACTGGCACAGAATCAAAGTGCACTGGAAAGATTCAAAGGGAAACCTCATCAAAACGACGGAGGCGAACGAGGGAGATGATTTGTTAAGCATAGCGCACGAGCACGACATCGATCTTGAGGGTAAGTTCGTGTTTTTGAGTTTTCGGGCGTTGCAACCCGCCGCAGCCTGCGGGTCCCGGCCTAAACTTTGACAGAAACTGAGGTGTTTCTCATCAGGTGCATGCGAAGGCTCAGTCGCATGCTCGACCTGTCATGTAATTCTCGAGCCGGAACGTTACGATATGCTTCCAGAACCTGAGGTGTGCTCTAACTGCCTCTATTTTCCTCCACCTTCCAGCTTACAACTGAACACTATGCAGGATGATGAAAACGATATGCTCGACATGGCATTCGGCCTTACAGACACATCGCGCCTGGGATGTCAGGTGAAGCTCACAAAGGAGCTCGACGGCATGACTGCGACGCTGCCGAGCGCGACGCGGAATATGTTTGTTGATGGCGCGTCCTATCCCACTCTAGTAATAGGATTCTTGAGCTAACGAACGTACAGGCAAGAAGTCAGCACATTAGCATGTCACACGACGAACTGTTATGTTACGATCTACGATCTACTATTTGTGCGCTATTGCGCATAGTTATGGCTCGTCGCAGAACGTCATCCCTACTCATTCGAGGTATTTTGCGAAGATTGCCACCCGTTGAGTGAAGGAATGCGTATGATTCGTTTGATCAGGCAGTCAAGCCACAGGTTTGAAGTTCATCCTAGTTATGGCACCACTCGATTCACCTTCCTAACACGTTGGGAGAGTGTAAACTACGGGTCTTGACCATTAGCCATAGATTGCCGCCTTCGGCACCTGAAGGCAATTGGGTCGTATACTAAACTGTGACTCGCCAGGTGGACCTTGCGTTATCCGACCGATCACGAAGACTGAGGATCGTAAAGATATGTACGTGCAGTTCATGAGCTGTCCAAAATACCGCTGACTAAATATACCTCTAGAAATTGCCAACTAGCGCTACTATCTGGAAATGGGGTGCGCCAGGCACGTTCGCCCACCCGCTAACGCCGCTCTCCCGTGCACGCCAGGTGCTACAGTTATTTTGCGGGGTTGTACGGTAAGCCTTCTAGAGGCGCTTTCGCGGATTCTTTCAGTGAGCGGCTCTTAAATCCAACATAGAACGCAGATCCTCCGCACACACCGGCCTTATGATAGATGCGCGCTTCTCCTGCGCGTCCTGCTAGGCCACTCAAGTACAGCGCGTCTGGAAGATATCATAGCCATGTATTTGACATGCCGATGATACGCAGTTCTCACAGTACTTCAACCCTTCTGGCGCAAGTTTTCTCTTCCGCCAGCCGCGGTGCAGCTCGGGGTGTCCCTGACAGCAGCGGCTATCTACGCAGAGCAGCTCGTTGGTCGCGGATACAGAGCCGACGAAGTTTGAGGAGGTCAAGATCGGTGATGTCGGCTTCGTACACTTCTATCAACTGTTCAAGGCACCGCGCTCTGTTGATAGTCCCCTCAACTCGCATGGAGTGTACGGAGGCTTTGTTCAGCTTCGTGTGGATGAGGACGAGTTCATGCATCTCGACGAGCATCATCTCTCTCGGCCTTGTGTGCACTACGCCAACGATATTCAAGAAGCCTAGAGGTGGTTTACGGGCTTCAGCGCACGTTTCTCCTTCTCATGGCTCACCTCAAGCTGTAGCATTGACCTGACATCGGGCTGTACATGTTACAGGTCGGCGCCGACGCCCCCCTACTCTTTTCAACTGCGGCGCAAATCGCGGTGCGATAGCTATCCTCGGAGACTTCGGGAAACAAGCCTGCTATGTGCGCAGTCGTGCATTCCGAGAGTACATTCAGACTTACCATCACTCCTAATATGACTTTGCTCAGAAGAAGAGGTACGATATCGATGCGTCCGATGTCATCCTTGTTTCCAGCTGGGTGAAGGCATTGCAGTGGGCCCAAAAGCCAAGACGAGGCTCACGAACTATCGTTTTGCGCCTACGTCGTTAGCTTCGTGTCCGCGTAATCCGACGTGGGCGCCGAAAGTGCTACGAACCAATCTTTGGAGCAGCGAGCTGGCCCGACGCGCGGGTCAGTGTAAGTTGATGGTCTTTGAGAAGGCCAGTGCTTATTCCTGCGATATTACAAGGTTAAGGTTCGAGCTATCGTGGCGTCAAAATTGCGGGTGTGGACGAGGTCGAGTTCCACGGGGGATTCGCTGGATGATAAGTACTTCTGCACGCTCTGCCTCCCGCTCTCTCCACGGAGCAAGTCGCGACAGAAAGCAAAGAACGAGACTTCAAAAGAGCAGGCCCCGAAATCCTATCTCGATAAAGCGATGGTAGAGAGGACGAAGTTGCGCCAACGTCATCTCAATCCCAGCCGAAAACGCGCAGAGTGCAGACAATGTATGACACTCAAATCAAGGTCTTATACTTCTGCCTGACCTCGTTCAAAGTTTACGGACCCATTAGACGTTGCACTTGATTATATTTTCGAGGTATGACCACCCGGTATGGCAGCAGATTGAGTGGCTAACACTAGCCTCTAAAGGGCCGGACAGGTAGTCTTCACATAACAACTCTCATTCACATCATTTCAGGCTACCTCGTCACCGCGGGGAATATTGTTCCTACAGACTTTTCCGGTGTAGAGGAAGCAGCCCCAGCAGGGTCGCCACAACGGCCTCAAGGACCTCCCGTCTTTCATAACCGTCGACATACCACGCCAAGACTTTGCCGAGCGTTTTGACATACCTCAATTGAAAGCTCTAGGCTTTACGCTTCCGTCACGGGCGTCGGAGCATTCTCTCCCTGCGAATAATTTACTCAGCAGTGGTGGTATCGAGAGAACCCCAGTGGATGGTGGCGCACCTCATAGGAGTACCACCTACCCACCCAATAGTGGGCTGCCATACCCTGTGCCTCAGGTCTCAGGCGTTACCGGACATGACCAGGCCAGTTCGCAAAACGGGAAATATCAATTGATGTGAAGCCTGGGGTTGGTTGACTGTGTTCGGGGATGCTGTTAAAAAGTATAATACAGTATGCTCCCCGAAACAATCCCGCTTATACAGTTTGAGAGTCATTATGCCTTTATGCAGCGTGAAATGCAAGACGACGAGCACCGCACATGCAATGATGGGGAGGACATGCAGCACGAAACATAGGACGGATAGAAGTGCTAGATCTGTCTGTTCTCTTTTTCTGCGCACCACAGCCGTTCAGGCCGAGAGCCTACAGTACGTCTTGTGACTCTGGCGTCGTCATGAGTAGTGGGTATCCGAGGTCATGCCGCGCATGTCATTCTGCCGGTAGTGGACCCCGTGGTCACATCGCGTTCTGCTTCCGACCGTGACTACCGTTGGGAGATTTAAACGGTGAGTGACGCTCCTATTAACCCAATAATCCTGACGTTGAATAGAGGTATATCTGAATGTTAAGCAGGCTCGTGTTGGGACCCGGACTTCCAAGCCCAGATACCGCTAAGACCCAGATGCCGGTCCCCAGTCCAGCTTCCAACACCATTGCTCTGCCTCAAGAGCTCGTTGGCTTCTTCATAGATGAGCTGCAGCACGACTCCATCTCGCTACGCCGCTGCTCGCTCGTCTGCAAAGCATGGTTGCCACATTGCTCCGCGCACCTCTTTGCCTCGCTTCGCATCTCTCGACTCCCGCTGTATCAAGTGCTTCTCGACTTTCGAGGCCTCATACTCTCGTCTGCACGGGTGTCATTGTACGTTCGGCACATCGGGATTGACATAGATTCTCAGAATGCAGCGGTGGCGGCGGCGGTCATTCTTAAGCATCTGTCGCAGCTCGAGTCCCTTTCTATCGCCGGCATCAAGCTCTTTCGCTATAGCAATAACCTCCCACGGGCTACCTCGTGTTACACAGGGCGCCCTCTTAAGTGCTTGAGCGCGATACGTCTGCCTGTGGATGTCGTGTCCGGCTTTCTAGTCCTCTTCGTCTCCGTCGATATCCTAGATGTGCGCTTTCCCGAGCGCGCACAGCGGAAATTTCCCTATGTCTCGCACATCGTGAAGAATTTAGAGGTCAAGTGCGAAACGGACTCCACCTTGCTAGATGTCGGCAGCCTAGTAGATCCCAATTCTCTCGAAAGCATCACGCTTGGCTTTGGCGGAACGTACCGTCACCGAGCTTCGGCGGATTATCTCCATAGGTTCCTGCAGTCAGCTGGCCAGCATATCCGACATTTTGAGTACGGGCAGCCGGTTGGTGGATGGATTACCCTTCCCGACAGTAAGACGTCTCGCCTTTCGATTGGCTAATACTCGTCTGATCCCGTCCTCAGGCATCCCTGCTCTGATGGCATGCACAAACCTCGAATCTCTCACGGTTACTACCCCGAAGGTTACGCCGTTCAGTATGGACTTATGGTGCGGCACCCTAGTGCTCCTCTTGTCTCTTCCCTCACAGACGCGACGTGTCGAACTCGTCACGAGCTGCCGAGGTCCGTCGAATTGCGACGGCGCCTTCGATGCCTTCATACAAAGATTCGGCCGGCACGTGGGGGAGGCCTTGGAGCACTGCCACGCGCTCGAATGTCTCAACATCGCTGCCCTAGATTACTATCATCAGCCTATCTCGGCCTCTGCGCACCCCGACAAACGAGAGGCCGTTCTCAAGGGGTTACCTGCGTGGTTAAGGGGAATAACATCATTTACATAGAACCAATGCTTCTAGGCTGTCTCGCTTACGATCACTGAAACCGCGTACGGGGTTAAGGAGTCTTGTTCAAAGCGCTAGGCCCTTCCAAAATTGGGCCACTGCCGATGGTGGATGTATAAACGAAGACCACACGTTTATGACGAGGTTTCTCCATACACACACTCTCTGCGACCCAAAAGTGAGTACAGCTGAGCCCAGATTATGACGCCTTTTGACAGATGTTCCCTGCGGTTGCCCATATTTTGCCAGATCAGCTGCCTATCGACGTCCCAGCTAAAACCATATGGATTCATCATCTTGTCCTCGTAATTCTGAGAAAGCTGGCAGAGGTCTCCCACAAGAGCTCTTGGATCATATCGTTGACGAGTTACAGGACGACATGACGGCACTCCGGAGCTGTAGCCTGGCGCACAGCTCGTGGCTCCGACGCACCTCGAAATATCTCCTTGCACACAGCAAGGTCCCTCTCACGAACGACCTCCGGTACCCGCATGCACCTAAGGTGACGGACCGCATCTCATCCAACGTGCGCGTCCTATCCCTCTTGCTCGGGCCATACGACTACCTCACGCTTGTGATGGCCTTCCCGCTGCTCGAGGAGCTGAACGTCGACGGCGGAGAGTTTGCGATGAATTTCCCCCTGTGCACCCACGCAGGAATACCATCGACGGTTAGAGACATCACAGGTCGCTTTCTCTCACGCCTCTCCGCGACCAGATGCCCCATCTTTATTGTGGAACGAACCCTCCAGATGTTCGCCGCGGTGGATATGCTGACCATCCAGGAGCCTACGCACTCCTGGATAGCTTCGAAGGCGGCGCCCCATGTTGTCCGGGGCCTGCAGCTGCGTACGCCGAGGGCTGAAATCCTCGTCGAGCTCGCTGGTATCTTGTCCCCTGATACGCTGTCCACAATCTCCCTCGATTTCAGTGGGAAGGCGTACACGCAGGTCAGGGCCCAATCCGTCGACGACTTCTTGTTATCTGTGGGGCAGAGCATGCAACGATTCTATTACGTCCAGGCGGCGGGAGGGTGGAACGAACCTACGCAGAGTCAGTTAAGCGAGCTTCTGCACTCCGCCTTTTTGCAATTCTGACCAAAGATCTCAGATCCGCTCCCTGCGCTCATGACGTGCAAGCTGCTCGACTCTGTGGAGATCACGTCGTGCAAAACCGCGATATTCCACAAAGTCGTCTGGCAGGGGGCAGTGTCGATGTTGTCCTCGCTACCAGCTAGTACGCGGCGTATCAAGTTTATCACCTCCGGCTGTGAGGGCTTCGTGGACGACGAACACCGGTACTATTTTGCCAACTTTGTGCGTTTGTTAGACTGGCGAGCGATTGGTCGCCTCCTGGAGAGACGTACATCACCCCCGGTGTTGGAGATTGGTGCCGAAAGCGCCCGTGGACACGCATGTGTAGGCTTCCAACACAACCCTACTGCCCAGGCAGAGGTTCTGGAAAACTTCTCGGATCGTTTGTGTAACATGACTACATTTCTCTGACTTACGGATGAGTAGGATCCACTTATTAAAACAGCTACTCAGCTGCATGTATTACAACCTGTCTCATTAGTATCTACAAATCATGCGGTAGACAACTCAGCGGAAACAGATAATCTTACTCAAGCGAGGGGATAGCAGGGTGCGGATGTGATTCTGTATCTCAGGAGAAAGGGGGGAGCGTGATGCTCCGGCAGCGCAGTCGATGTTGAACCGAGCTAAGTACACGTGTTGTTCCAGGGTTCCATTGAGCCCCTGCCAATCGCTGTCGTTCCAGTTCTTGTCAGTGCGGAGGGAAATGTGCATCCCATGACCCACGTCGTGAGGATGGACGAGCGGCCAGTGGTAGGTTATGGATGGTACGTCAACGTTTTTCTGGGGGCCCGGGATTGTGAGCGTCACGGATACGAGCTCTTTGCACGACTCCAGAGCGCGGACTGTGCACCTATATCAGCTCAGGGACGATGACGTGTTGAGATAGACTCACGAAAATGTGTAAGAATAAGAGACGCGACAGGCGCTGCAAGCGCGAAGTGCTCAAGGTTCCAGCCATAGGTCTGTAAGAACCGTTCAAGCTCATGCGGATTCGCGATGTGCTCATCATAGAAATCGATTGTTACGTGTGTGAGGAGGGATGGCTGGAACACCCTGAGCACGGTGCAGATCCACAGCGGGCGAGTGCGTAGCCGGAGGAACCGCACAGGTCCGGCGTTCCGCGGCTGGTTAACGCTGCCTTCAACGTAGGGGCCGTCTAAAACAACCATCTCGACCATCGTGAACATCTCCAGGACACATTCGATCAGGTCCAAGTGTATAAAGTCGAAATAGAGGGTCGACAGCTTTCTTCGAGCGATCGGCAGCGGCAGCGCCGGGCGCGGAGCGAACGACCGGAAGAGACCACCGAAACGTATAGACTCTACGCAAGGCAGCAGCATCATGACAGTATGGATGTGCACGGGCATGATATACGTCAACTTATCGCCAAGAATGGTAAAGTCGAGGATAGATCGAGGTAGCCGGCTGGAGGTCCGCAGACAAGCGATGCAGTCCAGCAGGCGGGTCGTTGAGACGGAGACCCGCCGAAAGAGATGCTTCGTGCACCGTTGTAGCATCGACACGCATACGAATGAGCAGTTCTGTAGAGAGGTAGGATCGTCTTGGAGATAGTCTATGGTGGCGTCGACGAGTTCCTGAGGTACGAAGATTGTCTGGGGGTCGCGTGTCGCATTACGCGTGCCCTCGGGGCAGGGCTTCTTCTCGATGATCATCTTGTCGAAGGTGGTAATCAGTCTATAGGAACACCGCGGCGATAAAGGACTCAACTTGAAGTTGACGGGATTAGCTCGGATGTTCTCGGTCGAGTTTGCTTTGAGTTTGTAAGTCAGAGTATTTCGGAATTGGTAACCTAAGAGTCGGTGGAGCAGATATGTGGAGTCATATCTTTTAGCTTCAGACAACAAGCATAGAGATGAAAGTGGAGACCCTCACCGGCGTGGCCTCAACGGCGAGCACAACGGTGTAAACAAGGGGTAAGCGCTAGGTAAGCCGCCGTGCAAGCATGCGGATAGCATTTCTTATCTCAGGCAAAGTGTGGGAACGCCCCGCGCCTACGGTGCCCAGTTGTCCGTACTATCTCCCAGCTTGGGTTCGTCAGGCCTCCAACGAACGAGCACGGGCAGTCATCAACATTGAGATTACGCGAGATAACAAACGCCAGAGCTGGCAATGCAACGTAACAGGTCTGCCGGGGCTCAAGTTTTCGCCAATTGCTGGGGTTTCGGCATTCAATGACGAGTAGTCCAGGGCATATCTTAGTCTACACACATCCGCTATCACTAGAATGTCCCAATGTCGCAACGGCCTTTGATTGTTCCGATGTCGTGATATGGAAGACCAAGTCTCCTCTGGACTCCTGGCAAGGTTCTTCCAGTGAGCATGCTAAGCCACGTAGTAGAAGACGCCACAGCACGCACCAGCTGATTTTGATGACAAGGCTTCGGCCACCTGGTGTGAGGGCCGTGTTGCTGGCCCAGTGAAGTCGCCTGACGCGAGGGAGAGAGCGCAAAGGACTCAGGCTGCCGCATCAGACTGTTGACGAAAAAGTCGCGCATGTTAAATCTGAAGAAGTAGCTGTGTGAGCAGGCCAAGAATATGCAGTTGTCTGCAGACTGACGAAGCGAGCAGCGAGTTTGCATAGAGGCTGGACATTGGGAAGTAGACTAATGGCTCCAGTTCTCAGTACACCAGTTCTGGAAAGGCAAAGGAAGTGCTCACAGGACGTGAAAACGAAACTTTTTGGCATCGTAATATACTAGCAAGGGGATCAGGTTGGGGACTGTAGGCCAAGAATATCATTGCTGAGCGCACGGTTATTAGACAGGCCATTGCCACCAAGCTATGCCCATGGTCAGTGTGAGAGTGTAGCAGTTTTGGTCAAGCCTGACCTTGTCAAGAGCCCAGTGTTGATCGTATAAACAATGAGCAGATTGATGTACGTCCCGATTCTGGGTCCCGATGTCAGTCAGACTCGGGCAAACACTCGACTGAAGTCGCGAGGATACGGCCAAACCCACCTCCTACTTAGGACGCTACTACGAGATCCGGCGAGGTAGAAGCAGAGGAAAAGGGCGAGGACGACGTCGGAGACAAAAACCAAGGACATATCGGTGTCCAAGATCCACTGTGGCCGCGGCAGTCGCCTCTGAGTAAAGATACAGTACGATTCGATGTGAGAGGGCCCTTACCTCGTCTTGACGAAATACGGAGAACGTCCTTACTCGGTACCTACATGCTCCAACGTAGGTTAACACTGCGCAAAGGACATCAATGGACCGGTAGTTACGATTTTGCACTAACAGCTGATAGGACGGTATTGAAGTGTATGGGACTAAAGTTCCGGGGAAACGCCTCACCTATGGTAAACCCTACAGCGAATGCATTAGTTGTCTCAAATACGAACACTGTTAAGGCGGCGCATGCACGTACCGAAGGCGGTCGCGACGCATGCAATCTACACAATTTATCAGCTTGCTAACATACGTGGAAGAGATGGAACGAACCAGAGTGGCTGTAAGGTACCAATTTCGCCGGCTCACTGGAACAAGTCACTCAGTGCACTCAGGATCAGAATAATCAGATGCAAGGACATACGGATCCAGATCCGATAAATGAACCAGCTAAGCGCATCGAATGAGAACTATGATTGTACTCAGTTGATATCTGAAGCACTAACCTACGAACGAGGACATCGTTGATCCCCTGTGATAGCAGACAGTAAATTGGCCGGACATGGACACGCTATGCAGCCGACTCTACGTACCGTTAGGAATACACCAAACTTGGTGGTCAAAGCCCTTAGAGTCAGGAGACTGTCATCGGCACAGCCAGATAAAGACACAGCTCACAGAGATACTCCTGCGATGTAACAGATCCTTTACTTCACTGAGGACCGATAAGAATATTACCGCCAAGACGTACCAGGGAATGCGATCTATGGTGGCAGGACGGCCATAGTTGGTGACCATGTACCTAGCGTAACGGTTCACGCTTCGTATTGGTCGGGTTCATCGAATAATCGGTCAGAAAATCGTACCAGTAACAGGGATGTATCGAGAAAGCAAGATGCGCAGTATTCACAGCCCTAGAGGTTACGGTATCAAAAAAGGGTGTATCACGAGCATCACAAGCAGCTAATGATTTGAGCTCACCAAAGAACCCACACCTAAGTCACATGTCAAGGTATGTTTTCACGTCACGGACTCAAGGGAGTAACCAGAATGCTTACGGTGTATTTTGCATACTGGTTGTCTTGGCAAGAAATCTGACACAGCATAAAGGTTTGGAGGCAGACAATGCCGTAGAGCCTATGCAAGTCCGTGTCATCAGTCGATATGTCCATGGATTACTATCGTTAAGACTGTGTAAACGTACACAGCACAGATAAAGGCACCTATCATCACCGCGCCCAGAGTGGTGTTCAGTCCAGGGAGCGGGGCATCTGGGAGCAGAGTGGGTTGGGAAAGCGTGGCCATAGCGGAACACCACAGGACAAGCCACTAGTGCATGATGCATATATATACGCGCAGCTCCTCGCACATGCAGCGAGTACTTCGGGATGAATGATGGCCCTGGGTGATCTTTGTATTGTTCGAGGACGGTAGTGTCGCGTGTGAGCTGCTCGATGCCAGTGATCTCTCATAACAAGAAGGTGATAATCTCAACGCGGCAAATGCAATCAGCCACACACCCGCACGCTGTTGGATCATTGACAGCGGCTCACGATTCCAAGCTAGTAGCCGCGGCTAGTGTTGGTCAGGCGGAGACTCGACGGGTACTCCGACAGGGCTCGAGGCGCCTATTCGGAGAGCAGCAGATCAGCGCAGCTGGGAGGACGATGATAGCCGCAAGGCCCTGCACAGCTCGATGCACCGCCAAGGCAGGTGTGATGGACACGCGCTCGAGCAGCGGGATCGCTTTGGCAGGTCCTGTGCTCCGAACATCAGCCCATTTCGACTCGACCCGATGACACTTCCAGCCTCTACCAACGCGCAAGGTAGTTGTTACGTCCGTGTATGCCAAGAACAGCGCCACCCTCATACCATCCGCAAAGCCCCATAGCGTGACTATAGACTTTACTATCTGGACGTGGGTGACTAGGTCGCCGTCGTCCGAATCGGTGTCCCGGAGCAACACGTAGGCTCGGTGCCAGTGTGCGGACGGCTCCATGGGAGGGGGGCGGAGAGTCAATACCTCGCCTTGAAGCGCTTTTTGTGGGAGCAGTAGCAGCTATAGTTACAAACTCCAGAAAACCTTCGACAAACGTTCCGTACTGGGGTCGAGGGCGTGACGGTGATTGAAGATGCAGGTTCCAACGTGGACGAGTTGCACGTGTTAAACCCGCACAACAAATATAATGGTAATCCAATGAATCAGTCGACGTGCCGCCCTACGACAGCAGGAGTAAATAAAGTGAACAAGCACATACCGCGACAGGTCAGTGCATGTGGTAGATTGTGTGAACCAGACATACGATTCGCCGTCGGAAAGTACACTGAGAGACCCGTACTATTGTCAATTTCGTCATCAAGTACAACCGAACGCAAGGGTGCTAGAAGCCTGGAAGTGAACTGCATGGGATAGCATAGCTACAACGCTTCATAGAATATAATCGGTAGCATATCTCACGCTAGTCACATACGCTACTGCCAGCATAATCCGCCATTGTAGAGGATTTCGATTGCTCTGTCGCGATATGGAAAACCATGCCTCCTGTCGACTCCTATCACAGTCCCTCGCATGATTATTATCAAACACTCGAGAGGGAATGGCGCAACACGCACCAGATGGCCTGGAGAACACGTCTTCGATACCCGCGCAGACGAGTCTCGCTGCTGGCTGCGCGAGTATGTCACAGGCGAGACTGCAGAGAGTGCATAGGTTGACGACTCTTCTTTGTTGCCGAGGAAGTCGCGCATATTGAATCTGAAAAATTAACCGCGTCAACACAAAGGAATAATAGTAGAACGGCGAACTGACGAAGCGAGCAGCGAGTTCGAGTAAAGACTGGCCATCGGGAAGTAGACTGATGGTTATCAGTTTGTGATTCTGCGCGAGGCAAGAGAGGCACTTACCAGCGTAGCTGACAAAGTTTGTCGGCATTTTGATGAACTACCACGGCCATGTCAGCTTTGCAGTGATCCAGGCATTCCTGCCGAGTGGCCTTACCGTTATTGTGCAGGCCATTGCCAGAACGCTTTACGCATGTCAGTGCAAGAATATAGCTAGTTCCGTTGAGGCTGACCTTGTCAGAAGCCCAGTATTGATAGTGTATACAATGAGCACGTTAATGTATGTCCCGATCCTGAGTCATGGCACCAAGTCAGAACCTGATGCGAGCAAGCATAGGAACAGCTGTATATACCTCCTGCTTAAGATGTTATTGCGGGACCTGAAGAAGTAGAAGCAAAGGAGGAAAGCGATGATGACATCTAAGGCAAAAACCATGGGCATGATGGCACCTACGGCCCGCTATGGCAGTACCACCTTAGTAGAGGAATACAAACCCGATTCATGTTAGAACCGTACCGAGGCTTGAGTTTGCCTAAACGCAGTGAATGTCTGCGCTAGGTATCTGTGGATTTCGGCTTATATCAATGTCACCACATGGACTAGGACTAGACGTTACGTTTCTCCTCCCAAGACTAATGAGGATGGTGAGTACGCAGAACTCAAGAGCCAAGGGGAAAGCGACTTACCGGTTGTAAGGACTGTAGTGAAGGCGCAGTACGACCGTCAACTTTGAACGATTGGCGCAGTGGCGCTTGCACGTACCAAATACGACTACCACGTAGACGGCCTGTGTAGTTCATGAGCCCGCGAATTTACACAACGAAAAGCGTCAACAAACCAGAGGGGGTGCAAGCCAACGATTATGTTGACTCACTAGGATAAGTTAGTTCGATACGCTTACCATGAGATGTGAGGACGCACGGATCCAGATCCGGTAGACAAACCATCTAAGCATACAGGTGAGAATTGCGGGTAGCCTGACCGATGTTTGGAATACTGACCCACGGACCAGAATGTCGTTGGTTGCCTGAAAGAGCGCCGGGTGGCGGGTTAGCCAGCCATCGATGTTCTATGCAACCGATCGCACCGTTAGAATTTGCCAGGTCTAGCGGTTACCGGAAGCCTTGGAATCAGAGAAGACTCTCAACTTGACTAGGTTATGGTATGGCTCACTGGGATGCTCCTGCGGTGTGGTGAGTCCTCATCGTGAACAGCGAGCACTACTTAGAGTCGTTAAGACGCACCAAATAATGTGGTCTATGGTATCAGGACGGCCGTAGTTGCTGACCATATACCTAGTATAGCAGTTCATGCTTCACGCGAACCAGAGTATGTGGCTACAAAGCATCGTACCAATAGCACGGATGTATGCAAAAAGCGAGATGCGCGGTGTTCATCACCCTAGAGACTATGGCATTAATGCGGTTGCATAGGCATCCGATGATTCGAACTCACCAGAGGGCCCACACCTAGTATGTTGTATGCCGAGGCACACGTTTAGCCCACTATCTCCAAGATTAACGGAACGCTTACGGTGTATCTTGCATACCGATGATCGTAGAAGGACGTCCGGCAGAACATGACAGTTTGGAGACATAAAACGCCGTAGAGTCTAGATACGCAAGTCTGTGTCAGTAGTCACGGACTAGTATCACTAGAGTAGCGTCAGCGTACGCAGAACTGGCGAAGGCACCTAACATCAGAGCACCCAAGGTGCTGTTTAGTACGGCAGCTGGAGGCAGTGTGGTAGGGAGTACGGCAGCCATAGCGGAGCGATAGAGGATACTCCATTATCGCGCGCACGACATTTATATATATATATAGCTTTTTGCTCATCTGACAGTGAAGACTTCTGCAATACCCTGCATGATCCTGGTGTCCGTTCTACAGCAGTGTGCGGAGTCGCCATGGGAAGTTTGATTGTGTATCAGACATCGATGATATAAATTCACGCACCGAATACACACGGTGGTGTATAAACACATGGTGATGGCTTCGGAATGGTGGCGGCTCGGGTGCGGCAGCCGGCATTAGCAGGGTCCATGGGTGTTCTGCCCGAGTTTGATCAGGAAGGCCCAGCCTGTGAAGATGGTATCAGCGTCTTTTGAGGGGCATGGGCGGCTGCGGCCACAAGACCGTGTACAGCACTATGCATCGGTAACCATAGGCAGGGAGAACGGGCACACGTCCAAGCTAGAAGATCACGATCGAAGGCCTACAGCCCTCGCAGCGGCCGCCTTCGACATCAACGTCAGTCCACCCTGGTTCGAATTAATCATACGTTGACATTAAGCCAACGCGAAAAAGCAGTAACTCCAAGCACCTCTCAGACAGGATTGCTCTTCCGCACTAGTTGCCAAACTTTCTCACAGCGTAACCTTGGACTGCTCCGTCTGGACATGAATGACTAGGTTGCCGCCGCCCGACTCCGTGTCCTGGAGTAATCCCCGAACTCAGTATGCGAACAGACAGAAGAGTAAAACGCCGTACATTGATGCGCTCTGGGTGGGCGGAGTGAGAGGAATGGCAGCTGCAGTGGCAGACAGTAGAGCGCTGGTGGAACTTTATCGTGGACAGCGGCGCGGCGAAGGACGCAGGATCCGACTTGAGCGAATCACGCAAGTTGAACCTGGATAAATGAATTGTTGTTAACCCAACGAGTCGACAAATGTTTCGGCTTACGATGCTAGGAGTGAATTGGCATATACTGTGGCAAGTTAAGTCTGTTAGTGTACGTTGGGGATTATGCTTGATGAACGACGACTTACGGTTCACCATCGGGAAGTATACTGCCAGGTTTTACCGTCAGTTCTGTTGTTAAGCACAGCCAAATGCGAGGCTTACAAGACCAAAAGATGAAGTTGTCAGGCATGGTAACGAACTAGAAAAAACTTAGCGAATGATGAAAGGTCATACAAAACACGTGCTCACCGTGATGAGACACGCCATGGATAACATGCTGAATATAAAATTAGTGGCGTACGCTTGTGCAAGAAAGAAACGTGTGCTACCAACCTGGTCAGCAGCCCCGTATTGATTGTATACAGTATAAGGATGTTGAGGTACGACTCTGTCCTGTAGTAGAATAAATTCAGTACAAGCGACGTCAGTCTGCATGCCGAGAATGTGGACAGACCTGCGATTCATGACCCTCATTCTAGATGTAGCGAGTAAGTAGCAAAGGATGGCCGCAATGAGCCCATCCGCCACGACGACCAGGGAGAGATCGGTCTCAGGGAGCCACTGCAACTGTATTGGAGATGGGGAGTTCGTTTAGAGCAATATTTGATACAGTTAGCCTCGCATGTTGCGCACGTGTACTTGCACAAGCTGGAAATATGTCTTGGTTTGGTAGCTATGGCGCAACGGGATAAACGATGGAAGACATTCACGAAGATCGAGACCTACGTTTTGATACCAGTAGCTGGTATGCTCATGGTTTAGATAGGGTTTGTTACAATAGGTTACGCACCCACCAAGGGTAAGGCCTGGACGCATCACAGCGAGAGTCAGCGATGCTTCGGCGAAAGGTACCAGGCTACCCACCAAACAGGAAGACGCAAAGGACCGTCTGTATCTCAATCAGTCCTCGAAGTCCACTGCGAAATCAGAGTAACGTACCATGGGGTAAGTAATCCAATGGTTGCGATGGCTCACTGATCATCTTCAGAGCAGTCCGTGGAAGAGACCCACGCATTTTACTCACAGACCCAGATGCGATAAACGAACCAGCTGAAAGGCAGTGCTTCAGAGATCAATCGCTGGAGTTAATTGTTATGCGACGTAGCAACGAACGATGAAATCGTTCACAGCCTGTGTTGCGCAATATGACGTCAAGTTGCTGATATCCAAGATGCGATGCTCACCGTCAAGATTATTCCCGCCTGCAAAGGACCTATTTAACAGAGCGCTCAGCGCAAGAATCTTTTTGAAACCACGCACCGATACACTCCTATCGATTCGACGTTTGTCAGTGTTTGTACATGGCCGCTGGTGGATGCGACATACCAGACGGTATTGACTATCGCGAGAGGTTGAAGATAGTCAGACACCAAATACCTGCCGAGGGTATCAACTACACTATGCAGGTAATACACACCAATAGACCGGATGGATGACGAGAGCCATATGCGCGGAACTGATGAGCCTGCCGCTATCATGAGATAGAAGCGTGACACATCCCATTTTTACGTACAAAAGTCCAATGACCTAAGTGAAAAAGTTGGTCAGTAAATGGCGAATGAGGAGACATATGTTCTCACCGTATATACCATATAACGGCTGTTGTGCGACTGTCCTTGGAAGAACAGCAGCGTTTGTAAGACGATGATTCCATACAGCCTGTCATCGAAAACAAGGTCAGCTGTTCGTGGAGCAAGACAATGGTGACGCACTTACATGGCCGCGACGAAGCCTCCTATCAGGATGGCTCCGAGGGTGCTACTGGTGTTGAGACCCGGGGACTGTGGATTCGAGGGTAAAGGGGATTGAGTAGCCATCCTGACGTACTGTGGGAGGGCGGAGAGGCGAAGGGTATAAGTAGAAAGGAAGATAGGATGGCGTGTGTTACCATCTTTCTAATATAATGATGGGGCATGTTCGCTGCCATACCTGCTGGATGGAATAGAGATAAACGGCCGTAATGGGCTGGGGAAAGATGGAGAAGGGTCAGGATCAGCGGGTGAACAAATGTTACAATAAGAAGTCGATAGTCAGGCTGCCATAGTGAACTATGAGGACAGCTGGGAGTTATGAGGGCATCAAGAGGGCTGTGGAAGAGAACGTACGACGTGTACCTGTGAACAGAGTGTGGGAAGCATGACGATCTACGGCGATACTGATCAGCAGGTATCATGATAGTGATTCTAGCCTCTCGGCACAAGGTGATCGCAACTCCAAAGTTTGTCAGTCGCCTGTGGACAATCGCTGCCGCAAGAAAAGCTCTACACATAGTCACCACCAAATCGTCCACCAAGCACCCGAATTAATGGACCATGGACTGCTTTGCATCCGACTTGACGAGTTACCACGATATGGCATTCAGTACTGGTTCCTATTGAAAGGCTTGAGTCGGGCGTGCCGACTTTCGAGTACTCGACGTCCATGTACTCGCTCAGCGTTCCCATTAGCTTTGCGCCTGCATCCTTTGCTGATGAAAGATAATAAAAATCAGCTCCAACGCTATCGATATAGCAATAAATATTGACCTCGATCATCCTATCCCCCAAGATCAAGCAATGCAGGTCTGGGTCCTCGAGCGTGGGCTCGCGATGCAGGGCCGTTCAGCGCCTTTGAGACCTCTGCAATCTCCGCGTCCAGTGAGTTTAAACAGACAGTCCTTCGCCTTCCCCCAAAAGATCACCACCGCGGGCCGCGAGAAGGTGATGCTTTATGGGTCGTAGGGTACGTGGACAACTGTTAGGTACTGCGCCTTGTCGTGGTCGATGCTCTTCTGAATTGGTGTGGACGTACAGCGTTGCTCGCGACGGGACACACAATCCTTGCATCGGAGAAACAATTGTCAACGGAAAACTCTTTTATCTCTTGTCGTACCAGAAGGCGTACACATGAATTTCCGTATAAAATTGCGTGAATAATGCAGATCTGCAGGAGAAACCAGGATTCAGATATCCTGCAAAGATCAAAACAAACTCACGCCTGATCTTTCTTGAGAGTCGTCTCTGACACTGCCAGTGTCGACACAGTAGGAATAAATAAATCGAGGGTAATGCAGGACGTGAGCTCCTTGCGACGCTCCTCCAGGAGTTGGGAGCAAATATTATGCTTGGTGGTTGTGACACATACTGGCACAAGCGCGAGCAATAGGTCAGAGAGCTTGAACGATTTGGGCCGTGGAAGGCCAAATGAGAAGCTGGTTCGTGTTGGAACTGAGTAGTATATGCGGGATGACCAAAGCAAATCTGCTGTGCACGGCAATGATGTGAAAAGATCCAGAATTCGCATATCCGGAGTCTGGGATCACGTCAGTACATCCTGCAACTGAACCTTAGATCGTCTGAAATCCATGTAGCCCATTTGTAGGACTCACCAGCACGTTGTAGGGATCCTTCCATGGTATAGAGACGGAAGGGATGGTGGTACCGAGATCCGCGCAAGTGGCAGTGGCCGCAGGAGGCACGGTGCAACGGTGGTTGTACCTCCGAGCTACGTGCGACTACCTTGATGCTGCTGAACAGTATTTGGAATGAAGCACAGTAGACCTGCAAAAGGGACATCGTCTGAGCATATCGCGATGCCTCGCGACAGTATTTGAGATGGGAATGTCGTCGGTCACGTGCGAGATGTCCTAAGATTCCCTGTGAGTCAAGGCGTAGATATGGCGAAAGGGAGCCGACGAGGAGCCTACCTGGTCATGCTGTTCCCGCATAATGGCTATGGTGATTTGCAAGATGTATGTATTTCAGTTTCTTGACAAGATTGAAGAGGCTAGAATTGGCACAAATGAGAGCACGCAACGTTTGCTAGCACGTGATTCGGGATGCAGGAAGTGTCCTGGAGAGCAGAGAGGAAGAGCCGGAAGCACTTCTACATGAGGTGCTGGGCAGCCTGTTTGCCGAGCACTGGTCAAGTGGTCAATGGGCGGCGTATGCGACGCTAAGACTAAGGTAACGCACGACAAGAAATTCTCACTGCCTTAGCTACTTTCTCTGGCCCGTTCATGCGCAGTCTTTGTGGCTGTGTGCTGGGTAGTCGGGGGCGTCCCTGGATGTAATTTATCGAGATGTTGAGTCGGGCTCGCGCTGCGCACGAAATTGGAACGAACGTACGACAGGCCAACCGGCCACCGGTTATCGGTCAAGTAAAGCCGTACTCGTTATTGCTGTAGTGAAGTGCCGGGGAATCAGGGCGAGACGCATGGCCAAGGGGCAGGCAGGGGCGGCGGCGAGCTGTCCATGACTATATGAGCAGGATGGACGTTGTATGAGCCCCTAGAGCTGCCAGCTTACACCATTGATCTGCCTGCCGTAAACGAACACTGCTGATCTCGCGTCGTGCCGTCTCAAGAGCTCCCTTGGCTGTGAATCTTCTCATGAAATTCCTCAGATGTCTCACAATCGTGAATGTCAGCAACTCTCGCTGCTGAGGATAGACAGTACGCACAAGCAAGCGATATGACAAGGAAGCCAAGGTACGTGTTTATACTCCAGCTGTTGGCCGGCTTTACATGCTCAATTTAGCTGCGACTTCACGCAGTACACACTCCAGAATTTTTGCTTCTGCCTGCTAATCTCGCCTTGCAAGGGAAGTACTTACTTCGCGGCTGGCCAGGAATCGCCGCCCTTCTGCGACGAACTCGCTGGGAACCATCCTTCTGTCAGGTCGTAACCGTGTCACTTGATCACACGAACCGGTTGCTACAAGCTGTATGTTCGACATATCTCATTCTTGACCGCAGGCTACGACGCGCATCGAGAGTCCTAATCGCCCTGCTGGCATGCGGTGTCATAAACACATCCCATGGCTGACAGCTGCTGTGCCGTACCACACTCGCCTCCCTCGCTACTTGCGCTCTCGCCGCGAATGGCGAAGTAGCTTGTGCATGGCGACATCGACAGGGTCCCAAAACGGGAGCGCAGCAGGGAACTCCAGTCACAGATAGCAGTCATACGGCTAGTGAAATGCATTAGGCGCGAGATGGTGTCAAGCAGGAAGGCGCGTCGACGGAGACGGATGACAGACGCAGGGAAAAGACGAGGAGACACTAACTGCGGCACTGTGCAAGGCGTCTTGAGGACAGCGGTGCGCACGGGAATCCCTGTTGGCGTTCAAAAGGTAGGGATGCGGGAAGCGAGAGGTTGAAGCTCGCCCCCCTGATGGAACAATGGGGAAGCGTAGAAGCAGCTGTAGGCACTGAATCTGTCGCATGTATATAGTACTCCCTCGTGTCCGGTACCTCGGCGCGGAGGCAGATGGCGGGGTGGTCAACCCGACGCCTTCGTTGGCCGTGCATAGACGACTGGTTGGGACGTAGCTACACAGTCGGGCGGGTTCGTGACGGCGTGCGTGTGGTCATCGAGCTGTCAGCAGGCGAGTCGGAAGAAGACAGGGAAGAGTGGTAGGTTCTCTGACACGGCCGGGTATCGCAGATGTGACGGATGTTTGCTCAGGACCTCCAGATTTACCCCACACCCTACATGTACCTGGCTGCACGTAGTTCAATGTGATATATCCCGGCTGCTCTGCCATCTTGCCTGCCCTCGTCTCCATTAATGCCTTCATCAGTGTGCCACGCGACACGCTGGCCATGACAGGATCGCTCTTTCAGTTCGTACTAGTCGCCAAACTATCTCACAGCGTGGCCTTAGACTGCCCCGTCTGGGTATGAACGACCAGGTCGTTGCCGCCCGACTCCGTGTCCTGGAGCAACCCCAAAACTCAGTATGCGAACGGATGGAAGAACAAAAGGCCGCACATTGATGTACTCTGGGTGGGCGGCATGACTCGAGGATTGGCAGCTACAGTGGCAGATAGCGGAGTGCTGGTGGAATTTCATCGTGGACAGCGGTGCGGCGAAGGATGAAGGCTCTTGCTTGAGCGAATCACGCATGTTGAACCTGCAAAAAGAACTTGTTGGTAACGCAACGAATCGACTAATTTCTCGGCTTACGACGCTAGGAGCGAATTGGCATATACTATGGCGAGTTAGTACATGTCTGAGATAGCGCCAGGTGAGTTCAGACATACGAGTCATCATCGGGAAATATACTGCCAGATTATACCGTCAGTTCCATTGTTGAGTGTGACCGGATGCAAGACTTACAGGCCACAAAGACGTAGTTGTGAGGCATGGTAACGAACTGGAGCAAAGTAAGCAAAATGATGAACACTCATACAAATCACATGCTCACCGTGATGAGACACGCCATGGATAACATACTGATCATGGGCTCAGTGACGCACGGCCATACAAGAAGCACGGACTACTAACCTCGTCAGCAGCCCCGTGTTAATTGTATACAGGATAAGGATGTTGACGTATGACTCTGTCCTGTCGTAGATCAATTTCAGCATAAGCAACGTGGATCTACAAGATATATGGACAGACTTGTGATTCATGGCCTTCGTTCTAGATATAGCGAGTAGGTAGCAAAGGGTGGCCGCAATGAGCACATCCGCCGCAAAGACTAGGGAGAGATCGGTGTAAACGAGCCACCGTACCTGTATCAGATATAGGGGGGGTTCATTTAAAGCAGTTTTCGATACAGTTAGCCTCGCATGTCACGCACGTGGGTATGCACAAGTCGGAGATATGTCTTGGTTTGGTAGCTGTGGCGCAATGGGATAAGCGATGGAATACATGCAAGAAGGATGAGACTCACAATTCGACGCCAGTAACTAATATGCTCAATGCAGTGGTTTAGACAAGATTTTTATACTAGGCTGTGTCACTCACCAATTGTAAGGCCTGGACACATCACAGCCATGGTCAGCGATGCTTCAGCGAACAGTAACACACTGCTCACCGAACAGAAAAATGCACAGAATCGTCTATATCTTAAATCAGTCCTCGATGTCTACTGCGAGATCAGAACAACATACCATGGGAAAAGTAGCCCAACGGTTGCGGCCGCTCACTGATGAATTTCAGAGCAGTCCGTGGAAGGGACCCGCGCATTTTACTCACAGATCCAGATGCGATACACGAACCAGCTAAAAGGGCAACACTCCAGAGATCAATCGCTGGAGTTAATTATAACGTGGCTTACCAGCGGACGATGAAATCGTTCACAGCCTGCGTTGCATAATATAGTGTCGAGTCGCTCATAAAAATCAGATCCGGAACGCAATGCTCACCGTCACGATGACTCCCGCCTGCAAAGGGCCTATTTAATAGAGCGCTCAGCACAATAATCTCTAAAAACCTACGCACCGAGACACTCCTATCAATTCGACATTTGTTAGTACATGCACACGGCCACCGGTGAATGCGATATACCAGACGATTTGGACTATTGCGAGGGGCTGAAGATAGTTAGACACCAAATACCTGCCGAAGTGTCAGCACTCAGGGGTGTCAACTGCTCCGTACAGGTGATACACACCAATAGACCGGATGGATGATGAAAGCCATATGCACAGAATTCATGACCCTGCCGCCACCGTGAAATGGGAGCGTGACACATTTCCGTTTTCACGCACCAAAGTCCAGCGACCTAAGCATAAAGTAAGTCCGTAAGGTAAGACGTGAGCCAGAAAACATGTTCTCACTGTGTATCTCATGTAACGGTTATTGTGCGACTGTCCTTGGAAGAACAGCATGGTTTGTATGACGATGATTCCATACAGCCTGTCATTGGAAACAAGGTCAGCTATTCGGTGATGCAATTGGCATGTACTTACATGGCCACTACAAAGCTTCCTATAAGAATAGCTCCGATGGTGCTGCTGGCCTTGAGACCCAAGTCCTGTAGAGTCAAGGGCGGAGGGGGTTGAGTAGCCATCCTGAGGAGGGCAGGGAGCGAGAGGTGAAGGGTATAAGTAGGACAGCAGATACTATGGCGTGTGTTGCCATCTTTCTTATACAACGACAGGGCACGTTCGTCCCCACATCTGCTGCGTAGAACTGAGAGAATTGGCAACTATCGACACGGCACTGGGTCACGGAAAGATGGAGAACGGTCGGAGTTAGCGGGCGAACAGAGTGTGCGATAAGAAGTCGGTGGCAAAGCTGTGGCAGTGGGCTATGATGACAGCCAGAAGCTACGAGGACAGCCAGAAGCTACGGGAGCACCACAGAACGTCAAGAGGGCCGTCGGAAGAGAACGTACGATGTGCGCCTGTGAAAAGAGTGTGGGAAACATGGCGATCTACGGTAGCAGCTATCATGATCATGATTCTGGTCTCAGCACAAGGTGATTGCAGCTCCATGGTCAGTTGAGTGGACAGCTCAAGAAAGAAAGGGCCCTACTTGGTCGCGGCCGAGTCGTTTACAAGCGCCAGAATGGGCCAAAACTTGGGCTGCTCTGCTTTACAGGTCTGCATGCCGCCACTTTAGTCCGCTGTGATTGTCATGAGATACCCGCTCAGCCTCGGATGCGATCGAAGCCAGCAAGCACTTGAGTAGTGCCTGCCGACGCTCGACGTGCAGCGGTCTCATCAACTTTCCGTCCGGATTGCCCTCTGCCTAAAATCATCAGCTCCGACACCATTGACAAAGCGTTAAGAAACCAATCACGGATCCTCGAGCGTTGGCCCGCCGAAAGCGAGGCTGTTCAGTTCCTCGGAGATCTCAGCGGCAATCCTTACGTAGAGCTCAGGCTTGGATAGATGGTCCTTCGGCTTCTCCCAGAGAATCACCACCGCGGGTGACTAGAGTGCAAGCGGATGATGGTATCTGGCCCGTGGGATACGTGGACGATGGTCAAATGCTGCGGCTTGTCACGGTCGATACTCTTCTCAAGCTTCTGACGCATGGTCACAAAGTTTGGGCTGCTGGCGAACCTGCGGTGGTGGTCGAGGGAGTCTCAAGCTGGCGGAACGATGGCTGTCAGAGGCAGGTGGACGAAGCAAGAGTTGGGGTACCTCGTATGATGTGGCCAGTCTCGTCGTCCTCCACTTCTAGTGCCCGATACACTCTGCAAATTACAAGTCGACACAGTCAGCCCTCAGAGACTCGGTTACGACCTTCTGGCTCGGCTCTTGATCGTTTGCTGGTACTGCGGTGCATCGTCTACGACAGTGATGCAACCCGAGTGTAGGTCGGAGTCGGACGTTGGGAACGTCAGACACGGAACTAGGTCACAAAAAGACGGAGAAGGGCCGGAATCGGCAGGCGAACAGAGGGCACGGTGATAAGTCGATGGCCTATCTACCGCAGTTGGTGCTATGAACAGCTCCCGGATATCATTTGAGACGCAAAACCATCGCCTCGTCCCCTAAAGGTCGAGCTTGCTGACTGGTCTGTTTGTCTGGCCGTGTCAGGTTGCGGGGTGGTGGGCTGTTCGGAAGAATGAGGACCAGTGGATGCTATGAAGTGGAGATTTGTAAGTGACTCTCGGCACGCTGAGCGTCTTACACAGGTTCGTGTCGGAAGCTATAGAAACATGACAAAAAGTACAGGCGTGGGAGACGCGCACAGCGACAGACATTGGTCGGCGTGCTTGCCAAAGCTTACATAAGGCCACGGACATGTCATGTCGGCCGCCACCAAGTCGTCTACCGATCCAATCTGCCATCAAGCGCTGGCTCGCCTCATTTATCACAGTGTGCCATCCATCCTCTCACACGGAGATCGGGTGAGACTTACCACCCTTAAGTCTGCACCAACGCCTACCTCTCACTCACCTGTGAAGATAATATCAGCGCCAGATGCAAGTGTTGGGTGGTTGCGGCCATACAGCTCTGTGCGTCGAGTCGGCAACCATAAGATAAGCAGCCTGAGAGGGAATGAGTACACGATCGAGAGCTGGGAGACCACTGTTGAAGGCCTACAGCCTCCCGCAGCGGTCGCCTTCAACACCAATGTCAGTCCATTCCAATTCGGTTCAGTCATTCTTTTACATTGAGCCAGTGCAAAATGGTAGTGCCCCCATGCATTTCGAAGATAGGGTCGCACTTCTGCGCTCGCTGCCAAACTTTCTCACAACGTAACCTTGGATTGCTCTGTCTCGATACAGATGACCAGGTTGCCGCTGCCCGACTCTATGTCCTAAAGCAACCCCCAAATTCAATGTGCGCACGAACGTAAGAGTAGGACGCCGCACCTTGACGTGCTCCGGGTGGGAAGAGTGAGGAGAATGGCAGCTGCAGTGGCAGACAGTAGAGCCCTGGCAGAAGTTCAGTCTCGGGGCCAGCAGTATGGCATAGGACGCAGGCTCCATCTTGAGCGAATCGCGCATATTGAACCTGCAGGAAAAAATGAGCTGTTAGTAACTTAACGAGCCGACTGAATCATGACTCATGATGCCAAGAGCGAATTGGCGTATACTTTGAAAAGTTGGTGCATGTCAGAGATTGTGCTCAGTTAATTCAGACATATGATTCACCATCGGAAAGTACACTGCCAGATTTTACAGTCAGTTCCATCATCGAGTGCCACTGGGTACAAGGCTTATAAGACGTGAAGATGTAGTTGTGAGGCATGTTAACGAACTGGAGCAGAGTTAGCAAATGACAAAGGATCATACAAGACACACGCTCACTGTGATGAGTCATGCCATAGATAGCATGCTGAACATGGGTTTAGTGGCACATGCTCGTACAAAGAACATGCACTGTTACTAACCTGGTCAGCAGCCCTGTGTTGATTGTATACAGGATAAGGATGTTGAGATACAACATAGGTCTGCATGCAGAGTTTGATAACAGGCCTGCGGTTCATGACCTTCATTTTAGATATAGCAAGTAAATAACATAGGATGGTTGCAATGAGCCCATCCGCTACAAAGACCAAGGAGAGATCAATGTCAAGGAGCCACTGTATTGAGAATAGGGAGCTCAATTAGGGCAATATTTGCAAGAGTTTCAGTTCGGCGGCACAGACATGGGAACTTATTAAGTTACATTGGACTAGCCACTCATAAGCGCCCAAGTGGCTAAGACATGCTCAAGAATTTCCGAAAAGCCCAAAAAATGGCACAGGCGGAAATCAAACCTGCAGCCAGAAAGTAACTGCACTGCGCTATACCACTAAAGCATAAGACCTTGCAAGTGTAGGGTTAGAATTGCTATATAATACCACTTTTCCACCTTAAAGTCTTAGCCATACCATCAGAATATACCTTTGTACAATTACATTCCACTGCTTAATACATAGTAATTGGCTAAAATATAGAACTTTGGGCAGCTAAGACACTGATGTGGCTAAGACACCCACATGGCTAAGACACCCATGTGGCTAAGACACCCGTGTGGCTAAGACACCCATGTGGCTAAGACACCTAAGCAGATAAATTATACTCAGTAACTTAAGTGGAATCAATAGCAAATATTCAATGTCTCCATGTCTCAGCCACACTGGTGTCTTAGCCACATGAGTGTCTTAGCCATAACATCAGAATATAGCTTTGTACAATTACATTCCACTGCTTTAATATGTAAATCATTGGCTAAAATGTAGGAGACTTTAAGGCAAAAAAGTGGTATTATAGGGCAATTCCGACCCCACATTTACAAGGTCTTATGCCTTAGTGGTATAGCATGCTGCAGTTACTTTCAGGCTGCAGGTTTGATTCCTGCTTGTGCCATTTTTTGGGCTTTTTGGAAATTCTTGAGTGTGTCTTAGCCACTTGGGCACTTATGAGTGGCCAGTCTGGTGTAACTTAATAAGTTCCCATGTCTGTGCTGCCAAACTGAATCAGCTCATATTTGATACAGCCAGCTTTGCATAGAATGCATGTGGATCTCTGAAAATCAAAGATATGTTTTGGTTTGATAGCTGCACTGCAATGGAATTAACGATGAAATACATTCACAAAGATCGAGGCTTACGCCTTGACACTGGTAGCTGGTATACTCACGCTGAGACAGAGTCTTCATGATAGATTATGTCACTCACCAATAGTAATGCCTGAATGCAGCATAGCAGAGTCAGTGATGCTTTGGTGAAGGATGCTGGGCTATCCACCAAATAGGCCAATGCAAAGGATCATCTGCATCTTAGTCAGTTCTTGAAGTCCACTGCAAGATCAGACCAACATACCATAGGAAAAGTAACCCAGCAGTTGCAGTGGCTCACTGGTCATCATCAGAGTAGTACATGGAAGAAACCTGTGCATTTTACTCAGACCCAGATGTGATACACAAACCAGCTGAAAGGTGGTATTTTAGAGATGACTCGCTATAGTTAACTTTAATGCAACGTACCACCAGATGACGAAATTGTTCACAGCCTGCGTCGCACCATAAGGTGTCAATTCACTGATAAATAATCAGGTCCGAGTTGTGGTGCCCACCATCAAAACTATTTCCACCTGGAAAGGACCTATTTTAGTGGTGTGCTCAGTGAAAGATTTCACAAAAACTACATACTGAGATGCTCCTGACGATTCAAGATTTGTAGATATTTGAACATGGCTGCTGATGAATGTGACATATCAGATGATGTTGATTATTGTGAAAGGTTGAAGATAGTTGGATACCATGCACCTGCCGAGGTGTCAGTGTGAGACACTAACTGTACAGATAATACGCATCAGTAGACAGGATGCATGATCAGAGCCATATGCACAGAATTAACAACCCTGTCACCACTATGAGATGAGAGCACAGTTCATGTGTCATTTTCGCGCATCAAAGTCCAATGACCTTAGTGAAAGAGTGGGTCAGTAGAATACGAGCAAGAAGGCATCTGTTCTTACTGAGTATTTCAGGTAATGATTGTTGTGTGACCGTCCTTGGAAGAACAGTAGAGTTTGTAAGATGGTGATTCTATACAGTCTATCATCAAAAAGTGGGTTAACTACTTGTGGAGCAATAGCAATGAGAATGCGCTCACATGGACGTGGCAAAGCCTCCAACAAGAATAGCTCTGAGGGTGTTGTTGGTGTTAAAAACCAAGGTCTGTGAACTCAAAGGTGAAAGGGGTTGAGTAGCCATCTTGGCCTGCTGTTGGAGAGCAGAGAGGCAAAGGACATATATAGGATAGTGGAAATAATGTGTGTGCTGCCATCTTTCTTGTACAACGATAGGGCATGTTCATTGCCATACCTGCTGGATGGAACTCTGATAATGCCACTATTATTTCTGTAAACAGAGCCGTAAGAAATTTGATTCCAGGAAAATGGATCCAACATGGCAGGTCATGGAAAGATGGAGAGGAACTGAGATCAACAGGTGGAAGGAGGGTCCAACAAGAAGTCGATGGCAGACATCAGCCAGGCCATTGTGGGCACCGTGAACTAGCTTCTGAATGTCATCTAAAGCACAAAAGTGTCGACTCATCCTCCAAGTGTTGAGTCTGTCCACCGAGCTATCCATCTTTGTCAGATTCCAGGGCCGTAGAGTCTAAAGAACAGATAACAATCAATGAATGTTGTGACATCAGCATTTGTACACGATACGTACTCAGAGCGGCATCTCCAGATGCACATCAGGGGCTGCAAGGATATCAGGAACATCAACAAATATGGTTGTTTTGTTGCTGCTGTCCTGGGCGTAGCCTTGGCCTCCTATTATTTTTCCATTTTCCCCAATTTTCTACAATTTATTCCATGTTTGTACGACCCTTCTAATGTCATCGGCACATTGGCGCCAGTTTACAAAGTCCTAGCCATGTGCTAAATGCCTCAAGACTGCATCACCAATGGGCACACATCAGCACATCAAAATGCACCTGCAATGCCACCGCTTCATCACTGCATCATGCTTCCTCAGGAATGGCCATGCTCTGATCTCCACTGGACCTTCTATCTCTGAGTCTGATCGGCAACAGACATCCTATCCCCATTGGCCCGACAATGTCATATGTTATGACACACCAGCCCCTGTTTTTTGCTGAGTCCCCTAGATACTTGCAGATGCCCTAGCTACAGTTGCTTAGGTAATGCCTGGTCCATGTGCAACTTGAACAGTATATAAAGGGACCCTTTATTGCTATCTAGCTCCATCTCGACCTCTTGGTTATTGGGCTAGGTAAGCCTTCATCTGTACCTTAGTATAGTCACTAATACACTTAGTTATTGGGCTAGCTGAACAAGTTAACACAATCGTCACCAGACCACCGTTGGCACTGCCTTTTGATTAGATCTGTGCAGTATCCCTCGTGGTGTGTCGACATCAGCCCACATCAGCTGCTTCACATTATCTTGAGGAGCTATAATGATTTTGTGCTGTGCTAGCTAAGTTTATTCCGACTGGAGCACCCTTGAAGCACCATGTACCTGGAACAGTGCTGACTCAATCCATTCACTTGCCACCCAAGAGTGCTGTTGAGAAAGAACATACTTGTTTGATATGTGTATAAACAGTGTGTGAGAGACATGGTGCTCTGTGGCGTTGTGCAGAATGGCAATGTTGACTACTAGCAGCACAGAGCTGGCATCATGTTCATGATACTTAACCTCTACTGCTGTATCATGTGATTGCACTCGAAAGCCAGAGTTGACTCTTGCAGAGTGTTTGTAAATCTTATGACATGACGCATGCAGCGACCATTGTCAGGAAGAAAGCTACGCATGTCGCGCACAGGTGGGGCTGCCACCAAGTCTTTGGAATTACAGCAACAGTCAGTGAAGCGACAAACTCAGGCTGCTTGATGCCACCATCCTGGTCTGCTGCAATTATTCACGATATGCCATCAGTCTCTGGCATGATCAACACTAGCAAAGGACTTGAGCCATGCATGCCAACGCCCAACGTTGTCAGGCATCGACTTTGTGTCAACAAAAGAAACTCACCACTCACCGCACAACACACAGACCAGCGCGTGGGAAGAAAGCACACAAAAAAAGCACACCGCATCGACTGCTCTCAAGTCCGTCAGAAGCAAAATGCGACGTTCTCAAACCAGACAGAGGCAGATTGCAGGGACCACCCTCGAATGCAAGGGTCAAAACAAAGGTAAATGGTCTGAGAATATATAATTAGTAGCCTGTAGAGAAATAGAATTGAGAGAGACCTTGCCCCGCAACCCTTACCAGTGTATTTTCCCTCTCGGCTACGTCAGTAGTAGTACCTGAGAAATATACCTGTTGTTTGCCCGCAGCTCTTGAGTGCCGATCCGACTGAAGTTCTCTTAGTGAGAACAGGCAGTGTTCACCCTCTAAGTTGTTCACCAGATATGCAGCAAGTTCCACCGTCGCTAACTTTGCATTCATCGACACTGACTCATTACTCTCTCTCCTCAAAGCACATGAATGCCGAGATAGCTCGACCCAACACCGCGGTCCAGTGAACCTCGGAGGAACGCGCCGCACTTGATTCTCGAGCGCTCACATACAAACACATTCCTGTACGACAACGTCCATATGCTCCTCATCAACTTTGCACCTGTATCATCCGGATTGCCCCTCTGGTAAAAATTATCACTTCCGGCACTATTAACGAAGGCTGTTAAAAACCGACCTCAAATGTCCTGGCCCTAAGATTAGGTAATACAGCCTCGGAGGTGCAACCTAAGTCAAGCTGAAGTCCACGGTTAGTCAACCATGCATATACTTGCAGGCTATCTGCCAATAATGGTGGCTGCAATAATTTACAGACCTGGTCTTGTCTACGGCTGCGGTGGTGCAAAGTAATGTTGTGGGCCAGTGTCTGGCTGGCGAATTGGTTGTTGGGTGCTCATATTCAAGTTCCCACATGCTCCTCTCTCCTTTGTCGTCTGCTTTGCTGACCAGCCCTCACACATCGACAAAGCCCTGCACGGACAACTACGTTGGATGCCGTTCCTGAACACCTGAAGTGTCAGGAAAAACTGGGACATGTTGCCATACTAGTCCCTTCTAGGTTCTAGGCCACTGTTCATATGCCTGGACCTGCCGCCACAGGAGCACGACTATGTCTCACCTATATATGCCACGGTTCCGCTATCCTTCTCTCACCTACAGTCAGCAGTCCACCTGTTTCACTCCGCTCCCCTCTTGCAAGTCCGGCCTGGCTGATCACAGCCCCAGTCTGGATCCTGGACCACAGTACAGCAGTCGAGAATACAGATTCTGTGACTTGAGTGTCTTAGAACAACTCTAGTACATTTTACATGTGCCACCACATGCACACTACCTTTCTGTCTGGCTCTTCTGCTACTCTGTCAAGTTTTGATGCATCTGTGCCAAACAGTGATGCTATAGCACAGGGTGGTAAGCGCAGTCTTTTTCTTGAGAAAACTCAGGCAAAAGTGGCTAAACAAGGCCCAGTGATTCTTTGATTCTACGCCAGTGCAAACTGAGGAGAAACTGGTGCAAAACCAGCCAAAATGGTCTAAAACACAGTAAGATTGGCGTTTTGCCTTCGGTTTTTTCAGGTGAAAACTGGAGAAAGTTGGAACCTTGTTCAATCAGTTTTTGGCCAATTTTGCGCTGGAAAAAAGCACGCTTACCACCCAGTGTAGTCTCTGCCATAGATGCCTCTGATCTAACCAGGTGTGCTTAATCCAGCCGTCTACCTCCAATGCATGTTTTTATGTCATTGGGCAGACTCCTGACCAGTGCCTAAAGGACGGGAGCTTTCTCAAGTGGATTATTGGGGTTGCGTGATTATTAGTTATCATGTAATTACAGTTTATATCTACTACATCAGCAGAATTTGTGTGGATGTCAGCAGTGTGCATGTAATCTTTTGAAAGGCTCTCCATTCTTAGGCAACTGCACAAATTATTGGCGCGCATGATCGGCAGCCTTGGCAAACCTCCAAGAAATGATTTCGTGTTCGAATTTCCCAGAAATTCAACACACAGGAATTGCCACGTGCATGTTTGCTTACATGTCGCATTGTTGCGTTCTGCCAGCAAGTTCTATGATGGTTTGCCCTATGTCCCAATCTGGCAACTCTCTACCTTTTAGACTTCTGACGATTCACGGGGTCCACCAACACGTGCAAGCTACGTTCAACATGCGCGGCTGTCACTGGCAGTACCAGTTTCTGAAAGCTGTCTGGAATAAGAAGCACACCATTCTTAATGTTGGCACAGGATCAGAAAAGACTTTGGCCTTCTACATACCAGCTCTCTTTGCTGCGCCTGGCCAGATTCTAATTGTTGTTACTGCTCTAAATGTTTTGGCTGCACAGAACGTAGCCCAGCTGGAAGCTGCCGGCATTCCTGCTATAGTAATCACAGAAGATACTGCAACTAAATAGAATTTCAAGGTGGAGTAAGTTGCTTATTGTCCCAGCAGTGTTAGCTAAAGTATATCATGCAGGATATCACTGATGGCAAGTACACTGTCGTCATAGCAAGCCCAGAGCAGCTTGTCAAGTGGGGCGGAGGGTTTGAGAACCTATTTAAAGATCTCACATTCCGAACTCGGATCTTATCTGTAGCGTTCAACAAAGGCCATTGTATCACTCAGTGGGGTTCCTTTCGGCCTGAATACAGTGAGATCTCCAGGTTGCAGTATCTGCTCCCTGAGACTTCTTTTGCTTTTGCTTTGGCAATGTTCTCACTATTGATCCTTGATGAGATCAAAAAGTCCTTTGGTCTTGCTACTGGGAACTTTGTACACATTCACTGGCCAAATGATCGTCCCAACGTGCATATCGGGGTCCAAAAAATAGAGCACATGCTTGACAGCTATTGCAACCTAGTGTTTCTGGTATCAGATGACTGGAAAGAAGGAGATGACAACCCATGCAAGTTTGTCGCATTTTTTGATAACATTAACGAGGCTGTGGGAGCTGGGACATTCTTGCACCAGAGACTCCCACTAGAGCACCACAATAAGATCTTATGGTTCCACTCAAATATAACCAAGAAGTTCAAAGCAGAGGCTTTCAAAAAGCTGCGCACTGGGGAAATATGGGGCCTATGTGCAACAGACTCTTTCAGAATGGTATGTACTTCATGCATGAAAATGATGCTTGCAAGGCCTCACACATGATTAGGGCGTTGATTTGCCCAATATAACATTCATTGTCCAATGGTGCACCAAGTGTGATCTAATCACCTTATGGCAGCGGCTTGGACATGGGGCTCAGAACAGGAGGCTTGACACATTTGGACTCATCTTTGTTGAGAACAAATATCTAGAGAGTGAGGAAAAGGATGGGGCCAGGGCTAAAAGAGAGGCTTCTAATGCCAGAAAGTGGCAACAGGCTGAGGGACACTCTATGGAAGGTGTAAGAGGTCCAAAACGCTGCACGGTCAAGACGCCAGATGGGATCACAGTGGAGGTGGCTGAATACAGACCAGACATGGATGACGACAGTGACCAGCAGCTCAGACAGCTTTACAATGAACAAAGAGCTTGATATGTTGACAAAGCATGGGAAAAGAAGCAAGCAGCGAAGGAGCAGATAGCGGGCTCTGGCAAGAAGTGTGCGATAGAGAAGAAAAAAGGGCCTGCAGTCCAGGATCTCGACTTGGAGATTGCAAACATTGTCAACACAGAATATTGACAGCTGTGCTGCCGCAGAGCACCTATCAAGCTGTATTTTAGCAGCAATACAATAGGTGAGAATGAATCAGCATGACATGCCTTATTGAGAACATTGCACTCACTTCTGACCGGCCTGACCACCCACGCAGAGACTGATTATAATCTCTGTGACCTGACCTCCCCCTCTGGATGCGCCCACTGTTCCCCACTCACATCCGACTACTGCTGCAATCTCTGCCATCCGAATTACTTTGAGCAAAATATTTCCCCCTCCGCACTTCAGAAGCAGATCAAGTCTCACCGCTCGTGACTACCAAAGGGCTATGAGCGACAGTCTTGCAAGATGCTCCTCGTTGAATTGCTGAAGGTCTGGTGCAAAGACAAAGCTATTGAGCATTACGGCCATGGACATCTCAGCCTTCTAGGTGCAGGTCTAGTGATGACAGACGAGATGATAAACCGAATTGTTGATTTTGCTGAAAAGTTCAAAACAAGTGACAACCTGGAGCAAGAGCTACACGACTGGAGGGATGTTACATGGTACGCTACACAAATCCTCCATCTCCTTGCTAGCTATCATTCTTCCCTACCACTGCCTGCTCTGTCTGCTCTGCCGCCGCTGCCACCGCCTAATGATCACACTGAGGTCACAGTCAATGTTACCCCTGCTCAAAGCAAGACTCAAGCGCTGCCTCGTTGCAGCGCATGCAGAGTCACTGGTTACTACAGTAAGTTTTCAGCTTTTCTCTAATTGTCTCTAGCTGAGTAATATATCAGAAAATAGCAAAACAAAGTGTACAGCCCACCTAGAAAATCCTGTTAATGTTGCAGTGCGCGTTTGTGGTCTCACTGCGTCTGTTGCCTCCGTGAGCAATAATCCCTCATGTGAGGCCACAATGAATACCTCCATGAACAGCAACCCTCTGCGCGAAGCTGCGACAGACACTTTCATGAACAGCAACTCCCTAGGCAAAGCTGCAGCAGACCCTTCCATGAACAACAATCCCACACACAAAGCTGCAGGAAACGCTTCCATGAACAGCAACTTCATGCACGAGGCTGCACTTGAATCACTCACAGTACAGCATCTTGTTGCTGCTTCTGCTATTCCCGCTGTTGACTCAGTGTGCTTGGCAACCTATGCTATCACAGCGGCACGACCTTCTGTGCCCACCCCACTGAACTGCTCATCTAGTGGCATCTTACCGGAACTGCAGGCTGACTTGCATGATGCTCTTGCTAGCAGGATACCCCATGCATTTCTCACACTCTCATCTTTTACCAACTCTCTTATCACATTGTCTGGCAGAGCCCTCACTGAAACATGCCTCGGCTCTTATGCTGCATATATGCCGTCACCATTCATCACTGCTGAGTCATTTGCAGTCATTGCACCCTTGCCAACTTCACTGCCATTGGCCCAGTTATTCACCGCTCAACATTGATCAGCTCAGCAATCTCTACCAGCGCCATCTCACTGCTCGCGTCATACCATCAAAATCGACGAGAACCTTGACTTGTTGCCTCATGCACCGTACTTGAGCAGACAGCTCTGTTCTCATCACGCCAAACCCAAATCATTTGTTTGCACACGGAATTCCAATCACATTACAGTGAGCTTGCTACTACAGGTTGTCTAGCTCTATGCTAATATCCTTGGCATCAGGATATATTTTGTCATCAATGTCGTGTTCATGATCCTCAGTGTTCCCCTGCTTGTCATCATGCTCATCCTCCGCACCCTCAGTGCCCACTTCCTCTACCGTAGCACTTGCCACTTGCATTGTACTTGTATTTACCTGCTTTAATGCCTCGAAACCCTTCATGAACATGTCTTGCAGTTGATGTGCACTTTTCCGAGCTGGGTCAAAGGTGTACAGCAAGTACTGGCTCATGTGTTGCTCAAGGGTGGCATATGTCTGCGTCATGTCAGGATCTGCATGATGAGTTGATAGGTAACTCAAGACTAGGTCCTTTTCCAAGGTGAGATGTGCATTGCAAAAGATGTTGATGAGGACTGACTCCTTGATGATGGCTTCTATAGTGCGATTCAAACCAGGTACGATCAGAACAGTCTGCCGTATGCTTGTGAAAATTCAAACTATGTTGCTTTCTCATTACCTACTGACCTTTGTGTATAGGTTTTGCAACTCAACAACCCAGTCAGTGCCTTAAAACTTGCTGGGAAGACCTGTTGGGTTGACAAGCATAGAATACCATACGGCACGCCTACACATGATCAGCCTTTACTAAATGTCACGGCACCATGTCTATTTACTTACTTCAGGCCTTCGGGGTAGAAAAAGTGCACATTTGTGATATGCTTAATTAACTCCGTAGTGTACTTGTGCTTTCCGACAGCCTTGAAGACAAGCGTCCAAGGTACAAAGCAAGTTTCGACCCACCCAATATCACCAATGTTCATTGTGTACATCAGCTCCTCATAAAGCAGATAGTACATATTGATAAGCAGCCTGTTCTTCCACTGCTCATCTTGCTGTTTCTTGCTTCAGAGCTGCTCGATACACTCGCTTCTTCTGACATGGTGGGTTGCAAGATGTGTGGCGATTTCCTCAAGCTCTTCGAACATTGGTTTTGACTTTTCTGCCCACTCTTCAAGAGTTCCATAACCACTGTGGATTCACGCCTCCTCCTTCCAACAATGCAGCTGACAACACTGCCCATCGTGAGTTATAATTTGATGCATCCATTGGAAACCTGGATCTTTGCCAATAGTGCCTATTTCGCACTTGCACAGAATACCAATGTGCTGCATTACTGATGTCTTATCTTGTCATGTAGGCAGGGGACAAATCAGTAGTTGCCAAATAGCATCTGCACACACCATCTTCAAGTGGAACAAGCCAAACATGAAAACAACAAATGAGAGCCACTTTCACGGACTGCTCTTAATGGAACGCTGCCTCAGTGCCTAGATAATGCGCTCGCCTGTGCCAAGGTCACTGTGGAAGAGGGTAACGTATGATGTGGACTTGCCTCAACACACCACGAGGGATACTGCGTGGATCTAATCAGAAAGCGGCGCCGACGAGGTCTGGTGACTGTGTGTTAGCTTGTTCAGCTAGCCCAATAAACCAAGTGCATTAGTGACTAGTCTAACGTATAAACAAAGGCTTACCTAGCCCAATAAACCAAGAGGTTGAGATGGGGCTAGGTAGCGACAAAGGGAGTCCTTATATACTTGTCAGGCTGCGCACGGACCAGGTGTTACATAAGCGACTGTGCTACGGCTGCTGCTAGTGTCTAGAGGACTTTGGCAGAGAGGCGAGGGCCGGTGTGTCATAGCGTATGACGTTGTCGGGCCAACGGGGATAGGATGTCTGTTGCTGATCGGACTCAGAGATAAACGGGGCCGGCGTGTCATGGTGTATGACGTTGTCGGGCCGACAGGGATAGGATGCCTGTTGCCGATCAGAGTGCGGCTTTTACCGAGGAAGCGTGATGCGGCAACGAGGCGGCAGCAATACAGACGCGTCTGATGCACTGATGCGTGCCTGTCGGTGATGCGCTTTTACAAGGTGTTTTGGCACGCGGCTAGGACTTGTAAACTGGCGCTAATGCGCCGACAACGTTTGGAGGGTCGTGATGTGGACTAAATCTGGAAAAATAAAATAGGAGGCCGGGGCTACGCCCACGACAACGTAGTCGCGGATGGGCTTAGGGCATTTCATTTCATCATTGTCTTCATCATCTGATATATTCTTAACAGATGCTGCTTGACTTTGCATGCAGTGGGGCTTCTCATCTCCAGAACATATGCCTCCTTGATGTAGCAAGTTTTTAATTGTCTCAATGCTACCAGACACTGTCAAATTGGGTATATCCATCGCTTTCGCAGGTGTGCATTCAGTTTTTGCTAGTGGCACGGCATCTATCATTTTGGGCGGCTGAAGGTGAGGTGCAAATTGGCAGACATATTCAGGACCATGGTGGATCAGATCATGCAAGAATTTCCATTTATTCCATCTGTATGATGCATTTATGCCCTTGCTGCTGCGCTTCCAAAACTGTAGGTGAATCTTGAGCATATCATCAAAATCTGGCTTTGGCACAAGCCCTGGCCAGTTGCTTGGCAGCTTGTCATTCAGGCGTGAACAATGCCATAAATATTCTGAGCATTGAAGATCTGACTTAACAGTGCCGGGTGGTAAGGAAATGAATAGCCCAGATGTAAGATGCTTCAAAGAGGGCACCTTCAAGGCCTCAGAGGTCCATTTTGCACTCTTGAGAGTTACATCAAAGTTGTCATAGCAATATGCAATGAGACGTCGCCGGCCAAGCTTCCAGAGGTATTTCATGGCATCAGCTGGAAGTGTGTTGATGGCGTTGTGTATAGCGGTCATGGAAATACTGATTCCCATCTGGCTTAGCACTTTGGACACCTTTTCAGGAGTGTTATGGCCATGAAGGAAAATGCCAGTGATGGATTGCAGCACATTACATTGTTAATTTGTAGTAAGCATAAGGATGGCCAAAATGACCAGCTGCCACTATGAACACAATGAGTACTCCAGCTAATAGCACAAATCAGGCAGGCGCACAATGTCTTGCACAATCTCGCGCCTTTGCACAATTGTCCTCTTGCTTGCTTGCCTCAGCTCTGCATTCTTCGTCTCTCTCCCAAGCAAGCTCTCCTCTTCCAGCCCCTCAATTTGCACCAAATACTCGTCCTCCTCATCTCTTTGCCACTCACTGCTGCTGCCTGGTGCGTGCATTTGCATGTGTCAGAGCAGTCAGAAGGCACCAATGTCTGCATTGTTGCTGCCATCATCTCGAGCTTGAACTCTGTTATTTGGCTAGCCTGCGCATGGAGTGCACTGAAATGCCACACATTGTTCTTCATGACCAGTGTTTGCAGCTCCTCTGTGCACATCTGAAGGTTTCTTTCAATGATCCACTCAGTAACAGGCCTGTGACAACAAAGCACAGCCATCAGGATACTGGTAGGGGTGAGGAGATCATTGAGGAAGTGTTGTGTGGGGCTGCGGGAATCTGGCACACTTTCGCTGCCAGAGAGCAGAACATGTTCCAAGAGAGCTGCAAGGAATAAAGGCTGTTGGTGGGCATACAGAAAATTGGCAAGTTCAGAAACAGTGTTATCCATAAAGTAATCAGTACACTTGTCCAAGGCCACCGTATGCTCGCCTGGCCTATGTAGATACCGAAGCACATCCAAATTTGGAAGGCGATCACGCCATGTGCCTGTGCACTAAGAAACCAAATTTCTGGGAAATTTGAACACAAAATCATTTCTTGGAGGTTTGCCAAGGCTGCTGATCACGCATGCCAATAATTTGTGCAGTTGCCTAAGGACAGAGAGCCTTTCGAAAGATTATGTGCACACTGCTGACATTCACACAAATTCCGCTGACGTAGTAGATATAAACGGTAATTACATGATAACTGATAATCACGCAACCCCGATAATCCGCTTGAGAAAGCTCCCGTCCTTTAGGCGCTGGTCAGGAGTCTGGTCGTTGGACAGGTCGTAAGCGAGAATGGCCTTTTACAAGCAGTCACTACGAAGGATTTGCTCGACCCCGTGCAACCTGAGCGCGAAGGCAGGGTGGTCGCTGTGGCCTACGGCACTGTGTTGCCGGCTCAGCCAGGTGGAGGTGGGACTGGGGATACACAATGAAGGCGATTCGCCCTGGGTCATGGGCATACGGAGGCTTCGGTCATTGGTTTCTTTCTTGGCGTGCCTTAGCAGGCCTGGGCCAGAGTGAGTTCGATACCCAACTTTACACCAGTGCCATTGAACTTAGAGCATGGGCCCCAATTCCTGCACTCATATCTGGTTGATGCCGAGAACGTCGCAGGCGGATGCTTTCAACTTGGTCACCGCAATTTCCCCGGATATGCTGCGTTGATCGTTTCGAACCCAGGGTGTGGGACTGCAAGCGAAACCTACCGGTGCGCCTGTTTCGTCCCGCGTCAGCGTGTTCCGCTTAGTCATCGTGCGGTATTCCCGCAACGAACTCGGTCGCATTGCGAGGCCGGGGCTGGCTGTTGCCTCGCAAGCCCCGCGCGTGTTCCGGCGTGCAAGATGCTGTTGGCGATCAGCGACGTCGTCCCAGTGGAATAAACGCTTGGGTGGATGCGCTTGGACTTTCTGGGCTCTCGCTCGACCTTTCCCCCCAACCACCACCACTCCCTCATGGATGTCAACTTGGGTTATGAGGACGGTATGCGCGGAATTTACAGCCCTGTGCCACGGCTGCGAATTCTTCGCATACCTCTATCATGCTTCAAGGCCTTCAGTGCACTGCGGATTGCCATGGTCTGGGGTTGCAGAAACCCATGGCACATCGCATTGCTCTAGTTATTATCATGCTTGACTTCATTGGTTTAAAGGAGTGGATATATAGACATAGACCTTGCCTACTATTTACAATGTACGACTACACATACGCTTAGGCGCACCATATTGAAGAGAACATCCGTGAGTGGCATACAGCTACTTCGACAGCTCCGCGGTCTGAAGCTCCACGTCCCCGCCGTTCGAAGCCTTCGGAGCGCCCGAGTCCTCGGCGAGGGCCCACTTGCGGTCGACCTGGTTGTGGAGGGGCAGGGCCTTCATGGCCAGTGACGCGAGGAAGCCGATGCCCGCGATGCCAGCCATGACCTTCCAAATCGTCGCGACGCTCTCCGCGAAGGCGACCTTGACCTCGGTCCGGAACGGCTCCTGGAGCGTCGGCACGACGGGGATGAGCGCGAAGGCGAGCGAGACGCCGCCGGGGACCTGCGCGATGAAGTCGGCCGGCAGGCGCTGTGTTAGCTGCGTTTGCAGCACCGTGGTGCCGATCGTGACTCCCCACACCTGGTTTGTGAAAAACCGTCAGCGCACACACACATAACGTTTCGGGGGAGGATGGAAGAAACAGGGCGAGGGAAAGAGAGAGAGGGGGGGACGTACACCTGCGAACGAGCGGCAGAACGAGAAGAGCGCGAGCGCGTGTGCGTTCTCGGTGACGGGAAGCGGCGCCAGAACGGGGAAGTAGGTCGCAGCGTAGAAGATGCCGCAGCCGACGCCGAGCAAGATCGGGAAGCCGATGCCGTGCATGGACGGGCTGTCTGCCTTGATCGTGGACATGGCGCCCATGGCCGCGACGGTGAGGGCCCACGAAAGCCAGAGCTGCACGCGGTACGACTTTGTCTTGGCAATGCTAGCGCCCGTAAGCAGCAGCGAAGGTCCAAGCGGGATGGCGAGGCCGAAGAGCTCGACACCAGAACGCGTAGGGGAAGCGTTCAAGCAGCTTTGGTAGTATACAGGAAGGAAATCTGCAAAAGTATTCAGAATCCACCGCTGTTTGTTACACGGAGTAGAGCTTACAAATAGCGGAGATCACCACGACGGGACCAATAAAGGTTTGAATGTATCTGCGATGCTCATCTGTATAGAGGTATTCTCTGACGGACATGATCACTTACCCGCTCAAACTGGTTCGATTGGAGATCAGCGCAAAAGGAACCTAGAATGAAAGCGGGTGAAACGATGGCGGAAATGGAAGAAGAGGGACACTTACGATTGGCTCCTTGGCGACCTTGGCTTCGTAAACAAAAAACGCGACAATGCCGACGAGACCAAGGATCAAAGGCACCAGGATGTGCGCCGACTTCCAAGGGAACTTGACACCACCCCAGGTGAGCGCAATGACACATGAGCTAGAGGACGCAATGATGAGGAAATTGCCACTGAGAATATGATCAGCCACGGCGAACGCAGAGAGACTAAATATCCCTCACATCCAGTCCATACGGGACAATTTCTCCCTTAACGAACCGGGAGGTGTCTGGAGCTTGAGGAATGCAACCACCAAGATCGCAGCAAAGCCCGTCAAGGGTAGGTTGAGATCTACGGACGCCTGCCGTCAGCAAGCCCCAACACAGCATCAACGGCGTGGTGATGTCTTACAGAACAACCATCGCCACTGTCCCCGTTGGGCGAGGGCTCCGCCTACGACAGGGCCCATAGCTGCCGCGAGACCCCAGGTCCTGGCGATTCAAGTCGTCAGCAGTGTGTTAAATTTACGATGTGGCGCGCCGGAAACGTACAAACCGACCAGTCCGTTGTACATGGCGCGTTCCGCCAGCGGCACAAGGTCTGAAATAACGATACTTGTGATTGCTAGCAGCCCGCCACCACCCGCACCCTGGATAGCTACAGGGAACATAAGAGAGCGCGTCCACAAAAGGACGAGGGAGACGCTCACTTCGTGCTGCAATGAGCCAGTTCATGCTCTTGGCGGATCCGCAGAGAGCGCTGCCCAGTGCGAACATTGCTTGAGCCAATAGCACGGACGTCCGTCGCCCGAAAATCTTGTAAGAATGAGGCTTTCAGGGGCCGCAAAGGCGAACGAGGACTTGCGCCACATACCTCGGCCATTCCTCCGGTAGCAGGGAGGAGAGCGGTGGACGCGAGCGCATAGGCCGACCCAACCCACACGAAGTCGCCGCCGTTCAGGTCATGCACGATAGTTGGCAGGGCAGTAGACACTGCCGTCTGTGTAAGCCGTCAGTAGAAGATATGGGGAAGGCGGCTCGGGTGGGGTACGCACATACTCAAGGGCAGAAAGGAAAAGGGAGACGCATATGGCGAGAAAGACGAGCCAGAAACGCACGCCCTTCCTTGGGCGACCGTCGTCGACGTTGGGCAGGATATCGATCTCTTGGGTGACGATAGCGGTATCGGACTTGAAGGCGGAAGAGCTATCTCCTACGGCGGGCGACATATTGTCCAGGTGAAAACGGGAAGAGGGGGGATGCAGTAGACTAGCTCGACAACGGGGCAAGGAGAGAACACGATGGGTGGGACTCGGGGAGCAGCAGCAGTTATAGAAGCGCTACTGCTACGATCTCCCGCGCGTAGTGGCGGCACGAGCGCGTCTAGCAGTTGTAATGGCCATCGAAGGTGACCTGCAGCGATAGATGGTTCCCATGCGCATCCCGCGCAGAGGGTGAATTTTGCCTCTAGAGGGACATGGAAAGTTGGGCGCGGAGGAAGGTTGCCGGCGGAGGAGATGTAGCTTTGAAGCCGAGAAGACCGAGAACGCACCGCCGACAGCCTCTGGCGGCAACCAGAAGGTGCCGGTCGAACTTTCCAGGTGGTCAGATCCATAAGCATCAGACACCGTGCACGCCGGAACAGATGGCGAGTCTGCAGAACGCACGGTGCGCATGCCGATGGGCAGGCGTGGTTCAGTGCGTGTCGGTAGGAAGTTCCGCTTCACCCACCATCTATGAATGAGGGCAGCTGACTGCGGAGATCGGTCGTCTGTGAATAATGCAAGAAGTTCGTATGCTCCTTGTCAGCGCAGGCTCGGCATTCGGGCACGGATGCCTCCGCCGATAAATAGCGGTGCGCCAACTGCCCGAACCTGGGAGGTGTTAGAAAACACATCTGGAAGTATTCGAGGCTTGCGCACAGATGGAATCGGCGGCAAGCGCTGCGGGCCGGAGTCGCTTGGATGTGAAGTCTGCGCCCATGGCGGGGCAGGGCAGGGCACAGAGCATCGAGCTGGACAGATTGGGGCGATCGTCTGGCTGAGCCGATTGACCGTGGGACAAGGATCAAACGAGATTTCGTCCTCTGTCCGAATGATTGGACTCGCCCGAGCGCCAGTGCCAGTACGCGCCGTGCATCTCCTGGGATCGTAGTTCACCACCGCCGTGTTGGCCACCACAGCCTCATCACTGGATCTGTCTGCTCGCAGGATTCAGTGTTTCAACACTGAAGCCGTGATGAGATGGCCCACCGGCTAGACTCCCGGCAATGCTCTGTCTGCCACTGTTGCGGACAGGCACGGCATTCAAGGGTTGTCACATCCTCATCTTGTATAATACCACACATGACTACGTACAAAGCAGCGCGCGATTCAGCAAGCCCGCCACGCAATGGCGACGCCAGAGCAAATTGCCGCTCTTTTACAGTCGGTCCTCTCCAATCCGACGTACAACGGCTTGACTATGACAAGGTACCTCCAAAGTATGTGCTAAATCTCTCGCGCTGCACATTACTTACCGGTACTCAACCAGTATCTTCACTCGCGTGCGCGTTATACGACCATGCTTTAACCCTTGGCGACGAGATCGACTATATATGGTCTGGGCGGTTCAGTCATATCAAGGGTTTGTATATCCTCATCCGCTACGGTATCGAAGGTTCCCTCTTCTACACTGCTTACAGTAAGTTGTGAATAGTCCCACCGTCCAGTATTTTTGACATGGGCTTGTCAGTGCTGAGCGGTTTCAGACCCCCTTTAAATGAAGAGGTAAGCCTCGGCTTGCATCAGTGGGTCATACTGTGCTGACCTATGACAAAATTTAGCTGTAAGCACATGTTCGACCCCCATGATCACTCCCTGACCTGGGCTTGAAGGTGCAAGTCTTTTGTGGCCGTGTTATGGGCACTTACAATGATGTTCTCAATCTCTACCAATCGTGAGCAATACCCCCGTAGTTGGGTCAAAAGTGCTAACCCTCGTCATTTAGTGTACGTCGCATTCCACCACTACATCGTATGGGATCGCGAAAAGAAGACGTTGTACGTTATACTCTTGTGTCTCCTTGCGTGCTACGTCCCTGCCACTATTGTCGGCATAAAATCTGTGTTTGACTACCGCGGTGCGTTGTCCACCGTTCTACCATCCGCTACTACACTCACTCATAATTCTCCTCCAGAATATGTGGTTTACCTTGCTGTCGTCGACCAGTGTGCCCTTGCACACCAGCCTGACATCATCAAGAGCTTCTGGGGCTGCCTGGTTAGTTTCCCTTCCGTAGTCTGTGCGTCCGAGTTGATTAATTAGGCTACAGCTCGCCTTTGACATCCTTGCTGTTGCCATCGTTATCGCGAACTCGTTCCACCGACCACACGCCCATCGCCAGGATATCCTCTCTTCGCTCCGTCGCGACGGCGCCATCTGGTTTACTGTGCGTGCCATTTCGGACTGTCATGAACCAAATCATCTGCTCACCTTACCTCATAGGGCATCATGAGTGAGCGCACATTTATCTGTGGCGTACCATGCCTGTCGGCTGTCCTACTGAAATACCACCTGCTTAGTTCTTCGTTTGATGAACCTCGTGCTCAGCATCACGGCGGAGGTACGTGCTCTGCATTATCTCCCCATATCACATCAGCTGCTCACCAGCTGCTACACAGCCTCAAGATGTGTTCCTGGTCGTATTGTGAGCGCGGCTTCCATCGGCCCCGCATTTGCTGACGTTCCGCCATTTGCAGTAATATTTGGTCATTCATCGCTATCACGCTCGCACGAGTCATCCTTCGCACGGAGGGACTCAAGGAGCACAAGCCCGGAACCGTGCGCATATGGAACACCCGCTCGGAGGCCTTTGAGCTGAGCCGACTTGCAAGTAACAACTAAGCATCACGAGTCATCACAATTTTCAAACTAACCCCGAACTGTGTACCGATATGACCGCATGTGGCCTACGGCCGAACTTATGCAGTATATTTATGACCATGAGAGTGTTTACGCTTTTGCACGTGCGCTCAGCAAGCCAACTTTGCCGCCTGTGGCGCGCTCAACGGCAACTTGAAGCCACCCCGGTTCACATGCCACAGAGCGTATGAACCTTTCCGCCTATCAAGAAGGACAGCGTTCTCCAATAGGGGAAACTTTTTCCTGCCGTGAAATCACATGAGGTGGGCCGGCCTGGCCGCCTAGGGCCGCCCGTGGTCCCGCCTGGGTTTTCCAATCCAGGATCCCGGAAAGTTCAGCCCGGCGGCAGTGACGAGTCTCGCGGCCTGTGATACGGCGACATGCAAAAACCTCCGCGCGAAGAGGCGGAAGACGGGAGTCCGCGCGAAGGAGCGGAAGACATGAGTCCGCGCGAACGCGCGACCATCCTGTAAATTTTCCAGACACGGAGGGTTGGCGCGGCCTTGGCGTTGTAAGCTGCGTGTTGTGCAGAATGGACCACACGGCGATGTCACTTCAGCTTTAATAATAGCGTTCTTTCCGGGACGGGGCCATATCGGCGTTCACCAGGTCCCCAGCTGCTCTGTGGCCCCTGGGAGTGCATAAGGACGTCGTTGATATCGTAAACTACGATAAGGTCTACAGCGGTTGATGTGCGAGCTCGAACAGGGCAGCTCGAAAGATATCATGCGTCATAATGGGCGTTACAGCTCGAAATTGTCGTTCCTAGTATTCATCTGCCGAACAAATTCCCTCGATGCCCGATTGGCCTGTCAGCGGGGAAGTGTCACCGTCCCTTCGCGCGGAGGCTGGGCCTGGCAGACTCAGACGACTGCCTGAGAAGGATCCGTCCGGATATGAATTACCATGTCCTTGACAGAGGCTTGGTCCTCGATAGGGAGCTGTAGCCATAATCAGCCAAAGATCCGGCGCCGGCGCAGGAAGGCGTACCGTGGGATATCCGTTCTCGTGACATCGGGCGCAGATGACAGCGATGCTGCTGGCATGCCTAGTAGTCAGTGGGGCGAGCGGCATTGCAAGCGCGGGTTCAGGACGCCGGCCAGATTGAAGATAATTATCAGGCATGTTGAAGCTTCGCAGTAAAGTGTCAGCGTCTTGGACAGGGAAATTACATCTTGATGAGCTCACGATGCAAGCAGCGAGTTTGCGTAGACTGCCGTGGAAACATCGATGAAACCCAGACACCTTTACAATAGAAATCAAAGCTTACGGTTGCCTAAAGGGAAAAAGACTGCGATCTGGTGTCAGGACATCGAACGAAGCGCGGCGGTAATATGATTTCACTTGCGATGAACACGTAATTGTCCTGCATTGTGACATACTGAAAAATGCCATGTGAGTCTGGACAGCCTCAAGTGAGTGGAAACATCTTACCGTGATAAGGCAGGCCAAGGACACCATGCTGCGGAAAGCATCAGCCAGGCACAGTAGGTGACGGCGCGTCTGACTTGCCTGGTCAGAAGTCCGGTATGTATGGTGTACATGATCAAGATGTTGATGTATGAGTCGGTCCTGTACGATGCAATCAGCGCGCGTGGACACACAGGCACTAGAAGTGTGAGCTTACTCCCAGCTCAATTTCTGCTTTCTGTACTGGGCAAGCAGGAAGCACAGGACGGCCGCAACGAGGCCGTCGATGATGAAAAGCATGGACAAGTCCAATTCCAAGAGCCACTGTAAGCCGGACCCTCAGCAACAAACGACCCCGTGGCAACTCGAGCTCGCTTACCTGTATCTCGGCAAACTTAGTCAACGTCTTGCTCTGAAACCTAAATCCCGGATGAGTTCGCTACTTGAGAGATTTGCTAAAATCAACATACGCCTTCGCAGAAGTCGCTATCGAACGCAGAAGCTCAGCACGACTCGCAGGCTGAAGATAAAAATTCGCTTACACAGAGTGATACTGAATAGAGCCAGTACGCAAAGGATCTGCCAGGGAAGGTTCAATATGGCCAGAGGCCTATCCAGGAAATCGACGTACCAAAGGAGAAGCGTAGTAAGGGCTCTTGCAGCTCACTGATAGTAGATGCATCAGCTACAGTTGCTGCCCACCACGGGCAGACCGCTTACATATCCAGATCCTGTAAATGAACCAGCTATGCATGGGATTAAGTCAGCGGTCATATTCGAGAGCGTGGCCCAGATGTCAGCCTTTGACACACCATCGAACAATCAGGTCATTGATAGCCTGACCGTCGCATATTGCTTGAGCAGTCGAATATTGGGGTGACTCGTGATACGCACCGTCAAGACTATTCCTGCCTGGGGAAGTAAAAGCGATAAGACCCCTCGAACATGAACTATAGCAACACCCAGACGTACTGCAATACTCCTACAGAAAAAGCAGACAACGTGAGCGTACGTAGACTGAAAAAGTTTGGGGAAGCGTACCAAACCATGTCTACGATGGCTGGAGGGTTTGTGAAGTTGAGGATGGTGTACCTGCATATTATAGCGGTCTGTCAAAGAGCTCCATGATAACGACAAGGCCTATGTTCACCAGTAAAGCGGATGGATAATCAAAGCCATGTGCAGGGTGTTTAAAGCGCTGCCAGTGGACCAGGTGAAGACGCAGTATGACGAAAGTTGCAGGAGATATGTACCATAAGAGAATGACCTGAGAAAAATTGGTTTAGCTGGGCCATATTATGTCTCGACGAACTAACTGTTGCTTTTGTATATCTATTATGCCTGGACGCTCCGGTCTGGAAAAAAATGAATGATTGCAAGAGTGTGATCCCATACACACTAAAACTGCGTCAGCACAGAGTATGAAAGAATAGGCAGGCAGAAACAGAAATACATGGACGTAACAAAGCCCCCAATGGTCGCTGCTCCGAGTGTGCTGGAGGGAACGTAACTTTCATTTGCCGGAGGAACTGACGCGGACATGATGCGCGGCTTAGTGAACGGAAGTCAGAGGTTAGAGATATATATTGCGCCGAAGGCTTGTCGTGCTGCGAACAATCTCTGGGAGCAACTTGAGCGGGGTTGCTCGGTGAGGGTCGTGGGGAGGCCGGGGAACTGGGTGCCCGACCTTCCTGCCCAGTAGATGATCATTTACTCGGCGATACAGGGCGGCAACCAGAGAAGCTGTCCGGCTAGGCAGTTTCACATCTGGGTATGATAGAGCCTCAGCCATAAATGCGAGTTGATTCACAGGAATGAAGACAAACCCAGTGTATCTCTGAAGAGTGTAAACAGGCGGCTTCACAGTGCTTAGATAACCAGATGACAACGTCAAATATGCGAGTAAAGGTTGAATATCGGGCACGTTCTAAGACTGAGATGATCATACCTAAGCACCTTGTGTTCCGGAGCGTTCAAACACTGGCCGGGAGTCTGCATTCAGAGATCACGGAATTTTACGCCGTAAATTATGAAATGCAGGACAAACATGGGCGTGCGAGGCGTTCTCCAAGTTCCCGAGCGGAAACAGCGAGACGTTCATTTGACCAACTCAGCAATTGAACGTCCGTCAGTTGGTCTGGCCAGGAGTCCCCTCGGGATGCCCAAAACCTGGGACGATGATGTTTTAATTGAGCTCACCCTGAGAAAACTAGCAGCATGCGTACAACATGTGGACGGTGTGTGGGAGCATCAGCAAATAGCGGCGTTTTTAGTGTGCGTTAGATCGCACAAGCCATTGGATCATCCGTAGAACACGCGGCCGGCGGCGGCTATGGGGATATCATCGCCACGGATAGGTGATGAAGCTAGCCGCAAAGCGCTGTAGCTGACGACGCAAGCTAAGAAACCGTTACATCGCACACCGGCGTAGCAGTAGCTACAGCCCGGTTAATCAAACCTAAAACCAAGATCACGGACCCCCTTCAGCGCAAGACAAAAGTTGCCTTTGAAGCAGCTTCGTTAGCACTTGGGTGACAGACGGTTTGGTCTCCTCTCAGGCCCTTGTGTGACGAGGTCTCCAAAGACTCTCGCTCCGCCGTCCTGCATCTGGCATAATTATTATCGTTTACCATTCAGTCTTTAGCTCGATCAATATCAGCAAAAGGTTTGAGCCATGCATGCCGGCGCTCAACGTCCACATACACGCCTAGCGACCTCATCAGCTTAGCATCTGTATCATCTAGGTTGCATTTCTGCCAATAGTTATCAGCGTCACCATTATCGAGAGAGCGACTGACACCGACCTCAATCGTCCTGGCCCCAAAAATCAGATAATACAGGTCCGGATCTTCGAGCGTGGGCCCACCAAACGCAAGGCCTTTCAGCTCTTGTAAGGTCCCAGCAACCTTTGCATGGAGCTCAAGCTTGAATAGATGGTCCTTCACCTTCCCCCGAAGGATCACCACCACGGGCTGCGAGGGGGCGATGCTGTTTGGATCGTAGGGTACGTGGATAACGGTCGGGTGCTGCGGCTTGTCGTGGTTGATGCTCTTCTCGAACTCCTGGCGCATGGTCACAAGGCCTGGGCTGCTGGCGAATCTGTGGTGGTGATCGAGAGAATTCCAAACTAGCAGAGCGAGGATTGTCAGAGGCAGGTTAGGTCAACCAGGAGTTGTAGTACCTTGTGTGATGTAGCCAGTCTCATTGCCCTCTACTTCCAGCCCTCAATACGCCCTGCATATTATATGTCAACACGGACAGCTCTCAAAAGTTCGGTTGTGACTTACCGGCTCGATCCCTCCGCGTTTGCTATCTGCTGCAATGCATCGCCCACGACGGAGATTTGGTTCAAGTACGGGTCCGACGCTGGGAAAGTCAGTATCTCCACAACAGGTGCGTCGTAGCTCGATACCGTGCATCGACCATTCTCTTCACCGTCACCTAGTTATAAGATTCGCACTCGAAGAAAACTTCTCCGGCTCCCAGTGTGCAGCCGAAATATTAAAATGCCGGATCCACTGGTATTCCAGACGATTACATCATCTCTGTATGACTACGAGGGGAAGACCAGGACGTTGTGAGTTGTCATACAACAAATGCCGGCGACTTACCGGGACAACGACACTCGTCCAAGCTCGCTCAGTCTTCGCAAGAGGACGTCAGAGTACACCCAAGGCGCTATATTGCAATTTATCTCTTATAAAATAATCATCAAGGGTGATATCGTCAGAGTCGTCAAGTGCACGCGTAGAGCGTATAGAATAAGGGTCCAGCCTCATATCGGTGCAATGGGCGCACTGCCCTTCTCTTGTGCCGTCCGCAAACTATGAAACACGGTTAGCTCAATTCCGCAGTCGCGAGGCGCGATGCCCACCTGTAGTCGTCACCATTCTGTGTGATGTATCGCACCCACGGCAGAGCCTGGTATCCGCTCTTCTCGACGATCTTCAGGTACCTCACTTGTATGCCGGATACAGTGAAGTATGGGATCTCAAATTTGACGGTGATCGGAGCGCGCTTATCCATGCTCTCTTGCTCTTCGAAAACAAAACTGGTAAGCGATTTGGCTCGTATATACCATCGGAAATTCATACCTCCGCGGACACTTGGCAGACCAAAGTGCGCCCTCATGAGGAATTCTCGGCCACCGCTGAGCTGCTTGATTTTCCATACGAAAGCAGACTTGTCTGGCGCATATTGCACTGTTCCCGTCGACGCCTTTGGGAAGGTCAGAGCGACACCTTGGTGAGATCTGTCTTAAAACTTACCCTGAATTTCGGTGTATCAGCATCGTCAGGCACAGGGACGTATATCTCGACATTGTTGGCTGTACTTCGACGTTTGAACTGCGCTTTCACCTTCACCATGTATTCTACTCGGCTGCCCTTATGGTGCTCAACCTACGAGATCCGGTCAGCCTCCTGTCGCTGGATCGCACGACCAGAGCACGGTAGCATGTAGAGTCGCAAACTCACGGCAGCTTCGACCCACACCAAGGGCTTGACTGGTGTCGACAGACGGTACGACATCAGCTCAAACTCGCCGTCCGGAGGGATGAACGAGATAGTGCGGTCGTTCTCGAATCTTGAAAGGCGGACACATTGGTGGAACTTGACATCCTCCATCTCGATGGCCTTTCCGCGTGCGGCTGCACGCCTGTTAGCCAGAGCGGCGGTAATCGTATCACGCGAGACGTACTACGACCGGTACTCTCGAACATGACCTTATCGTTGAGGCCCAACCTCAACTCTGGCATGCCGGAGAGATAGCACTTCATCTTGACTGCGCCCAGGATCTCCGACCGTACAACGTTTCCGTTCGCGTTGACCTGTCCCAGACACTAAGCCAGGGTGATCAGGTAGCGTGAAGGCTGCCAGGACGCACCAGCAAGTTGACACTCTCGATAACGTCCAGGAAGACCTCGTTCTTCCGGTACCTGATGCCCTCCGAACGCCACGATACAGCGTTGGTGACGGCAACAGGCGGCCGCACTTGCACCTCGAGCTTGTAGGACTCTTGCGTGATGTACCTGCGGTCGCGCGCAGCCTCAGTATCTCCACCGGAGCATGCCTGAACCGAAAGAAGCACGTACTCCTGCAAAATCTTGCTCTCCGTCGTCTGCGGGAATCCAAAGTCCATCATCTCGTCCATGAGCTCGTAGATGATGACAAAGTTGTCGCGGATGGACTCCTCCTCGAGCTCCTTGAAGTACTCGACAAGGACCTGCACGAGCCGGTGCAGAAACAAGATGAGCTCAGCCGCATTCGTGTTTCTCTTGGAGAGCGCGAGGACTTTGCAGAGGGAGAGCAGAGAAACCGGGCAGCGTCAGCTTGGAGTATGGGTAGCAATGTAGCAGGGAAGCCCCACGCACGGTAGAGATTCGAGTGCCGAATGTGCATGTAGTTGATGCCCTCTCGCGAGAAGCAGGGCGTAACCTGCTGCCCCTCTTCCTCAAGTTCAAGTATGATCGGCATAAACTTTTCGATATATGTCGCAGGGACATCGTCTCGGTAGGATCGCTGAATGAGCGGTTTGCCCTTGAGGTCGAGAATGGCGATCAGGCTAGCCATGACGACGCGATTTAATGTACAGTCAGACCCCCCTCAGAAAGGAACTTGGCACAGGGTAGAAAGCAAGGGGAGTCAGGTCGTCCAAGGTCCGGTGGTCGAGATTGGTGAAGAAACTAGCAGTGGTGGGTGCGCCGTCGACGTATGCAGACAAGCGCCCGAAAGCGGGGAAAGGCTTGAGCTTGAGCGTGCGCGTGAGCATTAAGCAGATACAAATTCAGTATTACGGCAGACCCTTGACAAAAAGGGCTAGATATTTAAGATACATTGAAGACCCTGTAACAACCCTCTGAGTAAGAAAATAAGATACTAGCGACGCCTGGGAGCGAGCCAACTGAACCAAGTCCTGGACGTGTCTTCCGGGCTATCTTTCTTTAACAGCGGGGTCTCTTCGTGTGCACTGTCACGAGGAGCAGGCTCAGGGCTCGGGGTGCGAACATCACTATGCACGGCCTCGTTGACTGCCTCTTGCACGAGAATATCGCCTGCAGGCCCCTGCGTCACGGGTATAGGAGAATCCTGCAGCTGCGGGTTGCGGTCGGCCGTTGTCGAGGCCCCAGAGATTAGATTGCCAAAATCATCGATGCCCAGCCTCTTTTGACGGACTGTCCAGCAAAGACACATGACGAGAAGGATGCCCTGAAGGATACCAGCAGCAGCGTAAGGAGACCAAGCTGAAAATGGCTCGTCAGTCAACTCCTGCTTTCAAGAAACTTATAACTCACTTGTCCAATTCGTCGAAGGCCTATTGGCACGGATGTCAGTTATACGAATAATGCCAAGTATACCCAGAGCTTACCGAAGAGCAATGCTTAACACCATGAGGATAGCACCTGGCGTTTGTATGAGCATCATTGGAATGCTTAAGGCCCCAACGAGCTTGTGACGGTAGGTGTGGACAATCTGCGGCAGATACTGGAATGCAGCTAAAAGTGTGGAGGTGATGCCGAGGAATGTAGCCCATAGGTCAACTGCATCAAACTTTCGCGGTGTACTCGGGGGCGGCCGCGTTCCCAAGAGGATGAACGTAATGAACAGTATCAAGAGGCTATCAGACGTCTTAGCGAGCTTTGAAGAGAACGCTCAGGAGCATGGGTACGTACGTATACAAGAGGACAACCCAGGCCAATGTAATGGACAGACGCCATTCATCACGCTTGACACCGGTTTTGATGTGTTGAGGAGGCCGATTATCGTACGAGTCCAGGTCGACAGTGGCATACTTTAGATGAGCCGGGTAATAAATCATGTATAATACTAATCTAAAGGAACTCAAGGTCAGGAAATGAGCCATGTATAGTGTGAGATGAGCCTCACATCATCGTAAAGCAGGCCCATTGCAAAGCTAGCTGGAAGACTCCCGCAGTAGATTCGATACAGTCGCCGACGCTCTGTTTAGCCTATGAGTGCTTGGATTAACAGGGCGAGCTCTGAAGCTCACCAGAACTCGACAGCATTTGATGATACCCCATTGCATGACCACGCTACACATCGTCATCGAAGTGTTATATACGTAACGCACAGGGACGTACATGTTCAGCATCCCTGAAGCGGCTGACAGGCTGCCAAGCAAGAGAAACCACGGACTGAACCCCTCAGACGACTTGGCAAGGATGATCCTTAGATGCTAAATTGACAACGGAACTGTTAGATATATTCCATTCACGATAAGACTACTTACCTGTGGAAGGTATGATATGACGAGACCGACGCACAGTCCGCCGGTGAGCACGTCTGTGAAGATATCGTGAATCTATGCGGGTGGCGATGAGAGAAAGATTATATCTTCGCATTTCGCCACATACAGGTGTGCATGATTCAGACATGGCTGATGAGAGCAGAGAGCCACCGCCAACGGCGCGTCGTACGGCACTGGCTCGCGAACCAAGGCGTATGGAAGCGCCGGCTTGAGGGCGCGCCTTAAGCACGTGGTCTCCTTCCGTATTTGGTGAGGCCGCCCGTACAGAATTTTCGCAAAGGCCCGTTCACGAAAGCGCAGAGGCCGCCTGTTACTCTTTGTCCCCTCTCTCGCCCGCTCGCCGTCATGTCGCACGTTGTAGAGCTCCCGATTGTCCCGCCTCCAAACCCTGCGGGTTGGACTCCCCCGGCCTCCTCTGGAAAGTCCGTCGCTCGTGAGTTTCGCAACTTCTCCGGAGGCTGAGAAGATCACCGCTCATACCTCTTTCGACTTACAGCCTTGGTGGAGCGTAGACTTATCCCCGCAGGCCCTGCATACCTTGCACATGTCAAGCGTGCTGTCCATCAACTAACGTTCGAGGAACACGACAAACACGCGGAGGAAGAAAGAAAACGCTTTGAGACACTGAACGGTGTTAACGGCAATGGCGAGGACGATCTCGGAATTGGTGATGAGCCTGAGACTGAAGATCTATTGAGCCTTGACCCTAAGGAGTGGAAAGTGCGTCGCAAGGTCAAGGTGCTGTCTCTCCGCCTGACTGATCACGATACAGAAACAAGATCACTATGCTGTCCTTGGATTGTCCCACTTGCGTTACAAGGCAAACGATGAACAAATCAAGGTCGCTCGTACGCACGACCAGGCTCATACTGCAAAGATGTCTTTTACTGACCAAAATACATCTCAGATCGAAAAAAGGTGCTCAAGCACCATCCCGACAAGAAGGCGGGCGTGGCGGGCGACTCCAACGACGACGCTTTCTTCAAGTGTATACAAAAAGCGATGGATGTCCTCAGCAACCCCGAGAAGCGCCGCCAATTTGACTCCGTGGACCCTCACTTCGAGGAACTGGAGCAGGAAGTACCTACCGAAAAGGAGGTCAAAAGCCACAAGAACCCCGACGCGTACTTCTTCGAGATGTTCACTCCCATCTTCGAGCGCGAGGCGCGCTTCAGCCGCAGCCAGCCTGTCCCCATGCTTGGTGCGGTCGACGCCTCCAAAGAGGAAGTCGAGGGCTTCTATCACTTCTGGTACAACTTCGACAGCTGGAGAAGCTTCGAGTACCATGACAAGGAGGTCAACGAGGGTAGCGACAGGTACGTGTGCTACCTTTGAGATACTCTGTTCCCCGTTAAAAACAATGCAGCCGTGATGACAAACGGTACACCGAGAAAAAGAACAAGTCGGAGCGTGCTCGTCGCAAAAAGGAAGACACCGCCCGTGTCCGTCAGCTTGTTGACCTTACTCTTGGCCTAGACCCACGCATCAAGCGCATCAAGCAGGAGGAGAAAGCAACTCGGGAAGCCAAGAAGAAGGGCAAGGCCGGTGGTGCGCAGAACGGCCTGACACAGAAGCAGAAGGAGGAAGAGGAGAAGAAGCGTGCAGAGGAGGAGGCTAAGAAGAAGGAAGAGGAGGAAAAGGTGTGTCTTGGCTCCCGTCCTCCCATATGGGTTTGATGCTCATGCTAGGACGATAGGCCGCTCGCGCCGAGGCAAAGAAGGCCAAGACCGCTGCAGCGAACGCTGCCAAAAAGGCCCGTCGTGCGGCGCGTACTGTGGAAGACGACGCCGCCGCATAAGCATAAATGGACTGTATCTACTACTTGTGGCATTTTGTCGGTCTTATATCGCCTTTTCCGCCGAACACACTCATGTTGCATTGTCTTAGAAGCTGTTGTCGCATGTCGCACATGTTTTACTAATGAACATCTTTGGATTCTGTAGTTTGCCTTCACAGTATCCTGCAGAGTCTGTGTGATCCCCGTTCTCATCACCCAAGGTCTCGATCAGCGTCATTTTACCATAGACCACAATGGCGATCGGGTTCTACACTATCGAAGAGCTGGCACAATGGCTGACACGGAGGCAGTACGTCGATTTCTTGCAGATGTCAGCCTCGAAACCGATATAAAATCCGGCCTTCTGCCCGCCTGGAGAACAACCGCAGCTTTCTTACCGCCCGCCACCTTGTCTACCTTTCGCAGTCCTATCCACCACATTCAGCCATGCTCGCCTTCACCACTGAACTCGTTCTCTGCGTACTCTCTGTGCTGGTAATTTCTGCGTCGGCAGTGCCCGCTGCACCGACCAAAGTGGGGATGGACTTGCCCAAGGGTGTCCCGAAGGTGAACGATCACACTGGCGCAGCTATAAACGTGCCTGTACGTCCTCCTTTATCACTTCCCAATTCACTGGCGCCATGGTAACCAACATCGCTGCAGCACAAGAAGCGTGCCATCTGCGAGTTTGCCGTTCCTGGAGAATACCCGGGACCCGCGAATGAGCCTTTCGCCGGTGCTAATCCAGTTCGGAGGGAGGTGTGTCACGAGTGAGCAGAGATATGGGGAGGATACGATCTAGTGTTGTGGACACCAATGCATATACGCCCGATTTTTACTAGCTGTAGCTCAGGTTCTGAGGATGTGCGGCTAAACAAAGCTAGCGGTAACGCTGACATTTGATTTGAGGCTGACCGTCCGCCCGCCACAAAGCCAGATCGAAGCGATAAGCGCTCCGCGATGACAAGGATCTTATTATGAAGGTCGTGGACAAAAATGCATATTTTGCGTTGGCAGTGCCGGACCTCATTTCCGCAGTGGTCTGCAGCTTATTTCACTATAATATACCTAATTTATTCGCGTGTTAGTGAATCCATATGCATCTACACTCACCATTGTGCACAGCGCTGCAAATAAGTGGACTCAAGCCGCATTTCGTCCGCATCAAAACTCGTTCTCGCTCTCGTTTTCGCGCGGCGCTTATCATAGATTTTCCTGTCTAAGCGATTACTATGTCTAAATACGGAGAATCTGTGATGAATACTGATGCGCAAAGGTGCACGATTGTGCACATAAATGCCATACCTAGCTACTAAAGCCAAGACTCTCATAACTCTAAATTATGTCTGTATAGGTGCACAAAAGTGAACGGATGTGTACTTATTTGCAAGATCATGCACAACAGTGAGTATGGATGCACGTAGATTCACTAACATACGAATAAATTAGGTACCGGTATATTACGATGAAAATAAGTTGTCGACCGCTGCGAAAACAAAGTATTTATTTTTGTCCACCTTCGACCTTCATATCTTAGCCACAAAAGAAGGGCTGACATATCTGTGCAAAACAGCATGGTCTGGTAGTATAGGTGTATAAGTGTTTGACGTTATGTTTGGTTGCTGGGTTCAATCATGTCCATTTTGTTTTAATTACGCCAATAAACTTGAAAATGTCTTAGACACGCACAGTGTCTTACTAGGCTCCGACCACTCAGTACGCGTCCCATCAACTACCGAGTAAGCTGGTCACGAGTCTAGTGTCTTACCCACGCCCATGTCTCAGCCAAGGGTCAGGGCGTTATAGGTGTAAGTTCGAGTGGCTATTCCGTGAAACTGTTAGGAAATTTGTTCAGCGGAGCATCCTCTGACTGATCCGACCAGCCCACCCGTTTAGTGTGCCCATTTAGTTTGCCTCTCGTGTTCCCATGGAACCACAGGTTTAAAGATCGAAAAGCCCTGCGGGGGGAGACATCATGTCCCTGGAGCTTTATGCCATGTCGGTCTCCGACAACCCGTCCTCGCAGCTGGGATGCATCTCCCACACAGAGCCGGAGAAGTCTACCGATGGCCGAAGCTTGGATCATGGTATATCACAACCCATTGAAGACAAGTCAGCCCCTTCCAAAGGCCCTTCAGCCGAATCTGCCAATCCGCGATCGTCTGCCATACTGTTATTTGCCCTTTGCATCGCGTTACATGCCCTCCTGATCATCGGATGCATAGGGCTCATCGTCTTGCATTTTACATTATCCGGCAGTGCAATCACTTTTAACCCGGACCGCCTGAGCTTCGTCTCGGGGAACATATTCTATTACGCCACAGCGTTTCCAAATACCATTATCAAGGTAGGATATCTCCCATACACTCTTCGAGATGGTCTCACGCTAATTCTATTATACGTTCAGGTCTACGTCAACATTCCCCTGCTCGTTGTCACCCAAACACTTGCTGTCAAACGTAATGTGCATGTCAGCCAGACTCTCACATCCATCCACGACAAATCTTCTGCTTGGCTGGGGCTGGGTGCTTCTGCTCCGGTCCTCTGGCGCTACCTCACAGCTTTCGTCAGCAGGAAAGAAGACAGAGCTACCAAGAGAAGCGAGCTGCCGGCTTTTGTTGGGGTCTTATTGATCGCTATCTACCTCTTATGCGGGTTATTACTCGGCATCATCGCTCCCGATCTAGTCACCGTCGGCGAGACCGTGAAGGGCAAGGGGACTTTCCAGAATATCACATCAATGCTCCAAGGCATTAGCAACGATGCGTTCGTGTTGCCTACCCCCTTGTGAACAACATTACTCATGAGCTGCGCTTAGTGTTCAAGAAGCATTCCCTGTTGTGGACATCATGCCTTTGTTAACGTACTCTGGTAATGTCGTGACAGTCGGACTTCAGGACAGCCTAATCTACGACGTACCCACTTTCTCCGTCACTGCGTCTGTCCCAGTCTCCGGCACAGCCTTTGGGGTGAACTGCGGGCAGATCCCAGAGCTGTCCCAAGTTCAGTCGGGAGACGGGTCCTTCGTCATCCATATTGATGAGCAGCTTCAGGATGTGGTAATTAACCCAGGTGCGTTAGCTTGTCAGTTTCCAGTATCTTCACAATTGTAACATTAACTGGGCGTAGCATCAAAGCGTACTCTGAATGTTCGCCCTGCGTTGTGGCAGAACACGTCAAATACATCTCCTCCTCCCGCTACACTCATCATTGCATCAACCTTTCCCATAGAAGATAACTCTCAGAACGCGAATGCCGCCGTTTTAGATTTGAACTCCGAGATAGCTCCCGTGGGATGCACGTTTGACTGTGGTAAGAGCGAAAGTAAGCGCGCTCTGTGGGAGGCAACTCATTGTATTGCATTCTCCTTAGGTTCGGTCAACGCGGTGCAGGCTGTGGCATGCAATGTGTTTTCCAAGGACTACGGCCACGGACATGAGGATTACGGCACGATCCTCGTGGAGACAGATGTATTCCCCCCCTTGGCCTCGACCAATGCCCCTATGCCGAGCATCAATCAGGTGTGGTCAAACTGGTCGCTTCCAGACACACCAGTTGAAGAACAGTCGCTTCTTAATATGGTTAGTCTGTAATAACTATTCACCAGCTGGGTACTGACATCTTGTGGCAGATTGGAAACTTCAGCCAACAGTCGCCTAGTAGCCGCACGACGTTGTTTAGTGTTATCAATGGGTCCACGGCCATGAACTACACACTGAGTATGTTAGAAGAGTAAGTCTTTTTGATTCTCATAGCGTCTCACTTTGACCAACACGTATCCAAAACCTTGCAGTAACATCATGGAATCATTGGGCTATTATAATCCGGACATCACTGTCGTCCATCTCAGCGATCTGGAGGATATTCTGAGCCAGGCTGTCGCTGCAGTCTTTTGGCGTGGTAGGCGTTTCTTGCGGTTATAAGGGTAATTACCGCTTATGAATCAATTTCTAGCCGCCCTCCGAGCAGTCGATAGTGCTTTAGTCGAATCTAAGCCCCTCCAGGAATATGCTATTCAGGTGCGTATCCAACTGTTATGTTCGCTCAATTCTCTCACCTGGTTTCTCCTGCAGATAAGTAAGTGGAGTGTAAGTGTTTGCTGTCCTTTGTCGCCCTACACTAATATATTCATCGACGTATTACCAGCCCATCCTCGGCCTCGTCGTCTCCACAGTAATGCTCGTCGTCGCTGTCATGCTCACCTGGCTGCCGAAGCCTCACCCTGACGACGAGACTCGCCCGCAAGTGGACTCGTTTGGCGTGCTGGAGCTGATGTGGTACCTCGGTCAAGATCGCAACCACCTCTCGGACCACATTGCGCAGGCCGTGCCCGACCCGACGCTCGAGCATCTGCGCGACTGGGGTAAGAAAGAGCGCCATAGGTTTGCGGACGACGATTGGCCACCACAGGACTAGATGCAGGAGAAGTGAGCAAGCGATACGCGATAGGCTCGTTTGCGGATGCCTGTACTATGGCGGCAATTTCATCTTCTGACGTAGATACGACTTGTCTCAGTCTCCGTAATACATAGTCTTACCTCCTCAGTGTACCGCTCTTCAAGTTTGCGCTTGTTGCCTTCGCAAAATAGAGAGCTCGAGATGTATGTTCATAGGGCTATGACCACACATCTCGAGCTCAGGCAGCCACGTACGGGGGGCAGGCGCCGACGTCGTATTGCCACCTGTGTCATGTCGAGGCTCGAAGATGGAAAAATTTGATCACTTAACTATCAGAACGGTTGATGGGGTACTGGTGGCACTCGATATCTCGTCGCATCCAAGGGCAATGCAATCGCAGTGAAAACACCTGGTTTCGCGAGTGCTGCTGTGTCGTACCGCCTGAGCGTGCGTGGGTAACTTTGAAACCCGGGATGGGACGGGAGTCAGCTGACCGGTGAGGCGCCCAAGGCGCCTGGAGCTTTGTGGCGTGTATGATTGTATTGTCCAAATCCGGAAGGCGTGCTGGTGATCCAGCACTGCAGCGCTCAGCCTAGTCTCGTTTCCATCCGCTCTTAACTCCGACGTGTAAACACTGTCGGCCAGTGCATCGGACTTTGAAAGCAAAGTGCACTGGCTCGTTAGAGCGTCTGGTCCACTTGGATCATCCGGGGGGGTCTCGTCCGCACGTGACTGACGCGCACACATACCGCGCCCGTAGCCTGCCGTTGGCGGCTATTTGGGCTGCAGTGGTACTCTCCGTTGCAGGGGGCTTATAAAAACACAAATGTACTCAAGAATATATCAGAGGCACTTTTACATATATGTCTGACTGCATACACGAACGCCTTACTCATCACCAGCAACTTGGCGGTGCGCAGGCGGTCACTTCCTCAGGGAGCGTGTAGATCACGTGCGAATGAGGCCCCCCAGACATTCTAGCGAGAGACTGCACATCACCATTGATGTCCGACGCAGTCTCCGACCGGCGAAGTCCGGGCGCGCTAGAATGGCTGGGGACGAGACTACGCTCAGCCTTGGTCGCCCCGCATTTTTTTCTCCGCGGAAATGGCTTATCTACAACCACAGAGAACCGAAACAAGATAACTACTCACCTCTGGTGCGAAAAGCGGAAGAACAGGTTTGGAATGATCAACGGCTATTCTCTTCAGAATCCAGCGACTGCAGACGAGGGCCTTGAAATTACACGACCACAGCAATATACGGTCGTAAGAAGAGCAATTGTTTACTGCATTGTCTGAAAATGCGATGCGAACGCAATACAAATTCCGCAGCACGGGCCCATTCACGGTCCTGGGAGGCTCTGGTGCGCATCGCCCTGAAGAAATGATACCTGTTGAACAGTCTCAGCTGATGGCCGCTACAGATCGGAGCGCCGCTCAGCAACAATGAACGCCACGAAAGGTGTCCAAATCTATGGACAGCCTGAGGCCTCCGTTCTCCACGGTGTATGACCCGGAGCGCTTCCCTAAGGAAGAAAGCCAGAAGGCGGTATTTGACGCGCTTATCTCTCCCGCGTCCGTTCGAAGCATGAGCGAGCGGTTCGCGGCGGTTCTTAACGGACGCGACCAGATTCCGCGAGTACAACAGGTAGATGGCCTGAAGAGGGCTCGGAGCTCCCGAAAATGGAGGATAGCTGAGGAGCCCTACCAGGATGCACCCGGAAGAGCACTTTCCCAACTCTCGGAGAGACAATCCCGCAATACTACGTGCACGAACCGCGGAAATTTGATGGTATGCAGCGACTGAAAGAAGAGGTCACCTTCCTTCTGTTCTTGTCCACGCGTTTGTCCTTCCGTGTGTCGCTCCATATGACGCCCTATCTGATTCTTTTCCTAGGCTGCTTGAGCACATGAAGAAGTATGCAGAGCGAAACAGGAACGACGGACCGGCGGATCCCTGTACCCTAGGATCGCAGACTCGGCGTCCCGAGTAACTTGTACTGATTAAGTTAACTATTAATAGGGATGTGCCACTCTGCTTAGTCGTATTAGTGGAGCAGTCTGGCGGCGTAAATGCGAGACCGCGGCACTTCAATGCTCCTACTACCACCCTGTAGCGCCATAGACGTCTCTCTGGAAGCTACCGCTCTTCCGAGAGACTTAGTTGTGAGCCTACGTGGATGGTTATTTGCACACTCAATATTGCTGCATGCCTCATCCGTTCACGGCATCGCTAACAATTGTCTCCGAACTGGCAAGGCAACCTGTAGATGACGACCAGCAGTGGCATCATGACTGATTTATGCCCTCAGCAAACCGTCTGAATATCATCATTCCGCAGTGAGTATCCAGACATGTAGAGAGGCCATCTGCGCTAACACACAAGGTTCATCGATACTGTTTGTATCTAGGACGGGTTGTCAACCGGTCTCGTACCTGGCTGATCAGCGTTTCGCCCGAACATCGAACGCTCGCTAGGGACTCTGATCAAACTTTCCTCTCGCGCCGCGGACTTTGAGCGTTTGACAGCCGCCTTTTGATAAGCTCTGGTTCGGGATTACACAACTGCTTGCAGGAATTCACGTTACCATCTTCTTAGGTACTATAAGGCCTTCCAAGAGATAGAGCTACGTCGAACTCAGTACGCCATGGTCCTAGGAAACGAGGCCCGAGCTGCGTGCCGGACGGAAGCAGTCCTTGAACGCCTGCTCAGCCCTCAGTATACAATGCCTCCGATGGCCGAGCCCTTTTGGCAATGACAATGACGCGGCCCTGCTGATCGTCAGAGCCCACTTGATGGATGGTATCAGCGCTGAGTTCCCGCACCGTTTAGAATATGTGAGCTTACTTGGTGTGCGCTTTGGTAGTTCTATTCAACGGAGCGTCCTCTGTGGCTGACTCAGCCAGCCCACCCATTTGGTGTGTCTCTCCTCTTCCCATGGAACCGCCGATTTAAAGGTCAAGGAGACTCGGCTCTGGGAGTAAAGCATCACACCCCCGAACTTTTGTGCCATGTCGGCCACTGACTCCCAATCCTCGCGGCTGGGACGTATCTCCCAGGCAGAGCTGGACAAGTCCACCGGCTCCCGAAACTCAGACCATGAGATACCTCAGCTCGTTGGAGACAATCCAGCTCCTTCCAATAATGCCCCCGCCGAATCTGCCAGTCCGCGATCGTCTGCCATACTTCTATTTTCCCTCTGCGTCATGCTACATGCCCTCCTGGTCATTGGATGCATGGTGCTCATCATCTTGCATTTCACGCAACCCAGGAGCGCAATCAGTTTCTCTGGAAATGGCCTGAACGTAGTCCAGTGGAACATATTTTATTATGCAACAGTGTCCCCGAACACAATCATCAAAGTAGGCTCTCTCTCTCTCCAATACGCTCAGCTTTTGGATAGTCTCCTCATTAACTCTGCCATTCGTTCAGGTCTACCTTGTTCCCACGCTCTTTATCACCCAGAAACTTGCCTTCAGGCGCACCGTCCACGTCAACCAGACTCTCACGTCCATCCACGACAAAACCTCGGCATGGTTGGGTCTAGGTGCTACCGCTCCCGTGCTCTGGCGATATCTCACCGCTTTCATCCGCAAGAAAGAAGATCGGGCCGCCAAGAGAGGTGAACTTCCCGCCTTCGTCGGAGTCTCCTTGATTACTATCTATCTCAGCTGCAGTCTATTGCTCGGTATCATCGCTCCAGATCTTGTCACTGTGGCGGACACTGTCGGGGACACGGGAAGCTACCAGAAGATTGCGTCGAATCTTCAGGGCGTCGACAACGATGCGTTCGTATCGTCCGCTGTTCCGCAATCATTGTTACTCATGGGCTGTACATAGTATTCAGGAAGCGTTCCCCATCGTGAACATCCTGCCTTTGGTCAGGTATTCAGGCGATATTGCAACAGTTGGCCTTGAGAATAACCTCATCTACGATGTACCCAATTTCGCCACCTCTACTGGGTCCGTCGGTGTCCTCGGCAAATCCTTCTGGGTGCACTGCGGGCAAATTCAGGGGGCGTCACAGGTTCAGTCGGACGACGACTCTTTCGTCATTCATGTCGAGGAACAGCTCCAGAATGTAGTCATTAACCCAGGTGCGCCCATGTATATCCCGTTCCCAATATCACGGAAATTATAGCTAGAAATTAGCATCGAAGCGTACCTTGAACATTCGCCCTGCGTTGTGGCAGAATATATCAGATACATCTCCACCCCCTGCCACAATTATTGTCGCATCAACCTTCCCCATCCAAGACGACTCTGAGGATGCGAATGCTGCCATTGTGAACTTAAATACCGAAGTTACACCCGTAGGATGCTCATTTGACTGCGGTAAGAGCTAGGTGAACGACCTCTGGAGCTTCATCTGACCATAGTACTTCTCTTCCAGATTCTGTTAATACGGTGCAGGTCGTCGCATGCAATGTGCTCATAACAAATCACGGCGAAAACGACGAGGTCCCCGTGGAGACAGACGTATTTCCCTTCCAGGTCAATGCTCCCACGACGATTACTAGCCAGGCGTGGTCGAATTGGTCACTTCCAAACCCGCCAGTCGGGGGACAGTCGCTTTTAAGCTTGGTTGGTCCTAAGTGAATGCTCGCTGAATAGGTACTCATACCTCCTGGCAGATTGGTAATTTCAGCCAGCAGTCGCCCAACAGCCGCACAACACTGTTCAGTACGGTCGATGGATCGACGGCCACAAACTACACTCTGAGCATTTTAGAGGAGTCAGCAGCTCTTGTCCTCGCAGCGTACTTTCATTTCAACTAACGTGCTCTTCTAATCTTGCAGTAGTATCATGGAAACGCTAGGATATTATGACCCAAGCATCCTCCGTGTTGACCTCAGTGAACTCGAGAACAACCTAGGGCAAGCTGTCGCTGCAGTCTTCTGGCGTAGTAAGTTTGCGGTGGCAGGAGCGATTGCAGCCTATTCACCCTTTTTATAGCCGCCCTCCGACAAGTGGACAACGCTTCGCTCGGACCAGATACTAGCAGCTACGCTCTGGAGTATGCTGTTCTCGTATGTGTTCAATACTTCACCCCGTCCTCTTGAACTTCTCTCATCCGATTCTCTCTGTAGATAGCTCTCTGGAGTGTAAGCCCTTGTGTATGCCTAGTCATTTCACGCCGATATATTCATTGGCGCATCTCAGCCCATCCTTGGCCTCGTCGTCTCCACAGTAATGCTCGTTGTTTCCATTCTGCTCACCTGGCAGCCGAAGCCAGATCTCGACGATAAGACACGCCCGCAGGTGGATTCGTTCGGTGTGCTGCAACTAATGTGGTACCTCGGCCAGGAGCGCAACCACCTCTCGCGCTACCTCGCACGGGCCGTGCCCGACCCGACGCTCGAGCATCTGCGCGACTGGGGCAAGAAAGAACAACATAGGTTCGTGAACGACGATTGGCCAGCTCAAGGCCAAGTGCAGGAGAAGCCCGCAGGCGAGACACAGTAGATTCGCTTGCAGATCCGCTTGTAGATTCTTTGGACATTGTAGGGTACGCTTGAAGCGCCCTCGGGACTATGTATCGCGAGGCACGTACAGTATGCCGACCAACAAGATTGTAAACAAGGTGGTACTAGTCGCAAGACAGCGGTTAGATAGATACTGCAAACAGTCTGCTTATCGGATGGCCAGGATCCCGGCCTGAGTACTCGACTTGATGCTGTCTTTCGGCTCCTTGCTCTTCTTCACCTTTGGCACCTCCCACAGTCGCCAGAATTTGAGGTTCTCGTCGCCGGCACCTGTAACGAGGACATCTCCCGCCGGACCAACAGCGCTCCAGAGCACGCGCGAATCGTGGGCGTCGCGGATTTCGGCAATGCGCTCCATTGTTGGGTAGCTGTGCACCATGAGCGCGTTCGTCGGGAAGCCGTGCGTCGTAACGAACTCCTTGCGGTGCGGCGCCCAGTGGATCGAAGTAATTTGGGAGGGCGTCACGAGCGAATGTAGCCGCGCGCCCGTCGTCGTGTTCCAGATGTGTACTGCCGCGTCGTTCGTGCCGCCGCCTGTTGCGAGCAGAGAGGGCTGCCATGGGCACCAGGCAACAGCCTACACGCACGTTCATTAGTGGCGCTGATGCGCATGTGGAAGTTATGCGCACCTTAACAGCGGCGGTATGGTTCCGCTTTGTCCACCTTGGCGTGCTGCGAGACCCAGAGGCCACGTTCACGTCACCGATACGCCCGTCCCAGACGTTCACAACATTGTCGTTGCCACCACTTGCCAGGAGCTCGCCATCCTCGCGCCACTTGAGCCCACAAATCTCGCCTTCGTGCCCCAACAGCTCCCCGACCTTGTGCCGCGCGACACGCACGTCGTGGTGCCAAATGCTGCCGTCGCCACAGCCGGAGCTAAGGACGTGCTGGTTCCACGAAAGACAAGCGACCTGCAGGCTGTGGCCAGCCATCGTACGCAGCTTGGTCCGTGTTTCGACATCCCAGAGCTCGACTTCACCTGTTCCGAGACCAACACCGAGGAACTGGCCGTCTGCGGAGAAGTCGAGCGAGGAGACATATGAGCCTTCGGGAGCCTCGCCGAGCTCAACGACCTCGCCCGTGTCGGCCCTCCAGACGTACGTTGTTGTCTCCAAGGCCACTGCAAGGGTGTTTTGTGAGCTCCAGGCGAGAACATTGAGGTAAAAGTCGTCGACAATGCCTGGGGCGTCTAGCACACGTTCCGGCTGCGTTGGGATTTTGCGGGCTTTGCTTGTCGTGGACGAGGTGGAGGTAGGGAGTGCGCCGGGACGCGCATACAGCGGGCGGACAAGCTCTCTTTGTTGCGAAAGAAGTGAATCTGACGAGGATGGTGGTGGGGGTTCGTGGTACGCGAGGATGCGTTTGTTAAGGGGTACACCTGCTGCTGCTGCAAGCCTTGCAGTGTGCCCTGGTGAAGACGGCTCGGTGTTCAGATTCATCATGTCCAAGGAGGCAGCGACCTCATCCACTGCGGTCTCTCGTGTTGTGATAAAGCGATCCCGGGTATCCCTCTGCGGCCGCCAGTCTGGGTCAGACCTTCGGAAACACATAAGTTAGGCAACTCACAGCAGGTTGCGACTTCGACCTGCGGGTCTCTGTCTTTGGTGGAGGCACGTAGTCACGGGTCACCACGTCAATCCTACTTTCCACGCCTCCCTTTCGGATGAGGCCGTTGCTGGCCTGCCGTCGCAGACGTTCTGTGACCTCGGCTGTACCAGAGGTACCACGCTTGGCCGGTGAGGCTGTACGACTGCTGCTTCCAGGCTTGCCGGTACTAACGAATGGATTTGTAAGATCCGCTTTATTCTTGCTCGGCGAGGTATGCAAGGAGTATCCGTTCACTCCTGAAATACCAGAGGCCGTCAGGGGCGTCCTGGTCAGGGAGCGTGCCCGCTGACGAGCTGAATTGCAGGGCGTTTTCGGATTGTAAGCCATAAATTTTGTGTACAAAAAATGCGGGTATCGTGCGTGAAGATCGTAGACAAGAAAGGATTGGATATCGCAGGAGGCAGAAACCACAAACACGCGCGAATCGCGCCTCAGTCCAACATCGCTCACGTGAGCGTTCAAGGTTCCATCACGACCCCGACCACTCCCATACGCGATCGCTGGACCCCGTTTGAACGTTCCTGAGCAGCAACCAGTGTCATCAGCAAAAAAATTACCCAATGATCTAATCTGGCCAAGCTAGATAAAGGCACCCATGAATATAAGTCAACCCACCCTGAGATTGCCATTGCCATAGTAGATAGAGCACCTGTATGATTTCTAAGGCTTACCAGCCTGGGGACCTTTATCATTCAGTTAAGGTTGGCAATGCATTACCAGGGAGCGCCAGGCTGGGTGGCATTTGCCAGGGCGCTCGCAAGATTTATTCAATAATCGGATCTTTGGGGGCCAGCTCGCACATAAAAATTTAAGATAGCAATTTATATATTCACAAAACTACAATAGGTACAAAACTCGTAGATAAAATACAACGGCGTCCAGAGGGTAGCGCTTTCGCAGTGAATGTGAGCGTCAGACAAAAAAGGCTGTCCCCGGAGCGGCCGTATACTTAGTGCACGATGCGCGTGACTTGTACCCTAGACGAGTTATGCACATAAATACCTATGTACGTAGACACCCGCAGACTGCAATGCGTACCGTGAGGATATTTCGCGGATCCCGAAGCACAAGAACGGGCCGTACAGCCTGTAGGAGCACTGTCAGTATGCGAGGTTTTAAAGACTGACTCAGAAAGACCTACGCCCCGTGAGTTGACGCTAACGCGCTCGCCGCTGCAAGACGGACTGGGCAGAGTCGTAGGTTGGGGTGCTGCGATACAAGCAGGCACCGCTTACTGAATGAAAGGGCGATGTCTTACGAGGGCCTGTACATGAGAACATCAAGGAATCAAGCGCATATATGCATGTCACATACTCTACATGTCACACTGAGAGCGATACGGAA